ACCAAGGGCAAGCTTGGTCCACCAAGCTCGCCCAGCCAGATCGAGCAAAAGTAAGTCGGCCGGCCCCTTGGAACCCTAACATATCTCTGTCGGCGCGCGGTACGGCAGGATTTTGTGTACAGCTTCCTTTGGGGTATACCTACATATCTTATTAGTACAGATTTGCTGACATTCTCAGGTGCTCCGCAGGTACCTGTGTAACCCTTAACCCTAAGGCTAACCTGTGTAACCCTAACCCTAAATTTGGCAGAGGCAACCCTACTCTGCGCCAAACTTGTGTCAATTTGCTGCGTATCATAGGTGCCTCTGCCGATAACACCAAGGACGCCAGACCCCAGGGGCATAACAGCCAGTTGCTGCGGCAACACTGTCAAATTGCTTCAACCTCACTCAGCAAGCTCCTCCTTATGCCTCAATGTTGTACCTTCATTCTCACAATGACGTTTGATCTTGTATGATGTAGCGCCCAACCAAACACCACTGTGCAAGAAGAGCAACATACAAGCAAGCTACATATCTATGTATGAGCAAATCTCATGTAGGGACATAATAACATAAAGGTCAAGAAAGTAACAATCTCACACAGAAACAGGAATACTGGTGTGCAGCTGCAATTTGGTAACACTTTGCAAAAGAAGAAAATGGGCCGGAATTGCACGTAGATGGATTTCGATGTTTCCGGCAACGACGCACGGTGCTTCCGTCGAAGAGGGCGGTCTGAGCTGCGTTTGGAAGAAACGACTTCTCCACCATCTCGACTCCTTGCGCTCCCTGCGCTTCCAGAACACCGTCACATCGGTCACAGCAAACCACCTCCGTCATGTTCTTCTCAAGATCGAAGGAACCATCCTTAGAGATTGCGAGCGCACCGGCAGCATCCTCATCGACTTCGACGAACACCGCAACATCCTCTGCATCACCGATGAGCGAAGCGGATTGGCAGGCTAAGGGAGCAGCGGGCCTCGGTGCCATTTCGTCGCTCTCGCCGGAGTGCACACCGCTCAAGCACCGATACGATGCCTGCTTCAACCTCTGGTTCAAGGACTACCTGTCGATCGGCGACGACCAGATTCGAGAACAACAACGACAGAGCGAATCATCAGCGAGTGGGGCGACGACGCCATCCTCACTGTCTTCATCAAGTAGCTCTGGCGGCAAGAAAAGGTCGGGCTGGTTCTCCGACTCATCTTCAACCTCGTCCGCCTCAACAAGCGCGACGTCGTTAGGTGGCGGTGACATCGAAGCAAAGAAGCACGCTATCATGGATCGTTACGACCGGGACTGTGGAAAGCTGTTCAAGGACTACCAGGCGTGCGTCAGGAGAGCTGTGACGGATCGAGGGCTTGACGATCTCATCCAACAAGCGCGCAAAGAGAATCCGTTCCCCTTCGACCACGAGCGTCAAGCAGATCCACGCGCCAACAACCCGCCTTTCCCCTTCCCCGCAGCCAAGGACTGAGTTTTGTAGTAGGCATCGCTCGATTTACGAATCTATACCATGTGGGAACGCTTCCGACCGCAATGGAAAGCCATTCTGTCGGCCTCGACGTCAATGATATGTGCGAAAGAGGAACTCGAGCGACCGCCAAAACGTACCTCTCCAGACATGAGTTGCATACTGGCTGATGCGTCGAGCGACTCCGCCTCGACTGTCCCCGTACCGCCTCGTCGGTCATCCTTTCCGTTTGATTCGCTTGCTGCTTCTTCTTGAGCGCTGTCGGAAGCCCGCGCTTCTCTGGATCTCATCTCTCATCGGCCGCCAAGTGTGTGAAGACTGGACGTTGAGGCGAAATGAGTCGAGTCGAGTCTCGCTAAAGAGCAAGGACAGGGTTCCGGCACGCGTGGCTTCCGAGCCAAAAGAAAAAAGGCTCAGCTCCACACGATAATTTTGGCTCGGCTGCCGGTCTGACGATTCATGTGCTGCGTGTCAAGTGAAAGGCTGTGCTTGGCACCACACCACATCCTCAGCAGCTGGCGGTGATGTCGTCGATCCCCACACGGTCTCAGTCATCCACGTCCGAAGTGCAGACATGATCTCCCACGCGGCGGCAAGCAACTGAGCCACGCTCGAGCCACGGCCAGCCACCGCGCGCTACTTTGGACGGCGAATACGCGCAAGGCATCTCTGCAGCATCCCTCGCACCGTCATGTCGGCAACAGAGGAGGAGTCGCACACCGTCAGGGCAGCCCCGGCGCTCGTCAGCACTACAGCACATACGCAACATCGCGCTGCCGTTGCCGCGGGGTCATCGCGACAGGCGGCGAATGGCACAACGGAGACATCGATGCAGAACGCCCTGCCCACGTACTCGGAAGCTAGCGCGGTCAGCGATGCGGCAAGCTCGGCATCGGACCCTCCCGCAGAGGCCGTCGACAACTTCTTTGACATCGCTCCACGAAGCGACTCGACCTCCTTTCAGGTCGGTTACCTCGGCCTCAAGGGCTTCCAAGCGTGGCTGAAGGGCGACGTTCTGGTCAAGCTCGATACGGCAACGAAACGAAAGGGCAGATACACACGCTGCACAATACAGCTTCAAGCAAAAGAGCAGGCACCAGGACCCGCCACGAATGTCCAGCATGCAAGTGGGTCCGGATCGCACAGCCTGAGCATGGTCGAGCTTTTCTCGCACAGCCTGGTGCTCTGGGATGCTGACAAGGAACCGACATCTTCAAGCGATCATCTGCCTACAGTGCCGTCTGTCATGCCGTTCTCCTTCCCTCTCACTCCCGATTTGCCCCACTGCGTCCACCTTCGCGATAGCTCCCTTACATACACCGTCACCGCTTACCTTTTCAGCGAAGACGCCGGCAAGCTGCCTCACGCTATCAAAACGGTGCCGGTGCATCTCGTGCGCTACACTCGTCCCGGCCCTCTCAACGAGACGGAGCTCTCTGAAATCGATGGAGCCGCTCGTACTGACGAAGAGTACTCGCTTAGGCCGTACGGCTGGGTCGAGCAAGCGCCCACTCTGGTCTACGCGCAGATCAATCGAACCATCTTCCGACGTGCCGAACCAATCGAACTTCGTATCCACATACCTTCGCCGGACCCCACTGCTGTCTCTGAGAAGGGCCTCAAGCTGAAGGCAGTGGAGGCAGATCTCATTCGCATCATCCACGTCAAGCGTCATGCCGAAACGAGCGAAAACGGATCAAACGCTCCTCACAAATCAGCCGTCACGACGCAAGACAGAGCGACGGATCCAGATGTGCACGAGGCATTGCTGGCTCACAGCGGCAAATTGTGCCGCTTTCATTCAAAGCGCCCCGTGCTGCTACGACTCACTTTGCACCCACCATTCGACCGGTCCAACATGCCACATCCTCATCCTGACCATGACGCACTTGCATCGGGCCCTGTCTTTGGGCGTGGAGGCGGCGGTGGCTGCGAAAGTATCAGCCAGGAGACCCTCATGCACCGAGTCAGCTTCGAGGTGCGAATCAAGGTCGGCATTCTCGGCGGGCAAGGTGAACGAAGGGACATCGTCCTTCGAAGATCGGTTCAGATTCTACCTGGAGCTGCAGGTGCCCTCGAGGACCTCAATTCTGATGGAGGCGATGGTTTGGCGTATCCAAGTGCCTCGTCAGAGAAGGAGCGGCTCAAACGATCTGAGAAAGCACGCATGCTCGCTGAAGACGATCACGCCGGAGGTTCGAGCTCTCGCAGTCCAGATTACGCGCACGACATGCTCGACTTTGGCATGGATGACGAGTACGACGGCTACGAGGACGTCGGCCGTAGCTTGAACGACTGGACAGATGCAGCCGACCCGACGAGCGCTGCCGGCTCGAGTACTCAAGGCACCGATCATGCGGAGCGCCTCGAGCAACTGCGCCACTTTCTGGACGCTTCCGAACCATCAGCTCACAATGACGGACCGCCGCCATCGCTCCTGGAGAGCCGGAACGACTTGCAGGTCGAAGTCGAGGTCGAGGGCGTGGGACTGGCAATGCCTCGCCATGCCTTTCGTCATCCTGCGGACCCATACCCAGAGACACCGGGATCCAGTGAAGAACAGTATCCGCCGCCTCCTCCTATCGACGCTCAGATGGATGAGGGTCTGTCCGCCTACGACATGCCTCCTTCCATTCTAGCAGGTGGCCCTTTTGCAACCTTCATGAGCCACGATGACCCTCCGCCTCCTTCTTCGCCGCCCTTTGTCCAGTCTGCACCTGGTCAAGCGGCGGAATACGAAGCCGAAACTGCACTACGGATGCCTGGCGGGCTCGCTCCTCTCGACCAGAGCAATGTACAACCGCACGACTCGTCAGTGCACGAATCCCTCGGAAGTACTTCTAATCTCGTCGATTTCTCGGCTCAACATTTGCCCACAGCAAGGGTGGAGGGCGACGACGTCGAAAGACACCCTTCGTACGAGGCTGCCGTCTCAAATTCGACTCGACGAGCAGAGGTGCGCCCCCGGGCTTCACAACACGAGCCACCTCCTTACGCTCACGGCTCGGTCCGTGCAGAAGCCGTGCCGTCGTTCTACGAAGCGGTTCAGAATCGCGCTTCGATTGATATGGGCACTCCACGCAGTGCGTCGTCCCATCGCGTACAGCGAAGTGAGGTGCTGTCGGTTCCGCTAGGCAGCTCGCTTCCCCACTCTAGCATTCAGAGAGCGGAGTTCCAGCCTCCTGCCTATGGCACTTCGCCGCACCCTCCCTCTTACGACGCATGACGCTCCTCGATGCTTTTCAAACCCAACACGCCAAATACCCTTGCGCCTGTCTCCACGCAGCGGTGCAAGCCATGCAAATTGATGTGATTGGCCAGTCAGTCTGGGAAGTTTGATCAATTCAGATTGCGAGATGATGTGAGCGCCGTTACATTTGCCGGCTCAAGTGCGGGACTTGCGAGTCTTGCCTTTGCCCTTTGGCTTATCCTTGAATCCGCCCTCGTGGCTGCCACCGTCTCGCAGCGGCATTCTCTTACCCTCCTCCGGGTTGAATTGGGCCGATCTTGCGCTTGCGCCCCAGTTCTTGACCGATCGCTCCTCGGGGTGGATGGCGTCGTTCCCGGCGCCTGGCTGGTTGGCGCCGTCGGCCATGGCGTGGACATCCGGGTGCGGCTCGGCGGCCTTCGTGCTCGCATTGGCAGTCGTCGACGAGGGCTTGGAGTCTTCCGAGGGTGCAGGCATCTCGGACGGGGAGCGGGAGTCGATTGGTGCATCGCCGGTGGTGTAGCCGGGGTGATCGTTCATGCTGCCTTTCGGCGAGGTCGCCGGCGTGGTGCGGTCGGCCTGCGTGGGCGGCTCAGCAAAAACGCGGCTGGAGGTGGAGAAGGAGCGCTTGTCGGACGAGCCAAAGACAGACTTGGCGGCGTTCTTGGCCATCTGGCCCACACGGTCGACAGTGCGGGTCTCAGCAGCTTCCTCGGAGCCGGTGAGGTGCTCGCCATCGCCGCGCTGGCCTCGGCCTCGGTGGTCTGCAAACGCACCCTCGTGGCCCTTAGGCGATTCGGGCTCGGGGTTCTGACTGTCCGCGTTCGGTCGGTTGGGATAGGGATCTTTGGCGGCCTTGATCTTCTGCTGGACACCAGGGTAGTGCGGGTCATCGCCTGGTATGATGCGAAAAGGTCAGAGAGGAAAGGCGAATGTTCGATGTCAATAAGCAGTCTACAAGCAGTAGCTGAATGAATTGGGGCTACTCACGGCCATCGTCAAACTTGTCCTTGTCGCCTTTGTGAGCGGTCGGTCCTTCTCGCTTGAGCTGAGGTGTGTTGTTGAAGGCAGTCGCCGTCGTGGAGAACGCTCGTCGCGATGTGGAGGACAGCAAAGCTGCCCGGCGGATCAGCATCTGATTGACGATCATAGTGGTGCAATGAGCGTGTGGATGGTGGTTGTCCGTGTATGAGAAGGGACGGATGATGTGGAAGCGGAGGAAAGGACCGGATCCAGAGTGGAGAGAGAGATGCGACTCGGTCAGACTCGAGACGCTCGCCTACGGGGGATTGGTAATCTGTGCTCATATCGCTTCCAGATTGACATGCCACACCGGACCCCGCAGGGAGCGATGGCTGTCAGAGCGCCTCGTGCATGCAGGATCGAGGCACGGACGTCTGAGCGCACGATGTCATGACGCGTCCCGATTTTGTGCCATTCGTCCTTGCGGAAATCGGGACGAAGCTGGGTCGTCCGCCGTCTCAGCATGACTAATACACCCTAGAATTCTAACGCGAGAAAAATTTCGTGAGCCTTGTTGCCGGCTTCTTCTCAAGGAAAAGGCCAAAGGCGGGCTCCACCATCCGCAGATGCAACCGCGCAGCTCGTCGTCGCTCTTTCCCTCGAACCCACCACTACCACCAACCTTCAGCCTCGACACTTATACCTAGACCCGTGATCCCTGCTTCACATCTGGCGTGAGGTCGCTTTGCTTTCATCACACCCAACCGTTTCGTCTCATTCGCTGTCCTTTTCTCCGTCTCATCCGCAACCATGTCGGCTCCCAACCCCAAGGCCTTCCCTCTGGCTGATGCCACGCTCACCAACCAGATCCTGGACCTGATCCAGCAGGCTTCGCACTACAAGCAGCTCAAGAAGGGCGCCAACGAGGCCACCAAGACGCTCAACCGTGGTATCTGCGAGTTCATCGTCATGGCCGCCGACGTCGAGCCCATCGAGATTGTGCTCCACTTGCCTCTGCTGTGCGAGGACAAGAACGTGCCCTACGTCTTTGTCCCCTCCAAGACCGCCCTTGGTCGTGCTTGTGGTGTCTCGCGCCCTGTTGTCTCTGCTTCGGTCACCACCAACGAGGCTCGTGAGCTGCAGAGCCAGATCCAGACCGTAAAGCTTGCTGTAAGTTCTCCCATCGAGTCCATACGCTGCCGATTCTTCATGATCACTCACCTCTTCTTTCGTGCTTCATCTCTCACAACAGATCGAGCGTCTCCTCATCTAACCGCCTCAAGCCACGGCTCCCGGGAATGGGACATGGACGCAACTTTTTCATGTCGCTTCGTTTCTCAACCCGCAACTGTAACACTAGCATCTCTGGCAACCAAACACATTTTTCAATCGTTTCGACGTCAAAGCGCCACACATGCGAGATTCAACAGGCAGGAGGTTGGCAGGAAACGAAACCTGCCGCGACATGCTGGCTAGAGCCGATCGGGATAAGTGCGGTGTACTTCGTCAATGGCGTGCAGCTGCAATAGCGACAGCTTCTCGATCAGCTTCTTTGCTGGCTGCTTCTCGGGCTCTTCGTCTTCGTTGTCGATCACCTCGACAGATGAACCTTCGACAAGGTGGCGCAGCTCGCGTACGACCTGGCGCAAGATCTTTCGCCGGTCGCTGGCCTCATTGTCGATCAAGGCCGTTCGCTCTGCGTTGATCAGCTGTTCGGCGACCGCCACGTTCTGGGCACGTTGCAAGAAGTCGTCAGGGAAGCAGCCCATCATCTTGGCCACTTGCAGGCTGTAGTGCGTGTTGAGACCAGGACCGAGATGCAGCTTATGATGGAAGACCAGGTCGACATTCTCGCTTTTCTGCACCATCGAGACGTTGAGATGCTGGCACACGATGCCTTCTTTAGTTCTGAGACCGTCGACGAGCTCCCCAAAGTGCGTGGCGAAGAACGTGGTGCTGCCTTTCTCAGTGAGGAGCTCCTCGATGACGGCGGTGGCGAGAGCGCAGCCTTCGTCGGGACTGGTGCCTCGGCCCATTTCATCGAGGAGGACGAGGGAGTTTGGCGAGCCGACGCTGAGAATGAAGGCAGCCGTGCGCATCTCAGCTGCGAACGTCGACAGATTCTGGGTGGCATCGTCTTCATGCGTCAACAAACTGAGGAGCGCATCTGGCAGCGGCAGTGTAGCTCGCGTCGCAGGAACGAAGCAGCCGATGCCAGCCAGAACGGTGATGAGAGCGATTTGACGCAACAGCGTGCTCTTGCCGGACATGTTGGGCCCAGTAACGAGGCAGATGCGCTCGCCCGGGGCGAGGAAGATGTCATTGGGAACGAAAGTGCCTCGTCTGCGCGAGATGAAGCTTGACGTGGAAGACTTGCCGACCTCGACCCGGTCCAGAATAGGGTGTCGTGCGGTGCGGATATCCAGCCTGTCGCCAAAGACGGGTCGCACGTAGTCGTTGACCATCGACACGGTGGCAAAGCTGAAGATCATGTCGAGAAGACCCAGAGCCTCCGAAATCTGGGCGCGAATGTTTGCAAGCCAAGATACGGATAGATCAGTGTTCCAAGCCTGGAGGACTTCAACAGGGCCGATCGCGAGCTCACGTTATTGAGAGATGCCAGACGCTCGACGATGTTGTCGATGAGCTCGTTGACAATGGTATCGGTCATGACCAGGACTTCGGTCATCGAGTCATTCAACCGAGCGTTGAGCTTCTTCTGCAAGGTCAAAATGAAGCAGATCAATTACTGGACGGGGTCGGTGCATCAGAGGGAGGTGCTGCACATACAAGAGCCAACGTCATCATCGTGACCTGCTTGCCGCCTTTGGCCTTGGTGATATTCGTGAAGTAGTCGGGCAAGTGCGGTATCTGGCTGCTGTCTAGATTGGTTTGGAGCTGCGAGCAGGAGCAAGGTACTTGTAAGCATATCGGCGGCGGCTTCCACCTTGGTTTGGGTCTCAGAGTCGCCCACCAGAAAGCCATCTCGGACCATTTTGAGCGACAGGCTCAGGTTCGTATCGCCTTGATTTTTTGTAGCAATGCGAGATGTCAGTATCTGTGTCGACCGACGTTCGAAGCATGCCCAGTTCCTGTTCTTACTTTCTAGCTGCTGGCGATGAGACTCGATGTCGCTGTCGGAGGTTGTAAGCGAATGTCAGCCCCTAACAGCGTGTCGTGCAGCATTGAAGGCACAGAAGGAAGGTGCTCTCACCTGAGGTTCTCTCGGTATGTCTGCCTGGCCACGTCGATGAGAGGGCTGCGCTCCGCTCGCACAGCGTACTGCAGAAGACGAAATGGGCAACTCGCAGTCCCATTGCGTGAGTTCGCTGCTCAAAGGGCGATCACAGGAGAGAGAGCACTTACCATCCTAGCGTTCCGAGCCTTGAGGCCGTTTTTTGCATGCTGGACATCTTCGTCGATAGTCGCCTGGATTGCCCTGCTGATCTCGTCGATTTCGCTGGACTCGAAGAACTGTCATCCGGGACCACGGCGAAGGAAAGATGGTCAGCATGACAGTCGTGACACACTCGAGCCATGTTTTGGATTCTCACGTCAGAGATGGACTGTAGTAGTTGGCTCGAGGAGTTGTGCAGGGCTGCTCGCGCTGTTTGAACCAAGACGCAATGGGCATGAACCTCTCGTTCCGTCGTCAATCTTTTGGTTTCCATCGCAATCACTGGTCGCGAACGGCTTGCTTACCTGGACCAAGAGAGAGCAATAGAGTGCGAAGAGCAAGAATGCTGCTGACCTTTCTCTCGGTTACTTCTTTTGGAGGCTCGCCTCTTTGCGGACAGGACAGGGAATGAATGAGCTTGTCGAGATCGATACCCTTTTCGCGGATCGGCTTGAGACTTTCTCGGATGGCAATGTAGCGTTCCTGTGGCAGAGATCAAAAAGCTTGTGGGATGAGGACAAGTTGTCGCTCCAGTAGGCTGGAGGTGGGGATCCGTACCTCGCTGTTGACACACTCGGCTACGGCGTCCTGTCGCACTGAGAGAGCATCAGGGTCTGAGGTGTCCAAGGAATCGCGAGAGATGTGATGAGCATTTTGGCCTGCCCGCAGATATCAACGAGAACAGCGTATCGCACCTGTCAACGGCTGAAGTAAGTTCATTTTGAGCAATCTCTTCCCCATGGGCGTGACGCAGTGATCGAGCAATCCTGTGTGTGCGCAGAGGCTCGTTGTCAGACAGCCATCTCATGGTGTTGTAATCTCATGGTGTTGTAATTGGAAAAGCTTACCGAAGAGAGAGTCATTTGAACGAGGGTCAATCAAGTTGCGGACCAGCTCGAGATCATGAACGGTGTTGCTGTTGATTAAGGTCGTGCCTGTAAGATTGATTGGGTGGTCAAGATCTGCGCCGAGTTTCGATGATTGGGCGGTCACCGACCATCTACGTACCTTCAGGGACCACGAAGCGAATACGAAGTGTCTTTGGCGTGAAGACGCGGTTGAAGGACTCGGTGTAGAAGCTGTTTGTGTAATGCGTGACAGTCAGTGCGATTATGTCCTGTTCCACTCTGCGAGGAAAGTCAAGCCAAGCCAGACATACTCCAAAAGACCGGCGAGGGCGGAGAGGAGATAGAACTTGTCGGCCACCGCCACCAGAATAGCAGCTCGTGTCGAAGCCTTTGCGTGCAGGTCCAGCGAGTATCGGCCCGTCTGCGGTCGAGATGAAGCAGGACGCTGCGACTGCTGACTGGAAGGAGCTTTTTCCTTCGCTGACAGAGGCCCAGCAAGCTCCTCTTCCGCTTTGATCTCGTCAGCGTCGTCAATCAGCAGCCGATCAAGATACCGTGCTCCTATTAAAAGACGTAAGAAACGAGTCGTGGAAGCGACGGTGAGCATCCCCCCGTACCATGAATGCGTAGGATCGAATGATCTCGAACACGGATCCAATTGTACGACGCGTGCTTACCCTCCTGATAGTTCCAGTGCTTTCGATTGAAAGGCTGCGCTTGAATGCCGTAGATCTGCTCGAGAGTACTGATGAGTACCGACTGCTGACCTCTCTGTAGCTGCTCTTCCGAGCGGTCCCCGTTCGTCTCGCCGTCGTTGCCATCGTGGGTCTTGGCTCGCTTGCTCCGAGTGGTCGATGTGAATGAGCCATGTTTGCCGCTGCGCGACGAACCCGAGGCTGGTACTAGCAGGATGCTCGGAGGATACATGGACATGTGCTGGACGGTCCGAACGTATGTCGGAGTATCTGCCAGCTGTGTGATGACGCAGAGCCCTTCAACATAGAAGACAAAGCCTAGGGGTCAGCATCTACTTTGCTTTGATTCTGCCAGCCACTTGGTCGATACCCACCCGTCTCTCGCTCGATGGAAGCGATTCCAACTTCGCGGCCGACTCCACGATTCTCGAGCAGGGCACACACGTAGCTACCCACAAATCCGTCGGCGGTGACCAATCTGCTTCGATGGTACGAGGAGGCTGTGAACGGCCGAACGTGATCACCGCTTGGGAGGCTTGTAGGAGGAGCAGATGCAGGCGCAGTGTGAGCCGCATCCCAATTTCGAACGCCCAGAGTTCGCTGCACTGAGGATGTGAAAGGCTGACGATGCTCTATGGGTCCCTGCGAGCTGTCGAGGAGCTCCCTCGGCGATGGACCATGTTTTGCGAGCCAGGCAACCGGAGAATCTCGACCTGTGCGGCCATCGTACCAAGTCGCGCCTGCAGATTCATGCTGTGGAGCGAAGATACGAAGAAAGGAAGGAGCGGGCGAGGGCGATTGCGAGACATTGCGCGAGATACCACCTTGCTGTTGTGCACTAGGTCGAAGGCCAGGAATGCGGAAATCAGAGCTGGAAGTGGCGACAGATGCAGCTGTGTCGGGACGGTTTGCGCCTCCTCGTTTGGTCGAGGCGTCGTTGAGCGACATCTTGACCGAGCGAGGAGAATGTGCTGTCGGGCGACGGACGTCGAGGCAATGTTTTGGGGGAAGGAAAGGCTCTCAACCAGCCGGTATATATCTCTTTGCAAGGTCTCGGAGCCTCCGAAGCTCTTCGCACGGTCAGCGTGAAATACTCCCACGCTCACTCACAATCCTTCGGATCAAGCGTCGGATCAAGCGAGAATGAATACACACTGTCATCAGGCAGCGTGATTATGCAAAGGAGAGTGTGATCACGACTCAGACGCGGTCATACATGAGAGAGGGTATGAGGATTGCAATGAGGCTGGAGTATGTTCAGACACGGAAGACAAGCGCAACGCCTTCGTCGCCTGCGCCCACGAGCTTCCAGCCTTTGGCGCTGGCCGTATTGGTGTAGGCGCCGATTCCGCCCGTCTCAGCACCTTGGGTGAAGCCGTCATCCTTGCCTACTGCAAGCGCCAACACACCGTCGGTGAATCCTTGCTGGGTAGCAACACAGCCACCCGTCCTGGCATCCCACGTCTTGATGGTGTGATCCGCTGATGACGTCGAGAAGAGTGTGGTGCCCGGATGCAAAGCAATACTGGTAATAGCGGCGTCGTGCATGACCTCGCAGCGCATCTTTGCCAGCGAGAGGTCCCATACGATCGCCTTGCCTTCGGTCGAGGCAGTGATGACGTGACCGGTGCGGTTGCCGCCACCGACGTCGACAAACTGAATGCCTTCGATGGACTCTCCTTCGGCGTGACCTGTCAGGGAAGCAACGACCGAGGCAGCACCGCCGTTGTCCAGAGCGCCAATGTTGATGACGCGGACGTCGCCAGCGGCACCGCCAACGACAACGACTCTTGCATCGGGAGAGATGGCGAGCTGGGTGAGACCACCATCGAGGTGAGTTGCGACCTTGGAGACCACTTCTGCGCTTCGCGGGTCCCACACGATGAGAGTGCCGTCTTCGGCGCCGGTCACAAGCCTCTTGCCATCAGGCGTGAAGCTTCCGCAAGAGACAGCATCGCTGTGACCGGAGAAGACATTCATGACGTTGCCGCTGGGCAGCTGCCACATCCATAGAGTCGCGTCGGCGCCACCTGCAGCCAGTACGCTTCCCTTGGGGTGCCAGTCGATCCAGACCACCTCGTCGGGACCTTCGAGGTTGGTGAGGAATTCCCACGACTTGAAGTCGTCGCTCGCCTTGCGCCAGATGCGAACCTTGCCGTCCATTCCACCGGTTGCCGCCAAGTCACCAGCGGCGTTGAAGAGCGCCGAGGTGACGCTGTCAGTGTGGCCGCCAAGTCGCACCACTTCGGAGCCATCCTGCGTGTTCCAGATCCAGCCACCGTCGTCCTCTCCTCCGCTGAGCGCCAATGGTGGGTTGGGGAAGGAAGGGTGGAGCGAAACGGAAAAGACCGACTTGCGGTGCGAGTAGAAGGCGGCTATCGAATTGTCGACGAATTCTTCTTGGCCTGGACCCGGACCGTCTTGACCATCTTGCTGAGGAGCTGTCTCGTCGTCGCTGTCGTCATCCATGGGCACATCGCCCTCTTCGTCATGGTCGGCAACTACTTCGTCGACATCTTCGTTGGCGAGATCGGATCCGTAGTCCTCGCCATGATCCTCGACGACCTGTTCAGGGTCCTGATGCGTTTGTGTAGAGCTCATCGTGTAGCGGATCCGTGTATGAGCTTGTAAGGCGTTGGTGTGCGAGGATCGGATGGGCAGATTGCGTACTGGCCCTTCTTATACCTGTTCGGCTTTGAGTAGAGAGGGCCTGCTGATGAGCGTTTGGAGTTCAGGCTATGCAATCGGTGAACGTACGTAAAGAGAAGCGCAGCATCGTTCTTCGGTGTTAAGCAGCTCCACTCGCGACCCTCTGGTCCAAGAAATTTTCTTCGCGGCGGCGCAGCGACGTCTCTCCGTCTTCCGGGCCAAGTCAAATTTCGCAAGATGTGCGATCAACGGGAGCAACAATAAGGCCTTTATGGGGAGCGGCGGGCTGAGAAGAGTGGAGGCATGGAGGCGAAATAAACTCAGCTCAGCGCGTTGACGCCTCCTTTTGGCAAGGCTGTGTGTGTGAGAGTGTCCGCGGCTCAGGCTGGATGTATGCGGTCGGTCAGCATGCGAGATTTAGGTGCTGGATCGCCTGCGCTCGCCTCGCTTGGGCTGGCTGAGTCTCGACTCCTCTTTTTTTGGATCGCCTCGCCTGACGCGCCCCTTGGTCAACAGCAGGACCCTGAATTGGCCAAGGCAACCAGCGGCCCCTGCCTCGCTTTGCGCTCGCTCTCTCTCTCTCTCCGCAAAACGACCCTAATCAGCATTATTGCGCGAGAGCCGGTCATGATAACGTTGTGGCGCGCGCGCGTGTGTGTGTGCGCTTCTCCTATCTTGGTGTGCGATGGCGCTTTGAGGATGTAATGTGCTGTAATTGGAGCTTGTTGGCGTCAAGGCTGGAGCTCAGCAGGTCTGACTCCACGGTCTTGTGATGGCCGGCGTGGAGGCGCTGTTGTCAGCCGTGAGCTGCACGCTCATGCATGTTCAAGCGGACTCGCTAAGCTGCAATCCAATTTTTTGGAGACAGCGGACAAGCTGAGTGTGTGACTGTGACAAGGGTCGAGTTGATATCCCTGGTCTATCACTACTATCACACCTCGCTATCCATCTCTTCAACCATCACATTCGACCTCTCCGCGAACCTCATCCCGATCGCCGTCCTCATTCACAGCCTTCATCGGCACTGCGCATCACCTTGAAGCATTCTCTACACAAGCGCCGCGCCGCTTCAGTCCCAGCATTGCTCAACACCGGACCGGCCACCTCCTTCACTGACTCCTCGACCGCAGGCCACTCTGGAACCCAGCCTCCTTCGACCGGATTCCTTCATCTAGCCCCCCTCCCGTCCGGACGATCGCCACTGGCTTTGATCCGCTCAGACATCCGAAGCAATCCTCTGGGCCCGCTCCCCTCGACGTCGACGACCTGGCATACATTCCATCGTACCTTGATTCGCCGTCCGCTTCACCCCAGCCTTCTCTGGCTCAGCGTCTTTCGAGATTGCACTCACAGAGCGCGGGTGCGCCTCTTGCTTCCCTCTGCCGAGCTCGCTCTTCCAAATCTCCGGACGGAGAAAGCAGAACGAGCAGCCTCGCCTTTGCGACCTGGCCTAGCTCCACATCCGCATCCAACCAAGTCATTCGCTCATGTCCAGAAGCTCAACCGGTCGAGATGAACGAATCGGCGACTTTGTCATCGAGCATGAAATCGGCAAAGGTTCCTTTGCCGTTGTCCACAAGGGTCACCGCATCCAGCCTCGTGAGCCCGTCGCCATCAAGATCGTGACCCGCAAAAAGCTCACTCCCAAGCTCTTGGACAATCTCGAAGGCGAGATCGCCATTCTCAAGGCAATCCACCATCCCAACATCGTCGAGCTCAAAGAATGCCTCAAGACAGAGAATCAGATCTACCTCGTCATGGCCTTCTGCGCATCCGGCGACCTGTCTCAATACATCAAGAAAAGTTTCGACATCTACGAGCGCGCAGGCATCGCCGAGTCAGGTGCCGTGAGTAGGCATCAGAAGCCACGGTATCCGCATCCTGTCGACGGAGGCCTCAACGAGATCATTGTCCGCTCCATCTTGACTCAGCTCGCCGCAGCGCTCGAGTTCATGCGCGGACGCGATATCGTACATCGCGACATCAAGCCGCAGAACCTCCTCCTCCAGCCACCGGATGCCGCCTTTCTTGCTTTGGGCAACCCGCGTGAGATCCCGCAGATGAAGGTCGCCGACTTTGGCTTCGCGCGCCACTTGGGTGTCAACACTCTGGCCGAGACGCTTTGTGGCTCGCCGCTCTACATGGCTCCTGAGATCCTTCGCTTCGAGAAGTACGATGCAAAGGCAGATCTCTGGTCCGTCGGCGCGGTCCTCTTCGAAATGACGGTAGGCAAACCACCCTTCAAGGCTGCCAATCATGTCGAGCTTCTCAAACGTATCGAGCGAGGCGAGGATAAGATTAAGTTCCCCGATGAACGATCCGCAGGCTCTCTGGCTAGAGAAGCTGCGCGCAGGCAAGAGCTGGGCGAGCCGCCACTGCCACCCCCGCATCCTGTCTCGGAAGATGTCAAGACGCTCATCCGCCAGCTGCTTCGCCAGCGTCCCGTCGGCCGCATGAGCTTCGACGACTTCTTTGCCAGCCCCGTCATCCGCGATTTCAAAGCCATGATCCGTCCTCATGCTCAGCCTGAAGCCGTCGAACAGTACGAGGATCTGCAAAAGAGCGAAAGAAGCGTCATTCTCCCTTCTTCTGGTATTAAAGACGCATCCGTATCCTCGGTCGAGGCACCTGCGCCCAAGTCAAATGCACAGACATCGGCCAACGCAGCGCCGCCTGCGCCATCACCAGATCGCGGACCGCAGAAAGGAGCCAACCTTGGCAGGGAGGAAGACAGCTCGAGGGCACTGACAAGAGAGAACACGGATTCGAGCAGCGCGCCACGCGACACAGTCAAGGCAGCCAGGACCATCCCGCGCGCCTTCTCGGCCAAGTACGTCACGGGTCAGGCTCCGCGACTCGAGGAGCCGGAGAAGCGTGCAGGACCGCCACCGTTGACACGAGTCCCGAGCTCGCCAGGAATCCCGGACAAGTCTCTGCTCTCCAACGAACGAGAGGAAGCCCCGCAGGGATCGACGACCGCAGCTCGTCTCGCCAACTCCAGAGAGGGAGAAGACAGCTTCCTAGGGAAGGAATACGTGATGATCGAGAAACGCAACGTCGAGGTCAACGCGCTGGCCGACGAATTGGCAGCGTCCCCCCAGAATAGGATGTCGTTAGCCGCCCGCAGACCTTCGCGCTTGTCGCGCCTGAGCTCCGGTGCGGTTCCAAGCACCAGCGGTGTGTCGCCACCTGCAGCAGCGTCGGCCGGCCCAAGCTCCAAGCCGATTCGCATTGCAACCGACACGGACAGGGCTTCATCGACGGCTACTTCCACAACGACAGGAGCATTCGCGCTGCCGCCTGGCGCAAGGCCATCATCCGTCCCACGCCGCGCCAGCCTCTCATCCTCGGGCTCGCCATCTTCTCGCCAAGGTGGCCAAGTCATCACGGCGGCGGATGCTGTTGCGAGCACCCAGTCCTCGCGCAGAGAAGCCAACACCTCATTGGTGGCTCCAGGAGAGGAAGTCAGCATGCTCGGGCAGAAGCTGGCCGGCTTTGGCTTGACGGGCGCTGGCAGTGGCGGTCCTTCCAGTGCTCTCGCCAAAGCAATCAGTATGGCCTCGCTGCGCCTCTTTGGAGTTCCCTCTGGCGTCTCCTTGAGAGATGCGGCAGCACTCGTGCGCACGAGAGCCCAGAGGCGTGGTTTCGTACGACCTGCGGACCCTTTGGACGAGGCAGAGATGAGTCTGCTGAGCACGCTCGAGGATCTGGGGCAAAAAGCTTTCGTCCTGTCCGAGTTTGCAGACTCGAAGCTTGCCCATTTCTTCCCTGACGGCCCGCACCAGCTCTCGCAAGACCTCGATGCATCAACGGCAACGACCGGCGTCTCGCCCGGAAGGACCAGCGCGCAAGCATCGGGCCGCCGCGTTGGCTCCATCTCTTCGTCATCCTCGTCCGCTCTCGATCCGCTCGCTGCGGAGTCCGCATCGGCAGAAGCGCTGATGCTATACGTGCGCAGCCTCGCGTTCTTGCAGCGAGCCATCACGCTCACGCGCAAGCACATCGAGTCTCGCTCGCGGCCTGGCGCACCGGCTGTGACGAGTGCCGAGCTGAACGACGTGGTGCAATGGCTACGTGCGCGGTTCAACGAGGTGTACGACAAGGCCGACTTTGCGCGCACGCGATGCAACGAGTTGCCCGAGTCGGCGCAGCAGGTGGACAAGCTCATCTTTGACAAGGCGGTCGAGGTGGCTAGGGCGGCTGCGACGGACGAGCTGGAGAACAACCGCGAAGGCAGTGGGTGGGATGCGTCGCACTGCCTGCTGGCGTACGAGACGGCGAGCTCGATGCTGTCCTCGCTGCTGGATCCGGGCGAGGAAGCGCTGAGCCTGAGCGAGGGCAGCATTTTGATGATCGACAAGTACGTCAAGAGCATCAACAAGCGTCTGTCGACGTTGCAGGAGCAGTTTGGCGGAGGTGGCGGTGGCGGCGCGACCCCGGGTGCGAGCCCAGCCAGCGTAGATGCTGAAGCTCGGGCTGGTGTGAGTCGGAGCAGGACCGAATCGCCCTTGTCAAATGCCTCGCCTGCAGGCACCCCAGCACGATGATCAGCAATTTCCTCTTCTTTCCTTATGCTCCCTTTTTATCATGCTTCTCGTCACACCGCATGTTTGCAATGGTCCATTCTCAGTCATCCTTGGGCAGTCTCCCTGTTTGTGCGAAAGTTGATTGCATTGAGAGAGGGGCTACTCTTGCTCGCCCTGGTAGAGGCGGCGCATCTCGGCACCAATCTCGACACGGCGCTTGCCCTCGATGAACTCCATAGCTTCCTTGTAGGTCTGGGGTAGGAGCTGGCGGTCTGTCTGGCCCAGATCGAAGCTGAAATGAAACTGTTTGAGTCACAAAAGAGATCAATGATGCGATCAGCAATGATGATGGTGATGGCGAAAGAGGAGATGAAAGCACTTACAGTGTTGCTCTTCTTGCGCTCGCCCGTTTCGAGGTCGACCACCTCCGCTAGGACGGTGACGCTGGCGATGGTGTGGCCTTGCGGGTGCTGCGCAGGCTCCGACGTGTATGCAATTTGCGAGGAGAGCTGGAGCATGGCACCGATCGGTACGGGTGCGTGGAAGGAGAGTGCATCGAGCGACAAGAACTGCACGTGGCGGTTGACGAAGGACGCCGAGGCCATCCACGCAAGTTCGTACGCTGATCGCATGAGGAAACCACCGAAGATCTTCTGATGCACGTTGCGTTGCTGCGGGTGCATGTGCATGGTGGTGCTCAAGCTTGTCTTGCGGACAGGCACGAGTGTGGGGCCATCGGGATGCTCGGCAGGTTCGAGCTTCATCGCAGGCCCATGCAGCTCGTCGGTAGCAAACATGCCGGCATGAAGACCACGAATGTATTGGCTGTGCAGCAAGAAAGCTTCCTCCTTGCTGGGCGGTACCTTTTCGAGCGACGAGGCGGCTTCGGTGCGCTTGCGATTCTTGTGACTCTCACCCATGGCAAAGAGTGCTCTTTCTGCGTCGGTCTCGAGTATGAGCGGCGCTATCCGTTGACTCTTGAGCGTGTGAGCGTTACGTGCGGCCATGGTGAATCGACCTGTAAGGCAGATCTTGTTGGGACGCGTGGGCTCGGTGAGCTGTTCGATGCTGACAAAGACTTCCATACTACTTGCGCCGACGTAGATGACGTGGCCGCTGAGTCGATAGTTGGCATCGGCAGTCAGCGGTGCGAGCAGATCCAGACGGTCAACCGAGGCGGTGACAATGTAGATCGGAGCCGAGCCGCCTTCAATCGGACGCCCGCCGAGAGCGTGTCTGTAGGAAATGCCGCCAGCGAGACTGTCGAGATCCTCGAGCACCTTGCCGAGACGGATGAGGCCTGATGTCGCAATATACTTCTCAAGCAGCTCCGGATCCTCCGTGAAGGGAAGGTAGAGCTCGACGTAGCTGTCTTGCATGCGTTTGGGCTCGAGCATCGACGGTGGTAATTCCGAAGAGGTAGACTGCGTTGTTGGCTCGTTGTGATGCTGCGACTGCATCTCCTTCATCCAGCTCCTCCGTGGCGCCAGGCGTGCTGCGATACCGAGTAGGAGTCGTTCAAGCTCATTTCGGTCAGTCCGGCGTGTAGCAACAGTTACCGATTGGCAATGAAAGACTTACTTGGCATGCTGAGTTTGAGCTTCTGTGGGTGTGCTCCTCTGACTTCGGCCATGAGCTTGTGGATCTCACGCACTGCATTGGTCTCTTGCAGCGGCGATGCTTGCTGTGTCAGATGTCGTCGAAATTGGCGGCATGACTGCAGGCTGGGAGCTCGACTCGAGCTGCTGCGCAGGGCTACGCGAGCGAACATGGTGGAGGAACTCGATGCCATTGTTGGAGGCGGGCGCCGTTGCATGTGCTTGAGTGGGTGCGATAGTCTGAGAGGCAACACCGTGAGACCCCCTTTATACGCTGTGGCGACTGTTCCGACACTGAACGAGTCGAGTCAGCAGTGCGTCGGAGGGACCAGGAGCAGATGTCGGATCGAACCGATGACTTGACTGGAGTCGAAGCATTCGGATGAGCCGAAGCAACTTAGGCTTCAGGGTCTCGCCGACACGCGGACCTTTCCGAGCGCGGATCTGGCCGTGGGGAAAATTAAATAATGTGAGGTTAGCGAGTTGCACAATCAGCGATATTTTTTAGGTTTGACTCAGCGATGGCATCAAGTGAGCCTCAACGCGGCCCAAATGCAGGGCGGGCGTGCCTTGTCCAAAATGGGCCGACTTGGGGCCCTTTGCTGCGCGGGGTTGACCGTTGGATCGCTTAGTATCAGTCGCCGAGAATGGGATTCGAGCCTCGATATGGTGGCTCTTTCATTGTTAGCGATCCATCTTCTCACCAACCGTCATTCTACATCAACCCACCTCGCTGCCGGATCGCCTTCCCCGCACAATCAAAGATACGACCGTCCATCTGTCCTTGTTCATCCTGCAATCGCGAGTTCATAGCTCACATGAGCCCGTAAATCATTCAGCCTGTTTCGGGCCATCGCCCAGATATCTGCAACCAACCACACGATCAACGACCCTGGACAACGGAGCATCTGCGGTCATGTCGGGTCCCATTCGACCCCGTGCAGGGCGCACTTCGGCGTCCACTGCATTCCTTGTCTACATTCTGGGCTTCGCGTTGTGTTTCTCCACCGCCGTCTTGGCTAGTCCTACTATGCCATCACTCGACGCTCGATCTCAGTTGCCCTTCTCCTCAGAAGAGATATCTGCAACCTCCTTCGATGTGCTCGGAGTCCAGCGAGTCAACGTCACTCTGGCAGTCATGTCCAGGTGCCCTGACGCACTAGCATGCGAGGCCGCTTTCGACAAGGTGCTCGACCGCGTCAACGCAAAGACCCACCTCACCATGACCTACATTGGCACCATCGACAACGATTCGAAGCACAACAAGTATGGCGCCGACTGCATGCACGGCGAGCAAGAGTGTGCCGGCAACGTCCAACAGCTTTGCGTTCAAGACGCTCTCAATCCCGTCCGTGCTGGCGAGGACTACGATCTTAGCCCCAGCGCCGCTCAGAAGAAGTGGTGGAACTTCCTCCAGTGCCAGAACTACGCCGGCACCTCCAAGATCGGCAACGAAGATCTCGCTCAGCGATGTTTGCGTCTCGTCGACGGCCCCTCGTGGGACAAGGACGGTATTGCAAAGTGCGTTCACGGCAAACGAGGTCGCAAGCTCCTCCAACACAGCATCAAGGCCTCCAAAGCGGCCAACCTCGGCACATCTTGCACCATCGTTTTCGAAAACGGAAAGAGATGCACTCGCGACGGTGGCGCCTGGAAGAACTGTGATCTTGGACATCAGCCTTCCGACTTTGTCAACGAGATCGAACGCATCTGGTCCGACAAGAACGGCGGTTCCAAACATGTCTCGTCCACTAGCCCCAGCAAGGTTGCGTCGGGATCCCCAAGCCGAATCGTCAAGAGGCAGAGCAGTGCTTCGCCAACCGACAATACCGGATTCAACAATCCCTTTGCCGGCAACAGTACCCCGCCTAGCGTATTCGTAAGTGTCTTATACTCTGCGCTCGTCCCTCCCCCTCGACAAGCAATTCCGATTGCACTGTCTGCATCCCCGTTCGATCTCACACGCCCAAACCGGGCAGTGCCGCCGCACAGCGTCGGCCGGCAGATGGCCGTGAGCAAAGGGTCATAAGAGCTCACACAACTCTTTCGCCTTGTACTTCTGCTCTGCTTCCCCGCCACTTTCCCTGCGTTTTGCCCTTCCCATCTGCTTTCGCCGTCGCAGACACTGATCATCGGTTAGTATCTTCCCTCTTCTCTTTCTTATTTGCCCCATTATCAGCATGATACCCCGCGGACTCCCGCGTCCGACGGGGCGGTTCGACATGCAAAAAGGCAGAGTGCCAATGTCTACCAGTTCTCTGGACCTAACCTCCCTACTCCTTTCCTCGCTTTTGCCGGCACAGCCATCGCTTTGTTCGTCATTGTCGTCTGCTTCGTCCTTCTGAGGATCATCTTGCGCAATCGTCGACTTCGCCGTCTCGGTCTGCTGCCTGACGGGCCGTTCGATCGCCTGCTCGGGCCGACGAGGGAAATCGAGGACACGCTTACACCGCCCAAGCTTCTCGAAGCTCGCATCGCGCACGACGCTCGACCCACCGCCTACGATGCAGAGGTCAAGGCCAAAGGCTGGGATGCAGTCATGCCCATCTCTGCTGCCGTGCCACCCGTGCTCTACTCGGATCTCTTTCCCAGGTCGAAAGGTCAAGATGGCGGGTCTTCGAACGGTGCTGGCGATGGCAACGACGCAAGTGTAGGCGGTCAGACCGACTTCTCGTATCCTCCGACGTCTTCGCAATCAGGCGGCCTGACTCGTCGTTTGCATGTACCTGGCTTCTTGCGACGCAACGGTGATGGCAGCTCCCACGACGATGCTGCCGGTCCCGGCGCGGCTGGATCGGCAGGCGACGCCGGCGCAAATGGATCCGCAGGAGAGGCAGGTCTGAATTCGGACTCCAGCACGCCAGCATCTGTCAACGTAACCGTTCTCATCGCCATGCCATCGCAGCGCACAGTGTTCCCTTCAACGTCCACGCTCAAGTCACAGCGATCGCTCAACATGAACGCGATCGACACGAGCAAGATCGACGAGGTGGAGGAGAGCGCCGATTCTCAGCACGGCGGCCTCAGGCGAACCGCAAGTATGAAGAGTTTCCGCACTGCAGCCTCTGTCAAGAGCATCGGCGACGCTCGCCGGGAAGCTTTCTTCAACAAGATGAACGAAGGCGAAGCCAACGTCGTCGACGTGCCGGCGACCAACTTGGACGACGAAGACGAGGAGGAGCTTCCAGAGCTGGTGTTCGGCACGGCAAGTGTGCCCATCTTCACGCGCATTGCGGGCGCTGGTCCTGTTGGCCGAGAGCCCTTCGCCGGCACCATGGAAGCGTATCAGCCGTTGAGATCGGAGCTCGTCCGACTGGTAACGAGCGCGCACCAAGCACGCGAGCGCAAGGTTGCCATGGACGCGGCCGCCCAGCAGGCCGAGAAGGACGCCGCCAACGCAGACGATGGTCAGACGACGCTCGACGAGAGGTCTACCAACCAAGGTCAAGCCACCGTCAACACTAACAATGGCGTTGTGCCCGCAACTGACCGCCGCGTCAGCGCTAGCGAGACGATCGACAGCGAGACAGCCGCCATCATCGGCGCGCCCGGCCTTGCTACCGTTCCCACAGCGCATCAGGACGGTCTTGGCGATGTCGTCGGACGGATGATGGCGACGGACGCCCCGTCGTCGGCGATGCCTGCACCTGCGATCGGCAACCGGGTGAGCAGCTCGACGGCAGACGCTGCGCCCTACAACGTCGATCCACTGCTGGGAGACAACGCCCCTTCGCACGATGCCAGCAACCAACGCAACGCCAGTGTCCCCGAGAGAGCGGTCTGATCGCTCTTCAGCATGATGATTTTGCGGCATGTTTTCGGCTCGTCTTTTTTGTATTTTAATTTTGTGCTCAGATTTGCGCCTCGTTCGAAAGATACCAGCTTTCACTTGGTCACCACTTTGTGCGGCCTCAGGATGACTGGGAATGAACCATTGCGAACATGTGGCGCGATGAGAAGCATGATGGAAATTATGCAGGCGAGCCGTCAAACTGCGGACATTGCCCCGAGGCTGTATCAATAGACGCAGCCAAGCAGACGATGCCGAGTCAGGTGTAGCCTGTCCAGAGCCATTGAATGTGATTCTTCCTGTCCGCATGCTCAATCGATGTGACTGCAGGTGGAGCGATGGGATGTATCTGAACTAGGGTAGCGATGCGAACGTTACTAACGCTAAACGTGACCCGATGAATTAAGGTTACTTCCGCCTCAGCTCCGGCTCCCTTCGTCTTTCGGCTCTTCCGCTCATCGATCAATCGATGTGACGAGCGAATGAGCTCTGACGAAGCAAAGTTGCGGTCGCAAAGCGAAGGAAAGCCAAGTTTGACGGGAGAGGGTGCTGCGTGACGGACCAGAATTAAGGTTAGTTTCGTCTCAGATCCGCCTCACTTCGCCTTTCCACTCTTCCTTGCTCACTCAGTGTGACCGCAGGCGGACGGACAGTTGTGACAGATACTAAGTGTGATGGGTAAAGGCAATCCCAATGGGAGAGAGACGGCGAGCACAAAACAAGGTTTGATTCGGCCAAGAGGCAATTTGGGAGCGGAAACCAATCGAGCGAAGGACCGAATGAAAGGATTGCGCATAACGACACGGGCGGCGCCTGTGTCGAACCTTGATTCCGGTGATGCTGCTTCCGCTTCTCGACGGAGCCCATCGCCAAGCCGACGAGGGCGTTGACACTTTGCACATGTTTTTGACGCTGGTAGTTGCAGCCTTGCTCGAAATCATTGCGCAGCATTGGTGCGCAGCAGAAGCTTAAGTCTGTCCATTTCATCTCGTCGCCTCTGCGCATGCTTGATGAGGTTGGTGACACGACGATGCGGGATGTCAGCTGAGTCTTGCATTGAACGCTTTGAGAGCTGCTGAGCACGGCAGCCTGTGCGGAACAGAAGCACGGAACAACAGCGATTGTAGAGGGCTTTTGGCATCGAGCGTTGGATATATAAGATCGAGCTTCCTCGTCCCCCCTTCCCTTTCCCAATCCATTCCCCTCACAGACGTCGACATCAATCGCCCTCGACAAAAACCTCACACGCCCTGCTTCATATCGTCCTCAGCTTTGCCGCTTCGTTTCAGCATGGGTCGCATCGTCAACATCGACGGGTCCCGCCCCACTCCTTCGACCCCCCAGGTCGGCCGCAACCCCACGCATTACGAGATGGTCGGCATGATAATGCGCGACATGCACAACGACGGCCTCGCTGCTCGCATTGCCAAGGACTGCCGCGCTCCCGGCGCTACCGAGATGCTGCAGAGCGTCATGTGGGACATCGCCAACAACCGTGTCACTCAGCCCGTCACTGTTCGCGCCAGATAAGTCGTGCCCTTCGCTACCCTCGACGAGGCGCCTGACCATGTCGCTCGAATCAAGCAGCACGTTCGTTCCGAGCGCGTAGTGTTCGACCCCGCCATCGTCGAAGAGGACGGACTCCACATCAGCGCCAGCGTTGGCTGCGAGCCCAACCAGGAGGCCGAGCTCTTCACCGGCCTGCTCAGCATCGATGGCTTCCACAGCGTCGAGCTCGTCAACTGCAACGAGGTCTAGGTATCTGTTTGCACCACGCCCAGCCTCGCGATCCGCAGGCGTCAGTGCGTAGTTCCCGCAGCTCCCGTCAAGAATTTTCTCCCCCGCTCCTCGCACGTTATCCCTCCTCGTCTGCGACGACTTTCTTGTTCCGCGTCTCCTTTTGTACGCTATACATCATGTTGTCCCGTCGAATGCAATTCGTTGCCCCCTCCATTCAGTTTGTGTCACGCGCGATCCTCATTGAGCAAGCGATCTGAGTCACACACGGCAGCCATGAGCAAAGTGCGAACCTGTATCATTGCGTACGTGAAATGCAGAAGCCTTTACGAAACCATTGAGTCATATTGTGTCGTGATGATCGTTAGAATGGCAGCCCGTCGATGCCCGGCATGCCTTTGAGAAAAGCTCTTCGCCCAACGCCCAGGCTGTCAATGTGGACGATCGAGTAGCGATTCTGCGCCGCCGCCTCCGCCCTTTCCTGCCGCTTTCCAGCCATCTTGTCCACCTCGTTGGCGGCTTTCGAGCTGGACGAGGGAGCAGACGCAGAGATAGCAAACCCGTTCATCGCAGAAGGTACCGGTCGCTTGCGCCGATACACTGGCCGCGGCGTGCTAGCCAGCGAGTTGGGGTCGAAATCCGGGATGGCGTACTCCCACTCTTCTGCGTCGGACGGGTCGTCTGCTGCTTCAATCGCGGCTGAGGGTGAGGCGGTGAAGCTGAACAGGCTCGTCAACCAATCCGGCATCGAAGGGAGGGCGAGACTGGGCAGGTACGCAGAGTAGAACGGCGCAATCGCGCTCTCAGAGCTGTCAGCGACTTTATTCTCCGTCTCAGACCGGTCGATCGCCGTCGACAGGCCAAAGAAAGCGAGCAGATGCTGCGGGAGCACAGGCACGTAGCTCAACAAGCCCGTTGGCCCAACCTGCTTGCTTGCACCGTGATCGCCAGCATCCGCATTGAGACCAGCACTACGAATGATGCTGGCACCAATCCGACTCGACCCCGCCAGAAACTCGATCAGCACCGTGCCGCCCTGCATCATCCTCTCCACCCGCTGCGACTGCTTGCGCTTCTCCTTTTGCGCTTTCCTCGCTTTGTCTTCCGCAGAGAGCAGCTCGATTGCCGACCCGTCTGCGAAGGATCGCGGAAACGAAAGGATCGAGGATGGGTAGAGAGCGGAACCGCCCCGAGCGGCGAGGTGCGTGTAGGGCGCGTCGATGGGCAGGTGGCCGTTGTCGAGTGCTTCGCGCCACACGCCGTCTTCGATGCACCGCACTTGGTCGGTGCGCAGCGTCGAGCGCGGGAGGTGGTTGCTCGAGCGGGCCTTGATCGTTGGCGGACCGTCAGCTTCAGCGGTTGCCGCTGCAACAACCGTCGACTCGCTTTGACAGGCGATCTCACCGTCCACGGATGCCTCGAGTGCCGTCTCCGCTTTACTTGTGCGGATTGAGACCTGGCTCACCACCGGCTCCGGCTGATCCTCGACATGTGCGGCGGGACCAGCCTTGCTCCATCTCTTTTTTGCCTGCACCGCTTTGCGCCAGACCCTCGCCACAGGCCCATCAACACTGCTCCCAGCCGCGCCCAACACCTCGCCCTCCTCGCCGTCATCCACCTGCAGATCACGCAGCAGCTCCGGCCGATGCTTCTCGACGTCCCTCGCCGCTTGGTCACGAATCGAGATGAGACTGGCATGCGTGATGTCGCGTGGGTGGATTTCGAGGGCGTCGGAGTCGTAGCTCGCCGCGCCGGCGTCAGATGCGACGCTGAAGAAGGCTGAGGTCGTGCTCGTGCGGTGTGAGAGGGGTACGTCCGCAGAGACAGAGGTCGAGCGCTTGGGTGGCAAGGGTGGCGGGCTGAAGGTGTCGTCTGCGAGGATGGAGGGTGGGCGAGAGTCAGGGGCCGGCGTGTCGCGATACACGGATGCGGGTCGTTGGACGATGGTGCTTGGGCGTGGAGTGGGCAGGTCCTTGTTGTAGTCGATGTCGCCCGGAAGAATATCGGTGCGAGGCAGCACAGGGGAGGTGGCGTCGAGGCCAAGCGCAGTATCTTGACACTTGTCGTGCAGGGTACGCACGTGCTCATCGAGCGGTGTCTGTGCTTCTTGCGCCCCGTCCGCGTCGCTCTCCAATCCATCGCTGCTAGCTGTGTTTGCCTCGTCCAAATTGGACTCTGCGGCATCAGGATCCAGATCGATGTTGGATGCGAGTACGCCGGCGATCTGACCTGTGAGGTTGTCGACGGCGACCAAGCTGTTCCTGTATTCGGAAAGCACGACGGAGCGATTCAGACCTCGTGCGATGATTGGAATGGCTTCATCCTTGGCGACAGGCGAAGAGAGTGGTGCGGCAGTCTCCTCTTTGAGCGCTTCTGGAGCAGCGAGAGGGATTGAGGGCAGCGGTCGTTGAGAGGTCGAGTCAGGCTCGCCAGCACTGACTGCGTTGTCGACAGCCAAGTAGCGATCTTGCCAGGGGAATCCGTTGCGCTCCTGAAGCCAGCGCGGCAGCGGAGGGGCTGGAGCTGGATAAGAGCAAAGCAGATCCTGCAAATGCTGCACTACGGGAGAGGGGGTGCTGATGAGCCACACGGTCCAGATGGCGCGCCGACCGACTCCATCTCTCTCCCACCGATATCGATCGAAAGCGCCTTCCTCTCCAACATCTTCGAAGAACCAAAAGCTTCCGCCGTCGAGACCTTTGGTACCAGCGCCAAGGCCTGGATAGATCTGGCGGTGAGCCGCGTCGAAGCCTGTGACCTTGGATCGCGATACAAGCTCGCCGGAGACGGGATCGCGCTGGAAGGAGCGGAACGGCAGGACGAAGCGTCGCGAAGCGCCTTGAAGGTTGTTGGCGTTTGTGAAGCCGATGGATAGGACGAGGGTGGCGATGGTTGGGTCGAGCGGATCCGGAACGAGCAGGAGTGACAGAGGACCGTGGACATCGGTCAGCACTACATCGCTGGATGAGGCGCGACCGGTGCCGAGCGTGTCTCTAGGAACGTGTCCGTTGACGCGCACTGGGGGAAGCAACTGTGGGACCATCTTGATGAGACGAGCGGCCGGATGAGCGAAGAGTGTGATGGTCGGCAATGAGCGTGGCGGTACTGCGGGACGGAATCTGGATGTCACTGCTGTCGACATCTCTGCTTGTCTGCGATGCTGCCGTAGGGGTTGCGGGTGATGGTGAGCAGGCTGACGACGAAGTCTATGGCGAGGACCGGAATCGGAGGGCTTTCATGAGTGGTGAAGTCGTGAAGAAGACTGCGCTGAACAGAATGAGGCAAGCAGCGGCCTGACGAGAGCGACGACCCAAGGAGGGCGTCTAGGGGTCGAAGCATGAGACGAAGAGGTCGAGGAGGTGCGAGGATGCCCCTGAGCAGCTGCAAGGGGGATCTGCAGGGTGCATATGTGCTTGGCAGGGCCGAGCTTGGGAGCTTGGACCCTTGACAGCCTCAGTCTCAGTGTTGATCTCGGCTTTTTGGCTCAGGTTCGGAGGCGTGAGAGCCGCGACCTTACATCTCTGAAGAGACCAGGCGGCTCGTGAGTGCGGAGCTGCAACCCCCCACTTCATCATCTCGCTTGTCTAGCTTTATCACCACTCACAACCGCCAGCTCCGCCAAAGAACATGTCTCCGCCACCGCCAACGCAGACACTCGCAGGGGGCGCAGTGACCATCAATCACGTGCGCCTCCATCCCTACTCGTCTCGCCTTCCCACCGACCAGCCGGCGCTGGCGATGGTATGCACAATCAATCGGCCGTCTGTCAAGAACGCCGTGGACCGGTCAACCGCCACCACCCTCCACGATGCATTCACCGCCTTTGCCCACGATCCTTCGCTGCAGGTAGCAATCCTCACCGGCGCCGGGGGCACCTTCTGTGCTGGGGCGGATCTCAAGGCTATCCTCTCCTCCGCGTCCTCTTCTGACGCCGGCAACCTGCTCGATCCGAACCTGGACGCCCCCGCGCCGATGGGCATCACCCGACTGGCGATGAACAAGCCCGTCATTGCGGCGGTGGAAGGCTTTGCCGTCGCGGGCGGGTTGGAGCTGGCTCTGTGGGCAGATCTGCGCGTCGCTTGCGAGAAGTCCCACTTTGGCGTGCTGTGTCGCCTGCGGGGCGTACCACTGATAGACGGTGGCACGGTGCGGCTGCCTGCGCTTATAGGCGGGTCGAGAGCTGCCGAGCTCAGCTTGACGGGCAGACTTGTGGGCGCGAGAGAGGCGGAGGCGATGGGGCTCGTCAATTATGTCGTACCAAAGGGTGAGGGAAAGGAAGGGTGGTCAAATGTGATGGTCAAGGCGCTTGAGGTGGCCGCTGGGATGGCGGCGAATCCACAGACGTGCATGCTCAACGACCGAACGAGCATGCTCAATGCCATGTATCCAACGGTGGAGGGGCCGGAGAAGGCGGGACGGGATGGGGCCGAGGGAGTAGTCGATCTCAGACTCAAAGGAGGGCTAAGGACCGCAATGCAGAGAGAGTTCGAGTTAGGGTTGAATAGTCTGGAAAAGCTCTTCGAGGAGGGAGCGGTGGGTGCCTTTGTCAACAGAACGGGCGAGCAGAGGGATGCTGATCGCAAGGCGAGAAGCAAGTTGTGACACACGAATAAAGCACAATCTCAACGATCTATTTCTACGAGAGTGTGCTGTGTTCTTGTATGAAGAGGTGCGATGAGTCAGTCGCGGTGCTCCCACGCGGAAGCATCGTACTTCTCGACCACGGCAGGGTCTTTCTGTGCGATCGCAAAGGACGTGAGAAGTGATGGTCAGCATACCTTTCCCTCGTATCTTTCGTACTGATCCGAATGCGTGACTGAGCAACCCACCTTGTACTTGTCCTGAAACTCGCTGAAGCCGCCCCGGAGCACGAGCACCTCCTGCTTCTGCTCCCCTTCATTCTCCAGCTTTCCCGCCTCCACGGCGGCCTGCCTGGCTTGCGCATACTGTCCCGCGGCCTTCGGTCCTCTCGCTTGCGAGAGATGGCAGTGGAACACCACCTGCTTGTAGTCCTTCAAAGGCCCGTAGATCAGATCTTGCACTTGATCCGGGAAGGTGGAGGATGGGTGGTTGCGCGCATTGAGGATGTTGCCTCCTTCAAAGTCGTCATCTGCATATCGCCGGGCAGAAGCAAGAAGAGGATCAGTATGAGCCCAAGGGGTCGAAAGCGGGGACGAAGGGAAACGTACCTCGGACATCCACAATGGCGACCTCGCGCTGTTTGGTATCGGAGCCAGTCTTGCGCACCTGCTCCGCAAGGCTGTCTCGGTCGATATACTTGTACAGCGGCTGGAACGACATGGCTCTTGTCTGTGATGGCTGAGAGAATTTGCGTCGAAGCTCGATGAGTCGTTCGGCTCGATCCTGTTGCGTGCAGCGGAGCTGTGCGGTGGTGGACAAGAAGAGACGCCGAGATGCCCGAGATAGAGGGAGCTGGCGTGGTAGCGGGACAGAAGAAGTGGTAGTCGCGCGAGCTGCTCTGCCAATGAGCATTAAAGTCGCGAATGAAGCCGAAGTGTGGTAAGATGAGGGTCGATGCGAATGAGGCTCGAAAGGGTGTTGCCAGGAAGAAGTGGTCGAGAAGGATACAAGCCAAGCTGATCTGTTCGCGCCATGCACGGCGGCCATGAGGTGACTTTTGGCTCGAGGTGGAGGCGACGCTGATCGCAACCTAACACAATATAAAAATCCACGGCTGTTAGGCTCGAGGTCAGAAGCCAGCTGAACGCACATGATCGCATCGCGACTCTCCATCCTTGTTCCCTGACCGCATCCTTTCTTCTCGCAGTAACGTTTGGCTGTTCGAATCGCAGGGCATTTCGGAGCCCTCGTCGACAACATGCCGGCAGGAAGCGTGCCCAGCTGGGCCGTGACCTCATCCTCGACGGCGCTCTTCGGCGGAGGCAGTTCCAACGCCAGTGGCCGCGCAGCTGCGGATGCGAAGCTCGCTTCTTCATCCAACGGCGCATCAATGACAGCATCACAACAGCAGCCATCAAGACCGGAGTCTGATGCTCCGCTTCGATCAGTCAATCAGTCTGCATCCTCAGCCGCAGCAGCTGGCGATGACAAACCCTATCAGCCCAAGCGCAAGCAGAGACCTATCACCCATTGCCCACCTCTTACTACTGTAGCATCTTCCTCGCGTGTTCCGTACGCGATACCCTATGTCGACGACTCGAGCGCTGACAATGCTCTTCATCAGCTCATCGCAGCGCAGGCGAAGCGAGCGGGATTCGACGCGACAACTGCTTCGGCGCTCAACGAGGTGAGCCAGCTGATGAAGAAGTTCCTCACCTCGGTCTTTTCGGCTGCTACGCACGCGGCTGAATTGTCCTGTCGAGGACAACAGTCTGCAAGGGATCTGATATATGCGCTCGAGACGCACGGTCAGCCCATTAGGGAGCTGCGCGACTTTCACCGTCAGCAAGTACGAGAAGCGGACGAGGAGGATGAGAAGAACAAGGCAGGGGCGCAGGCAAGGAGTAAAGCAAGCGAGCACGCCAGTGCGCCTGCAACGTACAAGGCAAAAGGAAGGAGAGCAGAAAAGGCGAGGCAACCTGCAGACAGCGAACAGGATGAAGAAGAAGACTGGACGCAGGGAAGCAACGCTTTCCTCCCGTCCGATTCGGATGACGGCTCCGAGATGGACGCCTGGTTAGTCAGCAGCGACTCGGACGACGATCACGGCAATCGACGCGGAGCTGTACATGCCCGCGTCATGAAGCGCAAGCACGACATCGCACGAACCCTTGCCAAGAGACAACGCCGGCAAGACAAGCTGCGTCCGCCCGTCACAGGCGAGCTCGGCCCCTCGGCATCAACGTCGTCTTCAGCGAGAGATCTGCGGGCGCTCACATCTGGCGAACAAGCATGGCGGCGAGTGGCCGACCACATCGTCCCACGACATCTGCCAGGGATGCCACCGAGACACGCATGGATGCAGACGCCCGCGTTCCCGACCAACGCGTACGGATCTTCGTTCGGCGGCGCGGACGATGACGACGAGGAGACAAACAAGAGCAAGAAGGACCCGCTGCTGCTGGTCAACCGGAAGCTGGCGAATGCGAGGCTCGTGGAAGCTTCGTTGCGAAGGTTGATCCAGAACACGGACGGGGCTGCAGCGTTAGCATACAGCGCTTCGTCGACGCGGAACAGCGATTCGTCAACAACTGTGGAGAAGGACGCACCTGCGAAAGTCAATGTTCCGCCTGCCATTGCGTCTCCAGCTCCAGCACCATCAGCTACCACCGGAGGCTTTGCTGTCCCCAAGACACCTGCGAGTGGGCTCACGCTGCGACTCAACCGGAAGATCAGTCTACCTGCATCTGCGTTCAACTCGCCCTCCCAGCCATCTACCCCGCTAGGCAGCCGCAGACCTTCTATTGCAAACTTTGGCAACACAAGCTCAGTCACAGCTCCCGGCACACCTTTGGGCATAGGCATGTCCCTCGGCTGGGGCGGCGAGCCGCTCATGTCGCCGCTCACGCCTGTCTCGGCGTCGGTCGGTGGTCCTATCACGCCCTACCCACCAACACCGGGTGGAGTCTACGGCCACTACTTCGGGTCGAACCCCAACGCCGCGGTCATTCCGAGCAGGTCAAGATCGCAGTCCATCGTCGCTGCCAATGCTGAGCCGTACAGCGGCGGTGAGGGGAACGCAGAACAGCTAGGCGTGCGAGTGCCTGGCCCAGTCAACTATAAGAATGTCTGGTACGCGCCTGGCAGCACTATCGCCAGCGGCGGTCTGGCCGGTGGTGCGACGACTAGCAAGACAGGCAATCACCCTCGCTCGGTCAAGAGGATGCGCAAGTGGAAGGTCTAGTTGCCAATACCAACATCATATCAGAGGAAGACCTTGGCGTGAGAGTGAAATCGGCGATCGTGAAGTCGCGCCTTGAAAGCAAAGACGGATTTTGAATCGAGCTGAGCGCCTTTTTGAATTCAACCCTGAGCAAGGTTGTATTGAGCTCCAGGTTGAGGCGCGAATTCTTGAATCTAGAAATGAAGCAGCTGAGAGAGAGCAGCCAAAATTTCCACTGCAATTCCCTTCTAGCGCGCTTCAGCATGCCACTTTTGCATTCTTCTCAGGTGCCTTTTGCGGGTTCATCTCTTCAACACCTCCATCACCATCACCGCCTGTTCTGCCCCACCCATCCGTAGCAGATCAGCAAAAGGCTTTCGACGCACCGTCACGGACACTCACAGCAGCTCGAGCGTCCTTCCAAACCGAGAGACCCGGTTTAGATCCTCTCGGATCAGCGCATCGCTTTCGTTTCCTTTCCGGCTCGCTCTTTCAGCGCCATCGCATTGGACCCTCCGCGCACCAGCAGTAGCTTTTTACGACACCCTCGCATCGGCCACTCCTCAGGCTCACTTCACACGACTTACAAACATGTCGGCAACCACCGACCTCCCCAAGCCGGCGGCGGACGCCTCGGCTGCCGCATTGGACAGCTCGATCGCATCCACGGTCAACGACACCTCGTCTGCCGAGCCCACCGTCACTTCCGAGAAGAACGCCTCCGAGTACCGCACCGTCTTTTCCGATTCGACCAACTTCAATGTCAAGCACCCTCTCTACAACAGCTGGACGTTGTGGTTCGACAACCCTTCGCAAAAGGGCATGGCCTCGGCACGTGGCACCAAGGAATCCTGGGGTGACGACATGAACAAGGTCGTCTCCTTCGATAGCGTGGAAGAGTTCTGGGGACTGTACAACAACGTGGTGCCACCTTCGGAGTTGCCGCAGAAGGCCAACTACTATCTGTTCAAGGAGGGCGTCAAGCCGGCGTGGGAGGATCCGGCCAACACGAATGGAGGCAAGTGGTCCATCCAACTGCCTCGCGACAAGACACGGGCGCAGATCGACAGGTTGTGGCTGTTCACCATGTTGGCTGCGATTGGCGAGACCTTGGAGGCACCCTTCCCCGACGGCGTTCCCCCACCAAGCAAGGGTCCCGAAGAAGAGCTCATCACTGGTGTCATCATGTCCGCCAGAGCCAACTTTTACAGAATCGCCATCTGGACCCGCAAGGCCGAAGACACGGAGGAGCTCGCCGCCAAACTGCTCGATATCGGCAAACAGTTCAAGGTCAACGTGCTCGGGTACGATATCGATGCCAAGATCGGGCAGGGTTTGACGAGCGATGTCGAGTTCCAGAGCCATAAGGAGAGCGAGAAGAAGAAGGGCAAGAAGACGGTCGTGTAGGGAACCACCGTTCACGCAGAAGCAAAAAAGGTGATCTCCTCACGACAATGCGGGATGCCGTTGTACATATCTTCTTGGGTTCTGAAACCTTTATATCATGTCATCCAGCGTGCGATCAGTAATCGGTCTGAGTGCCACTCGAAAACAACTACACGCCATGTCAAGAGCGCCGTCGGACAATCGCATCTCACACAAGCACGGGCGAGTCGCAAAGCGAGCATTGTCAGTGACGAGGCTATTTTGGCATTTCTGAGCAGACGGGCAGAGAGAACGGGCGAGCGCTCCAGTCAGATGTGCTCGCGCGTAGGTGTGTCGAAGAATGGAAGGGATGTGATGCGGGATAAAGACCGTGCAGCTGCCACCGATGAACAGCGGTTTGCGTGCAGCAGCACGTGATGGACGATTCGGATGCGGTGTCGGCTGGACCTTTGCGCAGCGGGGAAAGGACGCTGTACGGGAGATGCAGTCGATCGACTGGAATGAAGCTCGACAACGAGGTTGGCGTGCGCGCCTTAAATGTACTGCGAGATCCATCGGAAACCCTCACCGTAACCCTGGCGCATGACGACGGAGCACATGAAGATCTCGATAGGCCTGATGTCCTTGAGCGGCACCTTGCCCTTGCCCGTGGTCTGGTAGAGCCCGACAGCCTGGCGCAGCTCCTCCTCGCTCACGGCGCCCGGGGCGTCGATCTTGTTGCCGAGGATCAGGAAGGGCACCTTGGAGAGCTCCTCGATGGCAAGCAGCGCGTCGAGCTCTGCGCGAGCCTCGGCGAAACGCTCGTGATCTTGAGTATCGACAAGGAAGACGATGCCGTCGACCTCAGGGAAGTAGTCCTTCCAAAGGCGGCGCGCTTGCTGGTGTCCACCGAGATCGTATGTGGTGAACTTGACTTGGCCGATCGCAAGCTCTTCCGAGGCTGTTGTGGGGTGAAATAGGTGCGGCGGCGTGCCAAAGAACGAGAAGCGAGAAGATTCGGCGCAAAGCGGCGGCGGCGACGGATCGTTGAGTACATGGGTGTCACAGGAAGCGAGTGGTCAGCGTCCGTTGCAGGGAACAAGAGCGGGCGGCTTCCTGAGCCTCTGAGGGCTCAAATGAGGAGCGGAACATACTTGGGTGAAGAGTGGGCTGCAATGTGGCCAGACGGTCGTTCTTGAGCATGTGCAAAAGCGTCTGTTGCGGCGAGAGCGAGTCGAAAGGACATGCGGCAGGATGAGAAAGGGCGGTACGTCAGCGAGTTTGAAGCAGATGCGAGAAGTGCAATTGAGTGATACGTACGGTCTTACCGGCGTTGTCGAGACCAAGGAAGAGAATCTTGGCATTCTTGTGCGCCAGACCTGTGAGTCAAGAGGAGTGGTGGGCAACGTGATAAATCCGAGGTTGTCAGCCGGCTGTTCGTAGATGCTGGGCTGAGACCCGCTGTAAAAGCTTCGCTCCTGTCTAATCTGTCGGCACAGGCTGCAGCTTGATCTGGTACAGCTTCGACCGTGATACGTACCAAGCTGGGCGAGAATGTCCTGCAAGTCGTGCAATCAGGAATGGTCGTATGAGTGGAAAGCGAGAAGGTCAGCAAACATTTGTCCCAGCCATCGTGGTGAAGACTCCGGAGTCGATCCAATCCGAGCAGCAGTGCGAGCGCCATGCAGCGGCAACGAGGCCGAGATGGCTTAGATCGAAGTACACCCGCCAGTGTGTCCGCTAGTACCTACCCAAAACCAGTTGAGGATGAACATGTTGGCTCGTGATGCGTGCGGAGTATCGACTCGAGGCGATGTGGCGAGCGATTCGACGAGGATGCAGCAGTACGATGTGCTTGAACGAGTTCGGCCTTGGCGCTGTGTGATCGAAGCCGATAAGTCGTGCGGAGGTCGATGATGTAGCAACGATGATGATGATGATGACCAAGAAGATGCTGAGCAAGTGATTTGGAATTGATTTCTTTACGAATGTCGTCGAAAGCGAGACACACAGCTAAGCGCCTTCGCACTTTCAACCCGCACGCTCACGGTTTCACGAAGCCTCGACGTGGCGTGGCGGTGACTTTTGGCTGCAATTTTTGGTCACATCTCAAGTTCAGAGGGCGCGTGCGTTCTCACGATCAAATCGGGCCCGATCCAGTGTCTTCTCAGCTCCAGCTCAAGGCTGTCCCCGACGATACACTCGGTCATGTTGACAGAGCATAATGAGTTGCACAGCGCTTGGAGCGCATTGACGTTATCGAACGTGGCAGTTGAGCCCAATGGATTCGGGCTTAAAGCTTGGTGGTGAGGAAGCTCCATATCGCCGCGCACGTCTGATCCACCAACTGGGTCATCTCCTTGGAGAACGACTCGTTCTTCGTATCCTCCTCTGGTTTAACACCCAATTGAGCCGGATCCGCGTCTAGCACCGTCAACCCTGTCACCGGTCCACCTGCTATCGATGCCTCTCCATCCTTGGGTTGCACCGGCTCTCCTTGCTCCACGTCCTGGTTGACAAAAACGCCCTTGTGCGCAAGCTCGTATGCCGGCCAGACAATGTTGTCAAAGTAGCCCTCTGGATCCTTCCACACGGTGCCCTCTGCTGTTGCGTAGCCAAATCGCTCTTCTCGTCTCTGCTTGAGCACCGCTCGCGGTGTGCGCAGAAACACCTTGACTTCCATCGTCGAGCGCACCTCGGGGTCGTAGTACAGCAAGAAGCCGTCCGCCAGCATCAACCGCACGCCGTCCGCTGGAAAGGAGCTGGATGAGGATATTGATGCAAATTTGCCCTTCCACGTGTTGAAGACAGACTCGGAGATGGGACAGTCTGGCTGGGAGTTGAGATGATCGTGCGAAGAGTGTTCCGATGGGAACGAGCCGGTAGACTTGATGTGTTCGATGGTGCGGTGCATTCTCTTGTAGTCGATGGCTGTTGGGGGGTGGTCCCAGTCGGTGACGCCAAACTCCTCGTTCACCGGCAAGGTCGCTTCTGGCGGCGCAAAGTCGTCTTGATGCAGGATGAAAGCATCTCTGATCCCGCCCTGGCTGCTGCTACCTTCGCCGTGATTGGCTGGGTTCAGGATCTGGAGCAGATGCTTGGCCAACGTCGTCTTGCCAGAGCAGGTTGCACCGCCGACACCGATTACCACAATGCGCGACGAGGAGGTACTACTTGATGCCGCCATCCTTGGAGCAGTGTATCGACGAACTGATCGCAGGGTAGCCGCTGCGAGTTTGTTCGAAGTCTTGAGTGTTGCTGTCAGGGAAAGGGGTGATAGCAGCCGTATCATCGGTTGCAGTGAGCAAGCTGTCAAAACGGTGCTTCTCCGCAGATTGGAGTCAGATCTTCCTGGGCTGAAAGGCACTAATCGGCCGACAGCGCTGCCGGGCAAAGAGGCGTTGATGTGACGTGAGTGGAGGTTTGCCGGTCTCGAAATTGTGACGCAGCGGCAGGAAGAAAAGGCGTGCGCCTATAACGCTCGGCAATGCACAACTCTCTGTGGTCAGCGTGGACGGGCATGGCAAGCAAGTCCGTGCTCAGCGGTTGGAAGAGCAGAGCATGCTCGTTACAAGGCCCAGTCAGTCCGCCGGCAAGTTCTGGCACTGAATATAACATCGCGTGTCCTCTGACCTGCCGCACTTCTTGCCCACAAACCACCAACTATCAACACTCATACACCATGCCAGCCATCAACTCCAACTCGCACGTCCTCGTCACTGGCGGTTCCGGCTTCATCGCCATCTGGTGTGTCTACCAGCTCCTCGAGCGCGGTCACAAGGTGCGCGCCACCGTTCGCTCCGACGACAAGGGCAAATATCTCCAATCCGTCTTCTCCAAGTACGGCGACTCGCTCTCCTACGCCATCGCTGAAGACCTCGAAGCTCCCGGTGCTTTCGATTCTGCGGTCCAGGGTGTCGACGCTGTCCTTCACACCGCCTCGCCGTTCCATTTCAACGTCGAGGGTGATCCCAAGCGAACCCTCATCAACCCAGCCGTCAACGGCACGCGCAACGTGCTCAATTCGATTCACCAGCACGGCAAGGACGTCAAGCGCGTGGTCGTCACCTCGTCCTTCGCTGCGATCCTCGACTCCACCCGCCAGGGTCACATTGTGTACACCGAGAAGGACTGGAACCTGTCTTCCGTGGAAAACGTCGAGAAGAAGGGCAAGGATCAGGAGGCACCCGATGCCTACCGCGCCAGCAAGACCATGGCCGAGCGCGCGGCGTGGGAGTTTGTCGAACAGAACAAGCCCAGTTGGGATCTTGTCACCGTCAACCCACCGCTCGTGTTCGGGCCCATCATTCACCAAGTTGCAGCCGCAGAGAAGCTGAACACTTCGGTCGGGTTCGTCTGGGGTCTCCTCCACGGCAGCAAGAAGGAGGAGGACCTCCTGGCGCCTGCTGGAAACTGCGTCGATGTTCGTGACGTAGCATACGCCCACGTCGAAGCTCTGGTCAGGGACGACGCCGGCAGCAACCGCTTTGCCACCTCCCTCGGTCCTTTCACCTACCAGGACGTCGTCGATATCATCCACGAGGACAGCAGCGTCCCCGAAGAGTGGAAGAAGCAAGTCCCCGTCGGCAAGAAGGGCGCCGGAAAGGAGGTCAAGCAGAACGAGCTCGACGGATCCAAGGCTACCAAGGTGCTCGATCTGAAGTATGTTCAGCTTAAGCAGGTCGTGCAGGACATGGTGGCTAGTTTGGCTGATTACGAGAAGCGCGGCTGGAAGGGCGTGCCCAGTGAGGACATCCTCTCGCGCACCAAGTAGATGCTTTCTGATGGTGCCTTTGCGCTCTTGATTCAATGTAAAACGATCAGTTCCGATGCAGTCATGGGAACGGTTTTGTGTGTCTGTATCACTCTCTGAAATGGTTAGGGTTGCGTTGCATCATGCAGGCCGTCGCTCTCTGCGCCCTTCGCTCGAGCCGACGGTCTTTCACACTTCGCGAACCACATCACCTTTTTGCCTCACAACGCTGCTTTTCGAGGATCACAAGACACGTTGCTGAGAATACGTGTAGATGAATACTTGCAATCGAATGGCTCAGTATCCTCCTCGTCTTAGCTCGACAGCACCCAGCACGAGCAGCGCGAACCCGAACGGCAGCACGCCTGCAAACACCACGATGTCCTGCCAGATCCTTCTGCCTCTCGTCTTTTTCTGCAGCTGCCTCTCCTTGCGTGCGAGCAGGATGGTAGTTGCCTCGTCCCTATCTGCGCTTGTCTGCTCGGTCAAATGGCTTGGTATAGACGCGGCTTCCTCGCCCAAGAGCGAGCTGTGTCTCGAATGGATCGAGTGGGCGGGCGCCGAGCCTGCGGGTCGCACCTCGTCCTCCTCGCCTTCGAGCAGCGGCTGCGTCTCCAATTCCCCCGCTTCACGCCGACCAAACAACCGGCTTCGCGCGAGCATCGACAGCGGCCCGGAGAAGTAGGCACTCGCCGCCTTGCTGATGTTGCTTGCAAAGGGCGGCAGGATAGCCCTCGGTCGTCGGATGTGGAATGCGATCAGCCAGACCAGGCCGGGCATGACGAAGCCGACCGCGGCGCCCATGAGACCGAGCACCTCGGAGGCACGGGTGAAGCGCGCTTCTTCGCCCTCGCGCTCGCTACGACGGAAACCGCCGACGCCAGAGAGATACGCGGAGGAGGCGGTGATGGACCACAGGAGGGCGCCAGCGAGCGCGTTGCGTGCGGGCTTGCCCCATGTGCGTTTGAACTTGGCGTAGCGTGAAGCTGGCTCGTGGTCTGCTGCAGGTGCTGAGGGCGAAGGAGCGGAGGTGTCGGCGCTGTCGGTGGAGAGCTGGATCGGCGCCTTTCGTCGACGGAAAGGATTGATGTTAAGCAGTCGCAACAGGCGACCCCATGACGAACGAGCGGTGGTCAGGCAGATCGCTAGGTGCGTGACGAGGATCGCAATGAAGAGGACACGGGCGACGTTGATCCAGTGATCATCGGTCGGCAGCGAAGCGAAGAGGTTAGGATGGACGTCCTGATGCAGTCTGCCCTGAACGCCGTTGACTCCAGCCACCACACCAAAGAGGATGCCCATGACGACGATGAAGGTGACTTGTCCAGCTTGCGCGGCGAGGAAGGCCTTGACGTTAGAGCGCGACGTGCCGATGCGACGCAGGCTTCGCTGGTGTGCGAGGATCTGCGGTGGGCAGGCGCTAAGCGTGAGGAGCGGGAGCAAGGAGATGGGCGCCCAGATGGAGGGCGGGCTGAAGGGGTTCATGTTGGGCCACTTGTTGCTTCCCGTTGTGGAGTATGAGTCTGAGATGTCGAGCTGTCGTGGCCCAAAGTCGCCGTCCGAAGGGTCGCCATGTGGCTTGGCATAGATCTCGACCAGAATGATCGTTACGATGATCGGATAAAACAACAGCGAGAAGAATGTGTTGAGGCGGATCAGATTGCGTTTGGCGAGCGGGAAGATGACGAGCGGAGACGAGATGATGCCGCCGACCACCAAGGTGACGAATCCTCGATCGTGGAGCGGAACGCCTTTGGGACTGTAGTTGAAGAACACTTGCAGAAGCAGATTTGCCAGCGCAAAGTAGCCGATGATGGCGCTGCCCGTGGCGTATATTGCCAGTAGCAGGCCTGAGATGACTCGACCCAGTCCACCTTTCCAGCGGGTGTATCTGCCAAAGCTTGCTCCTACGATGGCCTCAATCGAGCTGCCATTGACGTATCGACTGAGCACGACCCAGAGTCCACCCCCCACACCGCCGAGGATCGCCACTCCCACAAGCGCAACGGAGCCGATCAGGATACCAGTGCGAGCGAAGAAGTGTGGCATCGACAGTAGCACCGCGGGATGCAAGCTAGCTGAAAAGAGGTTGGCGGAGACATGTGTGGCCGAGAGACTTGCTGGTGCTCCAGGGTTGGTGAGAAAATTCCACCACGCGCGTCGGTGCTCCCGTGTAGGCCGGAACGATTGAAGGATCGACCCTGAATGGTTCCGACGCAGCTTCCTCCTCCTGCCGTCCCTGGGTGCGCTGCTGCCAGTGGCAGAGAGAGGCAGCGTTCGATCCTCGTGTAGCGCCTGTTGCTGGTCGTCCTCGTCGCTGCTGTCGTCCCACGTCTGCCCTACATCGATGCGGCCCTTGCGCATGAAAGACTGAAACTCCGAGGCTGCGTCGCTATCGGCTTCTTCGAGGTCATCGGCGTCGATGTGTCGTGACGGCGGCCGGAGCGATGTGGAGCGAGAGCTCTCTGCAGGCTGCTCGCCTTGATAGATGGTGCCGTGTCTGCTTGCGGAAGGAGATGCGGCCGCTTCTTGCTGCTCGTCGTCCTCCTCGGCGTGGTGAAGCAGAATGCTTGGCCGTTTCGATTCTCCTTCCAGCTTGGGAGGAGAAGAGCTCGACATATTGAGACGGCAGATAGGCAAATCCTTGTCCCTGCACCTCTCCACTGCCGCTAGTGGTGCTGAGAGATTGGTACGGGATGACGGTTGCAAGAGCAGAAGTGATGATGCGTGTCGCTCGTTGGAAGTGGAGCAAAAGTATGATATTGACCGGCGCCGCGTGACACGCACGGACAGGCGCAGCAATCGATAAAAAAAGTACGGGGGCCAACCCGGAATCGAACCGGGGACCTCTGTCAACTTAGTGCATGCCTCTTTTAGAAATGAAGAGGAATAGCCCTAAGACAGCATAATAAGCCACTATACGATTGGCCCTGTGATGTGCTTGCCGAGTTAGAGGCTGTAGCCATATATACTTGTCTGACTGCATGAAGTCTGGCGGTGATGCTCGGCCTTGTTGGGCGCTTCGGAAGATCAAGCTCGCTTGTCACATTTCACTACACGGTGACCCTCATGCAGCCTCTACCCCGCAATCACACGTACAGCAACATTGAGTGGCTCGCTAAACAGACAGGGCTCATGATTGACGTCTTGAGGAGAGCTGTGCTGCACCAAGGAAAGCACGCCGGGCAGATGGATGAAAAGACTCAAAGCGATGTTTCCGGGCTCGTCAGTCAGAAGGTTTGACAGCTGAGCAACGATCAAACGGCATGTTTGAAAGCCGCGAGCCGGTTCAGGGTCCTCTTTGCGGATCTCATGCTCGCTCCTTCGTGACTTCTCAAGTGCGTGTGACGCATGACCTTGACTTGTGACTGCCACATCCCACACTTTGTCACTCGTCCACCTTCTCTAGCAGGCACGGCTTCCCCAAGTCGACTCGACCTCACCACCTTCAAGTCAGCCTTCATACCGCAGGTCCAACCCCACACCTCAAAGAATGCCCGTGCCAATAGAGAAGATCACCACACGGCACCGTGCTTCGGACGGCTTTCCGCTTGCTACAACCATCTTCCGACCCAAGTCCTCGTCCGACGTCAAAGCGAGCGTCATCTTCGCCAACGCGACGGGAGTTCAAGGTCGATTCTACCACAATGTCGCCGAGTGGCTCGCGACCAACGGCGTGGCAGCCTACACGTTCGACTATCGCTTCTCCGGTGCCTCCTTTCCGCTCGAATGCGACCCTGTCAAGCTAGCAGAGGACGAAGATTACTTCGAAGAAGCACTGCGGCAGTGTCCCGAGGACGCTGACCTCACAACGACGTGGTGCAAGGTGGACCTGGCGTCCATCGTGCGGCTAGCATACGAGTCGAATCCGCACGCAGATGTGACGGTCATCGGACACAGTCTTGGAGGTCATCTGATGGCTGTGCTGCCGTCAGATCACGTCTATGGACCAAAAGCAAAGGTCAAGCGACTGCTCAATGTGTGTGGTGGGAACGCTTTCGTCAAGAACCAGAAAGAGCCCGACGCTGCCGAGTTCGGGTTCATGGAGATCATCGTCAAGCCGCTCGCCGAGGAAAAGATCTTCCGAGCAGCCAACTTGGGACTGGGATACGACCTACCGTATGGGCCAGGAAAAGAGTGGGTGCAGTGGTACTTCCACACCCACTTCGCCTTTAATCGACCGGAGAACATGAAGCTGGCACGCGGGCTCAAGGGTATCCCGCTGCTGTACGTAGGCTTTGAGGACGACGAGAAGATTGGCAAGTAAGTATCACCTTTCTCTTTCAACAGCATTAGCAGCCGACTGACCTTCTCCATCAACCAATCGTCTGATCACAGAAACATGATGCAAAAGTATCTCGGCATGTTCGACCACTCTGACGGCCTCAAACAGTCACTCTGGATCGACCCGCCCAAGAAGAATTGGCCGCCCTGCGGTCACGTCAACGCCTTTACCAAGACTAAGCAGCCCAAGCTGGTCCCTGTCGAGCACGGCGAGGCCTACACATCCGAGAACGACTTTCAAGACGCCATCTCGAAGCACCCCAAGCCGCCACGCGACACGCTCACGAAGGAAGAGACGATCTGGAAACTGTTTCTCGACTACATTACGGGTCGGGAGGTCGACACATCGGATGCGGAGTACAAGGTGTGGACGCCGCAGGACGAGCGAGATATCGTGAAAGAGCGCGAGGAGGATGCGCGCGCGCGGGCGGAGAACCCAAGAGAGGAGGATGTACTATTGGGACTGGTGCCGCCGAGAAAGGCGAAGATGTGAAGACGAAACTTAATACTACATCTGCGCAAGTGACGGTAGTGCCAGCTTTGAGAGGTGTTGATCAGAGCAGTGTGGCGAGCAAGATAGCAGCAGTCGCAATGGGGACTGTCTGAGGACGAGCGAGCAGAGTCGCAACAGCGCCGCTTGCCAACGATCCGCCGCCATCGCCAGTCGTCGAATTGGCATCGTCCGTCTCCCACAGCTCAGGGCTGCGCGCCTCGTCCGCTCTGATGCTATCCTCAATCTGCGTCATCCAGAGCAGCCAGCTCCTCAGATAGGCGTCGTTCGCCTTGGCCGCTGCATTGGGCAGGAACAGCGGCCTGCTCCCGTTCCCAAACGCCATGGCACTCGCCTGCCACTGCACCCTGGCGCTCTTGACCGCATTGACAAACCGGAAGACCGTCTCTGGTACGCTAGTCCCGACGACCGTAGCTCCGTCGTTACGCATGAGCACGAGAGGTCTGAAGCCGTCCGTCTCGTTGACCGACCCGGCACGGGCGTTGGCGGGCCCGAACTTCTGTGCCAGCGCAAAGCCCTTCACCACGTTATCAACCGATGGCGTGATGGTGGCGGGCTCCGCGTCGAATGCGTCGAACACCGGCGCAGCGTAGCCGCCCATGAAGGCTGCACCGGACGTGGCGGCGTAGAGACTCGTCATGTCCGACACCGTCGCGTCGGCCGCCGATGCGTTGGACGATTTGTCAGGGAACATCGTGTAGGGCAGCAGCTGCTCAGGGCGATAGAAGGCGATGCTGGCCACAGTGGTGTTGGGGAAACGCTGATAGATCGATGAGTGGAGGAAGATCTCGGCGGGGCGAGCGGGGGCTGGGTAGCCAGAGAGCGCAGCAGAGGTGACGATGCTGTCGTTGATGCGCGCGACGGCAATGTCGGCTGGCGTGATCTGGGCCGCAGGGTGCGTGCCGGCCGTGATGAGGAACGCCAAGTTGGGCGCGAGCGGGTCGCGAATCGAGATGTGGCCGGGAGAGTCGTCGGCGATTGTCTGCTGAGCGAGAATGCGAGAGGCGTTGACGAGTTGGTTTACCGCCAGCTGTCGGGGCGTGAGCTGAGGCAGACTGGGGAGTTTCATGAGACATAATGGAGGGTCAGTGTGGTGATGCGAAGTGATGCCAAAGAAATGTTGACCTACGCTTGGGATGCTACCAGCTTGACCGCAGCGAGCAGGAGCAACAGTGTCCACTCGATGGTAGAGAGCCGCATCTCGATGGACGTTTAGAGGCGAGGGACTCGAAGGGCGGTGAATGAGCACATCGTGCTGTTGAAGTAAGAGTGGCGAGGGCTTTCAAGGGGGCTACGTCAAGGAGGTGAACTACTTCTACCCCGCCGACTGAGCCCCCTTTGGCTCGCAAAAGCGCTCTGTGCGCAGCGCCAAGGCTGAATGCTCAGCTGCCCGATCTAACTGTCGCAGCAAGACGCACCAGACGAGTCGCGAGAACGATCCGACGCCTGGGAAAGGGGGGCTGAGGGCAAAGAGCAGTCTGATCGGAAGCGATCCGAATCGAGTCCACCAAGCTGCTCCGGCTTCATCCGCCGTCTCAGGTCGATTCCCACGCTCGCAAGTCACGGAGCATCTGACCATCGGGTGGTATCCGAACCTGCCGGACCACCCGCGAAACTGAGTCAACAGACGCAGTCGAGCTTGCACACGCACCAAGGTTGCAGACATGCATTTGTATTACAAGTGTACAAGTGTACAAGTGTACAAGGACGGGATTATAACAATTCTACAGGGAGAGCGAGACGAGGCAGATGAAGCGATACGAGTCACGCGTCGCACGATACCCGAAGCTACATTACGACGAAGCTGGTGGCTGTCCGTTCTGCTTCTGCTGCGCTGCCTGACGTGCCTTCATGACCGGCTTTCGTTCGAGGTGCATCCAAAGTGGCAAGGTCAACAAGACAACCACCAGCCAAGCCCAGAGAATGCCAAAGTGCTTGAGAATCTCGATGCGCTGACCGACGTCAAAGATGATCTTGACGTAGATCATGCGAATGTTGTAGAAGGGCATGGCGTATCCGTATCTGTAGAATGAGGGAGACAGCTCGATAGGCAGATTGGCCACCGAGACGTTGATGATGATCCAAAAGACGAGCGAGAGACCGATGAACTTGGGACCGACGAGCGAGATGGCACACTCGGTGACAAAGCCCAGAACGCACATGCCGACAAAGGTAGTCGCCCACCAGATCATGAATCCAGCGCCGTAGCTGAAGGTCCTACCAAAGGGCACTTCGAAGGCGATGTTGAGGAGCGAGATCATGAGCGAGGTGAAGAAGTAGGCTACGAGCGGGACGGTGATGCGCATAGCGACCAGCGAGCGGAAGCGCAGGAATGGCTGCAGAGGCTGCCTCGCGCCGAAGCCGGCCATGGTGGTGATGAAGGCCAAGATGCAGAGGTAGATGAGACCAACGACGAGCACGGCGATGGCAACCGGTACATCGTAGGGACGCAGGTCGCGTTGGTTGAGGATGACAGGCGAGACAAGCGTCTGAGGTGCTCGGGCAAGGTTGTTGATGGCCGTCTGGTTGCCCGCAGCGCCGGAAAGATACTCGGCGGCGAATTGCGAGCCGAGCTGTGTCATTGCCTGTTGGAGCGTCTTCATGGCCGGGGAAAGCACCATGGAGGGCACCACCTGGAAGTTGCGAGCCGTTGCGTAGCTCAGCGAGACGAGCGAGGTGGGGTCATACGAAGCATCGCCGTTGGCGCGCGCCTGTTCGAGCTTGGCTGTGGCACCTTCGGCCACAGTGACGACCAGCCATACAGACTGGGCGTTGGTGATCTCGTAGTCGATCTGATCCTGATTGGGGTAGCGTGCAGGGTCGATGACGGTCCAGGTGCTGTGTGGCTTTGCGCCCGTGTTGGCAGCCAGCAAGGCCTCCTGAACGGCCGAACCGACCGCACCGTTATCGCGATTGATGACCCACGCATTGAGATTGGGCGAGAGATCGATCTCTTTCCAGACCGAGCCCCAGTAGATGGAGACTACCGCCCAGATGGCGATCATGACAAAGACAGTAGCGCCGCCGACTGCTTTGAGGTACTCGCCGCGCTGCGCTCGAAGCCTTGGTGACCAGAACGTCTCTTGGCCGAGCTGTGGTGGCTGTCGCGCGGGTGTCGCCGCGGTGGACGACTCGTCCGAGGCATTCTCCTTTGTGTTCATCGTGTGGGCGGGAGTATGGGTTGCAGAGGAATTGGCTTCTGCCGAGCTGTGAGAGGTGGATCTTTGGACTGCGGACATGAGATGAGGGGGTGCTCTGGATGTCGAGGATCCGTTGTGCGAGGTGTGTGGGGGCTGACTCCGTTTCCGTCGAGTGAGGAGCCTGGGCTGAGATCTATGGCGGAAGGGGATGTTGCAGAGGTGTCAAGGGTGGACCTCCTTTTGTAGGGGAGATGGTGTTGCGGATGATTCACAGCAGGTGGTATAGGGGAAGCTCAGGCTTGTCGTGATTCCGAGCGTGGCATCCTCGTGCAACGTCAAGTTCTGAACACACGTCTCCGTGGAGACAGCCGAAGATCAGCTGAGTGGGCAATGCTTGGCTCGACTCAAGTTAGCTCATAAGCAAGCTTGGCGGTCCAAAAACAAGAAACGTGGCTCATCGTCTTTGGCCAGAATTCGACGGCGGAACAACACACGGCAGCGCAGAGGTTAAAGCCGTTGAGCAGCAAGCCACATTTTGACCCTTCCCTTCCGCAGGTTCGGCGAGAGAAATTCGAGATTCGCCCGTCTCGCCTGCAAGCACACTCAGCCTCTCTCTCTCCTTTCCTCCTCACAACTGCGCGTCAACAGGCGGACTCCGACTGGACTTCGACTTCCCTGCTTCCGTCATCCCTTCCTAGCCGAAAAAGCAGCCGACAAGGTTGAGAACATCGCAATCCTCGTCCTACTCGATGATATCGACCGCCGGTTGGACCTCACTGTTTGCGCCTTGTGTTAGCGCAGTGAGACAGCGGGTTAGACACCAGCGGATCGTTCGGCCAATCGATGAAAAAGGGGCTGAGCCAACTTGGCGTTGTGAGCCGGCGATACCGCTTTCGGCTTTCCCGCGGCGTCTCGCGAATAAGTTTGACGCTCCCGCTCTGCGCGGTATTTCCGGTTCTCGAAGCGTTGCTCAGCTCGGTCCTCGTATCATTCAACCCAAATCGCTGCGTTGCTTGTGCGGAATCGTTCGACGTCCGCGGCATCGAGCTCCTTACTCGTCTATCATACTATACGACTGCTCGCCGACCATTGACACGGGACGCTGCTCTGGATTGAAGTATACGCCTCCAGAAAGCATTCGGCATCTTGCGGAGCCACAGGGGTTGGGGCGAGTCCCCATCTCGCTGTCTGATCGTGGACGGTGAAAGGTGTGTCCTGTCTGCACTTCGCAAGCAGATCAGGTGCTGGCATCTCATCAAGTGAGCGCGAATCGACCCGATCACGCCGATCTTGTAGGTCAGGCGTTAATCCAGGCTGCTACGCGATCGCCGGCGTCCATGCTCGCGTTACGCATCGCTTTCTTCGGAACAACTTTTTCTTTGCGAGCTCGCACAGAGGTGTTCCTGCCTGAATGAGCTGATGAGACTGAGCAGAAAAAGGCACGGAAGGGGTGAGAAACGAAGCTCGCAGGCAGGTCCGCCAAGGTTGCCTCTTCACGCGACAATCACTCAGGGTTCGCTCATGTTTCTTGTGGACTGGGGCCGTTTCCCTCAAGCAGCTGTGCGGCCACGAGTCTTATGCAAGGTCTTTGGACAGCCAATCAGGCTCGACGAGTCCGCTATGACCGCTGCTCACATTGACGCATGCCAAGCCGGGCGGCGGACAGCGTCTAGCCGGACCGGACACGCGCTTGCATCTTATCAGATTAAGATCGCGTCTCATTCTTGATCGCGCGTAGGTCGGCTTTGATCTCACCTTGCAGCGCGATTCCCCGGCAGCAGCAACGCGTGTGCTGTTCCAAGATCAAAGCGGGCTCTGCGCGGCGATCGAACTCTCTCATCGTCCCATGCATCCGCTAGCACTCCGCTCTGGTCCCTACTGTAGTCTTGGTCGAAGGGATGCGCACGGCCCAGACCTTTTATTGAGCAATGCTGTCGCGCCGTCGCACTACAGAGGAACGAGCGAAGAACAAGCAGCAGGCATGGAGAGACTTCATGGTACTGGTGAGCCCGCGGCAGGCTGTCTCGACTACGACTCAAATCACATTTCTTTGCTTCATCGCAAGACTCTAAGACGCTATGACGCTCCGATGCGAACGAGCTCCGACCGACGGAGGAGTCAGAGGTAGTGTCTGCAGCCACAGATTGCTGTCTTGGCAAGATGAGCTTAGGACTAAGTGCGACACACCTGCTCACGCGACTGTGAGGGGAAGCGTGAACATTGCACTTACTGACAGCGAACAGAAGGAAGTTCGCGCCTCGGAGTTCTTTACGCGATTGAGTTGCAGGTCAGCTCAGCTGCGCTTGCGAACTTCATGCATGGTCTCGACCGACCTGTGATGAAGAATGAGGCTCGCATCAAGCCACGTCGAGCGCGTTCATCAAACGCCCGACCAACACGTCTCTCACTCCAATTTGACTGGCCCTGCAATGGCGTAAACGGACGCGTCCGCAATTTTGGACAGTCGATATGTCGCGCCCTGCTGCTGTAGAAATTACACTTTTAAATTACACGCGTGTCGTGTAGAGAGCGCGAAGAATTTTCTACAGTTGCAGAGCGCAGAGTTGGACGCAGAATGAACAGAGAGAGACAGTCTGATGTCAGCGTTTTGGCAGCAGCCGAGTCTGACTGTCCAAACTCCCTTTCTCATACTGCGCTGTGCTGCCTGTCAAGTCGCGCTCGCCTTTCTACGCCGAGCTGAGAGAGGGAGAGCCCAAACGCGTTGATCATTTCAGTCACCGCCGCTCGCAACACCACACGCTTTTTTCTTGTTGTCCTACCTTCATCACGTCGCTCTCTCCCCCCCCCCACTGCTCCTCCAACAGCGCGTCCCGAGTCAGGCCCAGCAAAGGTACATAAGTTGCTTCTTCTTGGTCTTCGATCATTCCTTCCTTCCATCCAACAGCATCACCTCTTCCCTGCCGCGACACCACCCCCTCTAGCCATCGTCGCTTCCTCCTTCATCGCATACCCTCGGCGCCATCATCGTTGCAGCCGTCCTCCATCCCCATCACCATCCACCTCCCCATCCACTTGCACAACATCACAGCCATGTCTGCCGTCACTCAGCACAACCTCGAGACCCCTTCCAAGAAGGTCGCAGCTGGCCTCGCTGGCATCGACGTCAACGCCACCCCTTCCAAGAAGGCCGCCGCCAAGATCAGCGCGCAGAACGATGACGACTTCTCCGACCCCGGCTTCCTCACCAAGGGCAAGATCGTAGATGCAGCCAAGACTACCGACGTCGCCGCTGCTGACTCTGAGGATGTCCACGGCAAGTTTGTCGGCGACGTTGACCTGCCCGAGGAGGAGGAGCCTCTCCTTGTCGAGACCAGCCGTCGTTTCGTTCTCTTCCCCATCCGCTTCAACGAGGTGAGTCTTCTGCATCTCTCCCAAGCATACATCATCACTTTTGTCCTCTGACACTGACAATCTTCCTCTCCCACAATATAGATCTGGCAAATGTACAAGAAGGCCGAGGCCTCCTTCTGGACCGCCGAGGAGATCGACCTCTCCAAGGACCTCCACGACTGGGACAACAAGCTCAACGACAACGAGCGCCACTTCATCTCGCACGTCCTTGCCTTCTTTGCCGCTTCCGACGGTATCGTCAACGAGAACCTCGTCGAGCGATTCAGCTCCGAGGTCCAGGCTGCCGAGGCTCGCTGCTTCTACGGTTTCCAGATCATGATGGAGAACATTCACTCCGAGACCTACTCGCTCCTCATCGACACCTACATCCGTGAGCCCGAGCAGCGCGAGTTCCTCTTTGACGCCGTCGAGACCATCCCCGTCGTCAAGCAGAAGGCTGACTGGGCTCTCCGTTGGATCAGCGACCGTCGCGCCACCTTCGCCGAGCGCCTCGTCGCCTTCGCCGCCGTCGAGGGTATCTTCTTCTCTGGTTCCTTCGCCTCCATCTTCTGGCTCAAGAAGCGCGGTCTCATGCCCGGTCTTACCTTCTCCAACGAGCTCATCTCGCGTGACGAGGGTCTTCACACCGACTTCGCCTGCCTTCTCTTCAGCCACCTCAAGAAGCGCGCGCACCCCGACACCGTGCTCAAGATCATCAGCGAGGCCGTCGAGATCGAGAAGGCTTTCCTCACCGACGCCCTTCCCTGCAGTCTTATCGGCATGAACGCTGCCTTGATGCGCCAGTACATCGAGTACGTCGCCGACCGCCTGCTTGTATCGCTCGGAAACCCCGTTCACTATGCGGCGACCAACCCTTTCGACTTTATGGAAAATATCAGCCTACAGGGCAAGGTAAGCAGCTCATTCCCTTACGTTTTTGGCCTTTTTTCAAGCGAAACAATGCTGACTCTTCCCCACTCTCTTCTTTTGCTTCTGCTCCATCTTTCCAGACCAACTTCTTCGAGAAGAAGGTGGCCGAGTACGCAAAGACCGGTGTGGCACGCAGGGAGAACGAGGAGGGTGGTGACGGCACGCAGAAGAACACACACACCTTCTCGCTCGAGGAGGACTTCTGAGCTGGTCTCTCCTTCACTTCTGCTTCTCGTCTCTGTATCACCGTCGGTCATTTCGCGCATTCGTTCCTTGTACACTAGCTTCTTTTCTCTGCATGTTTCTCTCACTTTGGATCTTTGGCACTCATCGTATCATACCACCACTGCAAACAAACGTCGCCACCCCTTTTGTTTGGGTCTGCGACTGTGAGGCTGTTGAATTGCGAGCCCCTTGAGTGAGCTTTGCGTGTGACAGATCTGCAGTCAACCTGCGCCAAGTTTGCCTGATTAACTTCCTCACCGAGCCGGCTCCGCAATGCTCTCGCCGCTTGAGCGGCTTGGCTAGCGCTCTTTGGCTGCTCTGCTTGTGAGAGCGCGAATCCACTTCCGTTGCCTTCGAGCGCTACATCCTCGTGCAGCGCAGCGGCTTGACTTCGCCCGAATGAGCGAGCTTCGCTTCATTTGCAAAATCAGTCGAGCTGTCGAATACCTCGTCGTCAAGCGTGTCTGCGCAGGCCGTTCTACACTTGCGGCGCTTCTGCGCTCAAACTTGTTTCGAACAATCTACGTGGTCTGTCGAGTGGACACTTTAGTGCCCTTTGATCCCTGTCGACGCATTGAGCCCAAATGAATCTGTGCTGAGATGCTGATTGCGCTCCTGCCTGCGGTTGTGCCGGTATCGGCGTGTCCTACCCTCATTTCCATCCTTTAAGAACCACCACAGCTCAAGTCTGCGCTTCTCGACCTTTCATCATCATTTTTGCAAGTCTCCCTTCGACAGAACAGTGACTTTGTCTCCCACCATCGAGATGGAGCCGGCGGGCGAAGTGACAATCATCAAGGCTATACTGTCTCAAGAATTCGCCGCTCTTCCCGTTTCCCTTGTATCCCTCAAGCTCAAGACGGGGTTCAAACGCATCGAATGGAATGACGACAGTCTCGCCGCCGCCTTGCTTCGGAACAGATGGGATGATAGCGTGAACTTCAGCGCCTTCTTCCAATGTCCGGCCGAGACTGAGCAGCATTTAGCCGAAGTTATCCGGAGAACCTACGGCTACGAAGGTGTCCAATACGTCACAGCATCGACCACCACCACTTCCGACTGCGTCGCCGAGCCTGGTGATTCACAGGCCACGTACCGATCGCCTAGTCGCGAAGCGACTCTGGAAGATCCTCAGACGATTCCTCACCCACCCGCCGCCACCGCCTTGCCCGATGCCACGACGGTCCAGTTCAGCCCAGATGCATGGTCTCAATACGTCGGACCTCGCAACCGAACGGCTGTGCGCATGCCGGAGCGCGCCGCCTTTCTCAGTCGGTGGAGACACAGACCACGCCACGATGGAGAGACATACAACATCATTGGCACAATCGATCGCATCTCCCCTTTCGCGATCAAAGAGGACTCGGTCAAGCTTTGGCAGCTCCGTTTCGATGAAGGTTACGCGGTCTATTGCTGGTTGTTCGCCCTTCCGACTTCGACTAGATCGGAACGACACGAGCTACAGGGTCTGAAGCCCGGAGACGTTATCGCTTGCTTTAACGTCAAAGGCTCGTTGGGGGGCGCGCTGATCACCAACGAAAGCGAGATCTTTGTCGCCGTCAATGAGGCTGAAGGCAGACGCTGCGTGGCCGAAGCCAACCCCGCCGAAGCAGACCCCTGAAGCGCCGAGGTCAGCTCGCGCCCAATCCTTGTCTCTCGCCTCGATGTTGTCTTCCTTTCGCCTGGTTTCTGGTTCGCTTCGACCCTCGATCCACCGCTCAATCCTACTGTACCGCCTTGGGTCACTTCTCGACCGTCTGCGCGTCGCAACGATGACAGTCTACAGACTGCACGTCGAGCCTCTCTGACTCGTCTGCATACTGTCTTGATCAATACAATACAATTCCTCTCACGACCATGCACATGCGGGCGATGAAGTCCCGGGCCAGCCTGAGTGTTAGTGTTGATGGCGCTTTCTTGGCTGGGAGGAGACGTCGTGCAGGAGGCGATCTTACAATCTGACCCCGTGCCAAAAATCCACTTTGCGAGAAGCTTGTAGAAATTCGCGGCGTGCTGCCAGCTATGCCGGCACCTGAAGCCCTTAGCTCATACGTGGAGGTTCAAGGGTCCATCGACGACTGAGCCTTCACTGTAACTCGACCGCAAATGCCAACTTAGATCGGCGCCGCATCTGAATGAGCTGGAGCTTTCTAAGCGTTCCGAAAGCTCGTTCGCAAGTGAGCTTGACCAGCAAGTGCGAATGGGTGAGGAGAAGGCGGCAAAAAGTGGAGCGGAAGTGAGTGCCGAGGCTGCAGGTGCATCGGCTATCAAATTGCGCACGGAAATAAGGTCAGACGAGGTGTGCATCAAACGACGCTGTCTCCTCCTCGCACAGCACTTCTTCAACCGGCTCATCGTGCTCCTTAACCTTCCCTTCTCTCCATCATCACATGCTGACACCCAATCGCACCACAGCGTGAACCGTCATCACATGGCGCAAGTCATTCAACCAAAATGGAGAACACAGACTCCTCTTCGCCTTCGGGTGACCCGCCCCGCTCTGCGGACGATACCCGACAGCTGAATGAAGCTCAGTCTGGAACCCCTCCGTCGTCCACTGCGCATGTTCTCACAACCAATCCGCAGCCATCATCCTCAAATGCGGAATCGTCCGAGGCTCGCTCAGCAGAAGCTCAGCCATCTCAGCCAGGCCACCCGTCGCCGAGCCAAGCCGCTCCTGCGACCACTTTATGGGAGAACTTCATGGCCAGCTTCCGCACTGTCATTCACGGCAGCGAGCCGCAGACGCAGCAGTCGCGAGACGCAAGCACATCCAGCGCCGCTTCTGCATCGAATGCGCAACCTCAAGAGAGCACGGCCACTCAGCCAACACCAGCACCGTCTCGCACAGAATCATCGTCTGCAGGCGCAGGTGCTGAGCCAAGCGCCTCGAGTCAGCAGACGACCACCACAGAGTTCGACACAAACTCGAGCAGGCTCCCGCGCCCTCCGGTCTTCTTCCGACTTCCTTTCGCTGGAGCCGACGGGAATCCTGCCTTGCTCGCATTCCATCCGCAGCCCTTGCCTCCTCGAGATAGCGGTGCTCCCTCAGCAGCTCAGCCCGCATCGACAAATCAGAACGGCTCACAGAATTCAGCGTCGCAATCAAGACCCGACGCTCAGCCCCAGGTACAAGGAAATGCAGCTAACACGGCTGCAACCGACCCACATTCTCACCCGCACCCAGATGGTCATGTCCCCATCGCCCCCCTTTTCGTGCCGTTTGGCGCATCGCCCATGCCCTTCAGCTTCATCTACGACGCCAACACTCAAACAGCGTGGCCCATCGCCCAAGTCACCCCTGGCAGTCCTCCTGGCGGACCCTCCCCCGACGCACCCGAATCCCAACAACCCCGCCTCGTTGCCGGCCCGCCCTTCCGCATCATCCTCGACATCCACTTCACCGCGCCACCTCCACCGGAACAGCCGGACGCGCGCAAAGCCGCCTCCTACGTTGCACAGCTCGAGCGGGCCGATGCAGAGCTCCGCGCACGCATGGCGCGCCTCGGCATGGGCAGCATCGGCGGCTTCGGCGATGACCAGGATGCTCTGCTCGGGTGCGGCATTTGTCTCGACAGCTATGCGTCGGACGATCGACCTGAATGGATCGATGGGCCGAAGAGTCAGGATGAGGCTGTCGTTGCCGTTCCTTGTCCGGGACACCACACGTTGCACGCGGGATGTCTGAGGGACTGGTTGGAGAAGCTACCGCCATCGCAGTGGACTTGTCCCTTTTGCCGCACAAACCTGTCAGTCTCGACATCGACGTCGGCTAAAGCGATCTCGAGCGCGAGTACGCAACATACGACGCTGCGGGAGGAGGTGAGAGCGAGAGAACGACAAGTTGGATGGCGATGTGACGCACCTGCCTGTCTCCCACGCTACCCCGTCACCGACCCAACCGACGCGGGGGGAGGACACCTGGAGCTGCCCGAAACAAGCGAGGATATGACCACCGACCTCGTCCGTCTCTCTCCCTGCCACCACGCAGTGCACCTCGATTGCCTCTGCACCGCCATGCGCGTGGAGAACGATCTGGTCGCCACGTCGATCGATGCGCTCCCCGACGAGGAGGAGGGAGAGCGCGATACGGTGGGCAAATGGGTCACCTGTCCGGCGTGCAGGAAGGAGTGTTGGGCGGAACTGCCGTTGCGACGACGACCGCTTCGAGCGGGTGCGGCTGGCGAGACGGAGAAGCCCTCGCACTCAGCCGAGGAGACGTCGTCAACTGACATGCCAGAAAAGGTCGATCACGATTCGGAGGAGGACGCTGTCGTGGCTATGCTCGCGTCCAACTAACCTCGATTTTATCCGTATCATTACCCCAGTTTTCGTTCTCTGGAAGTCGTCCGCATCATGTACTTGTAGCAATCACTGCAATCTCGCAACTTCGCATTCGCATTCATTCAACGTCATTGCAACATGCTCGGACTGGCGATGAGCCGCCGTGCTCCACAGCTTGGCTCGGATATTTGTCGCATGTCCTCATCACACATCACGTTCCCTGCTTCGCATCGTAACTCGATATATTCTGTCATGGTCTACTTTCCAGCGTCAAAAAACGCCACGCGCTCCTGGAGCGTGGCCCTATGACCCACGGGTCTCCCCTTGCCGACACCGAACGCGGCGCTCGCTGGGCCATTGACGCACGCCGCATCGTCGAAGGTATAACTCGGCGTTCTACTGATCCGTCCTCCCTGTCTGGCTGGCACCGTCGTCACTGACCCGAGTGAAGGAGCGGCGGGAAGGGTAAAACGTTTCTTCTCGACCAGACCCAATTTTGCACTGGTGGACGGCGAGGAAGGGGCGAATTTGTGTGCGTACAGCTTGGTCGGCGAGATCCGACCCGGACTCGCGACGGGGGAAACGGCGAGGGTGGTGGGGAAATGTGTCTTGACCGGGCTGGTTTCGCGCATGTACGGCAGGATGGAGCCGCGCAAACTGTCCTCGGATGCATCCGGCTTGTGGGTGGTGGGTGTCTCGACGGCGGGCGATGGAGGAGCTTCGATGGTCGGGGTAAGCGGTTCTTCCACTGCCTCGGATGCAGAGCCCGAGTGCGAGGAGGAGTGCGAGAAGCTCTTCCTGACGGCCACGTCGTGTGCCGAGTGCTCCGACTGGTGTGCGGTGGGACGAGGGAAGCTGTTGCTATCGATCGCAGCGAGCGCCGCGGCAATGTCGCTGCTCCCACTCATCTCGGCTTCGTCGTCCTTGCTGGGATCGGTCTTGGGTTCCTCTTCCTGCGGAACGGAGGGAGAGACAGTGTAGCTGGTGTCCCTCGACCCTTCCCCTTCCATCAGTGCCTTTAGGCGGTCCTCGACCGACGAGACCTTCCTCATCCCACCCTGCTGCTCGTCCGTCGATGCGTCGGGCGACAACCTCTCTTGCTGCCCCTGTCCGAGTGGTTGCCCGAGAACCGACGTGTACCGCGGTCGACCATTGGGACTCACCGACCTATCCCTCGTGTACTTCTCCTTCCTGCTCTCGCTGGCAAACCCAAAATTCGCCTTGGTCGGCGAGACCCTTGTCCCACTGTCTGCGCCACTCGTCGTGCTCGGCTCCTTCTTCTCCTCCACGGGCGAGATCATGGGTCTGCTGGCCAGCACATGACCCGAAGTAGACGCCGTGACAGCCGCCAAACTCCCGAAACTCGACACAGAGTTGCTGACCGTGACTCCACCCGGTCCCACACCCCTGGCGACGGTGGCCACCAACTCCCGTGCCTCGCGCAATTCGCGCGTGGCCGCATCCAACTGTCGCACCTCGTGTCGCATGAGGTTGGTCATTTGTTGCACCCACACGTCCATCTCTGCGCTTTGGGTGGTGGAGGAACGGGCGTGCGGGTTGGAAGCGAGCATCGCATCGCGTTCGATATCCAGCAAACGAGTTTCGAGAGAACGGATGAGCGGGACGGAGTAGCGTTCGAAACGGTAGAAGCGCGACATCATTTCTTGCAACGCATCGCGCAAGGGGAGGGAGGCGGGCATGGGGCCGGCGCCGGGGGAGAGGATGAGTGTGGGCCGCTGGTTGGGTGGGGCTGCGGGGCCAGATCGAGCTGATTCTCGCGTGATCTGATGCGGTCCACTTGGATAGCGCTGCTGCTGTGGAGTCGGCATGCCCTTCGGTGGGGTAGGTGGACCATTAGACCGGATCCGAGCAGCAACCGTCTGTCGAGGATCCGCATTGACACTCGCACGCTGCTGATCCAACGCCTGTTTGCGCTGCGCCTCGATCTGTTCCCGTGCCAACTCCCTTGACCGAGTCTCCTGAATGATGCGCTGGGCAGGGGTCATCGGCTCATCGCGCGAGGCTGACATCCTCGTCGGCGTGGTAGCGGCCGGCAAGTAGGCAGGAACAGGCTTCCTCCCTGGCGGACTCTTCTTTCGACCCAGCTCAAACTCCACCTCATCATCGATCGCTTGGCGCGGTCGAAACTCGCGTTCGTCTGCCGGCCCATCACTTGGTGCAGTCTCACCAAACATGAGTCGTCGTCGTTCCTCATCGACGATGTGACGTGCCTGACGCATGGACGCGAGCTTCTGCGCATACGCCTGGTCGTCATCGTTTGACCTGGGTGCGTCCGCCACCAGCGGAAAGGCCGTATAATCCGACGCATTGGTCCAATCCTTCTCGTCCGCTCGGGGAGAACGTCCAAAGACGCCTTTGAACCATTTCCCCGCCAGCCCGCCGTCGTGGGAGCCGCTCCGAGCCGTATCGTCATGACTGCGCTGCTGCCTAACCTCTCGATCCCCAGGTGACTTGGACATGAGGTTTGAGAGGAAGCCGGAGTTGTTGGGACTCGCGCGCGCCGGCGAGACCGAGCCGCGGCGCGTCTCTTCTCCGTTGCTGAAACGAAGGGGCGAGTGCGAGGATCGGCCGAAAGGAATGTCGACCGGCGAGGGTAGGCCGTCGAGTCGTTGAACACTCTTTTCGCTGTCCTTGCGCGAACGATTGCCAAAGCCAAAGGAGAAGCGACTGGAACGGCTGGGCGACTCGTCCCGGCTCTCGTGGCCGGGTGCATGCTGAGGTGGGAGCAAGGGGAAGCTCAGGTCGCCGCGCTGCTCGTGGGGAGTAGGACCTGCGCTGTGCTGCCGAGGAGCGTGTTGGTGCTGGAGAGGCTGGATCTGGTATGAAGCGTCGTGAGAAGCTGTATGAGGGTTGTAGATCGGACCGGACGGCGAGGGAGGGCCGCCAGGGAAATGGCGAGGTCCGGAGAGACCAGCGTTGCGGGCAGCTGCGGCAGGACTTGGACCGCGAGAGGCTGCGTGCTGCTGCTGCTGCTGCTGCTGCTGTTGCTGCTGATACTGGTGATGAGCTTGTTGATGGTTGTGGTGTTGCTGCTGTGCAAGACTCTGCGGTCCAACGGTAATACGAGCGACGGGTTTTTTACCTGGCGAAGAAGCCGCAGACTGGGCAGAACCATCACGGCGCTGATCAGAGGACTGGTCGAAGCTATCGCTACCATCCGGGATGGACTTGCGCGGAGATCGACCGCGCTCCTTTGTGCCCCTTTGAAAATCGCCGGCGGTCATGCTGCCGGACGGACTGGGAGGACGGTAGAAAGGAGACTGCTGGTAGGCAGCAGCGGACTCGGGTCTTCCGTCGTTGGAAGAGCGGGCGGTGCCGTATCCAACACCACCACCTGGTCCTCCCGGCGGAACACCGAGACTGGCGACAGCGCCGAGTGGCTTGCTCTTGGATCGTCGATACTGAAGCTGCTGTTGCTGGCCTTCATCGTCCGAGTCTTCGAGCGTCATCCTCTTGGCGGCGGGGGAAGACGAGTGCTGACGGGAGTTGTTGGAGTTGAAGCGCTGGTCGCGAGCGGGCGAGGTCTGGAGCGAGACACCTCCGGAAGCGCGGATGACGCTCTTGACGACGAAGCTGGAACCAGAGCCCGACGGGCTGATGGCGCTGTTGATGGGACTGGCGGAGAGCCTGCGGGAGCCAAGCGCATCGTAGCCGGTGTCGAGGCTGAGACCGGCTTGGGCCTGGGTGTTGGGGCTGGAGGAACGAGATCGGTTGAAAGGCCAAAGCTTGCGTGCCGGTGAAGAGGCTCGATCGTCGTAAGATTTGTTCATAGAGAGATATTCGGAGGTGCGTGCATCGGGCACAAAGCTGTAATGATGAGGGCTGGCGTTGTTGGCCATGTTGAGAGTAGACCTTGCTGCGTCTTTGTTGAGGCGCTGAGGATGAGAGGTCAGGAAGGGTAGTGTCAGGGAGAGCGCCAAACAGTGATGACAGCGAAGGTGTTAATCACCCACTGGTGGTACTAGGGTGAGATGGTGGAGCAGAACGAAGCGGAAGAAGTGAGGCGGGAAAGCGGAGAAGAAGGGCAATGCAGGGATGGAAGCGTGGAAGTTGAATCCGAGAGGCGCTTAGCCTCTGCCATTTTATGCACCTTTGCGTGCGCATGAGCTGCGTACAGCAGGTGCCTCTCTCTCCCTCTCGGCGCAGCTTCCCGTTCATCTCATCACGACTCCTGAACACTCTCAAGCCCCTACTGACCACACACAGCGTCTTCATATGCACTTGCGATCAACTACTTATGACTAGAGAAAGGGGCTGTCTTGTCAGCTCACTAGGAAGGCAAAGGCGGAGTTGAACACTGAATCCTCAGAAAGGGGCTCTCACAGTCAACGGACCCGTTTAGGGGCAAAACTCCACACTCTGTCGACACGCAACTCAAATATTCACGCGCCGCTTGAATCACGTGCAGCCGCAATTTTCCAACGGTCTAACAAATCAGGAGAATTCAGCCGAGCGCTTTCTTCCAAAGTCACCGCGCATTTCGCCGACGTCAGCGGTCAAATCACGGACCACTCGTCATCCTCCTATCTCTGGCTGAGCTGAACTTTGCCTCTCTGCATCATCGACCCTCATCGCTGCCAGTGAACCATCAAGATGGAGAGCGAGCCATCAACGAGCAGTATGCCATCCGAGCCGTCTTCGAGCAAGATCGCATCCACCTTGACCATCAAGAACCTCCGCCTCCCTCCACACGCATACGCCGGCCTCAACCACATCCATCTCCCCGACGACCATCAAACGCTCCCCCTCGTCGACCTAGACTATGTTCATTTCGAGACGTCTTCCTCCTCTCCTACCACAAACATTGTCGAGGTGCGACTCCAGCCATCCTCCTCCACCTCGACCTCCCCGCCGTTCGAGCGCTTCCACCCGTTCGCCTCCACCTCCCGCGAGATCGCCCCTCGCCTCATCACTGAGCTCGAAACCCCTCCACCGACAACACAAGTCCTCGGCCAATTTACCATCCCTACCCTCCCCTACACGCAGCCGCACACCAACTCCGCCTTCGACGCCCGAGGCAGCCTCGCCATCCCCGGCGGCCTCTGTCATCCGCACATCCATCTCGACAAGGCTTACCTTCTCGACCGGTGCACCCTCTCCACCGGAACATTCGACGAGGCGCTCTCATCGACTGCGGATGCCAAAGCGAAGTTCACGCCCGACGACGTGCGCCAGCGCATGCGACGGTTGGTGGCGAGCAGCGTGAGTCACGGCGTGACGACCATGCGTGCGTTTGTCGAAGTGGACCCCACCGTGGGCCTCATGTGTCTCGAAGCGGCCGTGGAGGTCAAGAAGGAGTACGAGACGAGCTGCGAGGTGCAGATCGTGGCGTTTGCCCAGGATGCGGTGTTCTATCCGGACGACGAGGAGAAGCAACGGGAGATGCAGGCGTTGATGGAGCAAGCTGCGTCAAGGGAGGAAGTGGACGTCGTTGGGTCTGCGCCGTATGTCGAGGCTCTTAGCAAGACCGATGCGCAGCTGCCCGAACGAGAGCGGAAGGTGAAGCAGAAGGGCCAACAAGCGAAGAACATCGATTGGATCTTCGATCTCGCCAAGCGACATGGGAAGCATGTGGACTTTCATCTGGATTACGACCTTGATCCGCCCGGCCCCGTCGAGGAGGGGGAACAATCGATGATACCGTATGTCGTCTCCGTATCCCGCTCGCATCTGTGGGACCACCGCAGCGGCCACAAGAGGAGCATCACCCTGGGTCACTGTACCAAGCTCTCCTGCTTCACCGAGCAGGACCTTGCCCATCTAGCCTCGTGCTTCGGTTCGTCCACGGGTCCACCGATCTCGTTCGTCTCCCTCCCCCCGTCGGACCTGTACATGCAAGGTCGCACCCAACCGTACGCCACACGATCGCGCGCCACCCTCCCCCTGCTCTCTCTCGCTTCCCGTCCCGACCTGAGGGAGCACACAAACTGGGCAATGGGCGTGAACAACGTGTGCAACCTCTTTACGCCGCAAGGGGACGCGGATCCGCTCGCGCTGCTGCCGACGATGGTGGGCGTGTGGCAGTCGGCCAAGCCGGAGGACTGCGAGGTGCTGTTGGGCAGTGTGAGCACACGAGCCCGAATCGCAGCTGGTTTGGACGAAATGTGGAGAGATCTGACGGTGATAGACGGGACAGTGTCGGTGCAAGGTTTGGTGTGCGCGCCGAGCTTCGGGCGGTTGACGATCAAGAATGGGAGGTTGGTGGGACGACGGAGGGTGGTGTCGGAGGTGTTTCCGCTGTTGATGGAGGCGGAGGGGAGGTGATGGGAGGGATCCAGACACACGTTCGCCTCACACATCTGAGCCTTGGGCACAACGCCACGTTCAAGCGGCACTTGCGCACGCCGGAACAACACACCTGGCATCTTCTATCGCGCGAACAAACTCTGACATTACCAAAACACGGTGTGATACCCACGCCTACTGGCGATCAGCGACGCTGCTCCCGGCATCACTAGTAACCACCTGCGCGGTCATATTCTTATCCTTCAACAAATAAACATACGCATTGGCGACATCCTCTGGCTGGCCGACTTTGCCGGTCATCAACTTATCCCCTGTCGCCTTCAAAAACTCCTTTCTCTCCTTTTCGGGGATACCGGCCCAGAGTTCGGTCTCGACCGGGCCAGGAGAGATGGCGTTGATTCGAATTCCGAGGGGGGCGAGGTCGAGCGCCAGGTTTCGGGTCAGACCGTACAACCCTGAGGCGTAGGATGCTACGACGGACCAGTTCGGTAGAGGCTTTTCGGCCACCACACCGGTGGTCAGAACAATCGATCCACCATTCCTCTTCAGGTAGTCGGGAGAACCGGTGGCGACTTTGATCGCCAGCACGGCGCTGATAAACCTTACACTTCCCGCATTGACAATATCCTCGTAGCTCCATTCTTGCAGGGGCTTGGCAGCGATACTGTCGCCGGCGGTGTAGAGGAGGTGATCAAAGCTGCCGACTTTGGAGAAGAACTCCTTGAGGTTTTCTTCCGCGGTGGGACCTTTGAGGTTGAGCGCGTGACCGGAAACGCGCGAGGCGTCGGCATTGTACTGCTGCGCAGGATCGGACAGCTTCGTGATCGCAGCAGTGACCCGATCGGCAGAGGAAGAAGCGATGATGACCGAAACACCCTCTTCGATGAGGGCGGAGGCGGCCGCGAACCCAAGACCCGAGGTGCCCCCGATCACGACGACCTTCTTGCCCTGCAGCACTGCGGCGGTTTTCGAGGTGGCCATGGTTGCGATGCTTGCGTGATACTGATGAGATCGGTGCAGTACGAATGCGTGTGGGGTGAGTGTCGAAGAGATCAACCAGTGTTTCCTGTTGATGCTGATAGTTACCTATACCGCCACAATCCTTGGTGAGAGGCAATAAGTTTATATACCCTCCTCGTCGTCCTTCAACCTTGGCATGGATGACTGGAAGAGCGGTCCTCCAGCCGCACCGACCCAACCGCTGATCCCCGTCCAAGCTTGCGTGCTCTACTCCCCACTTTCACCCGCCGGCGATCCACACCCAATTTTAGCATCCCCTCTTTGCAAGTGCATAGCCGAGCCCTTGTCATCGAATTTCTCACGCAGATGACACAATCTCCCACAAGTGGAGGCTTTGGCCCGCATTTCTCCGTGGACATGCTCGCTCACTTACTCGCGCATTCACCACAAGACACTTCGCTGATATTGTGCGAGATTATCAATTCTAGGCGTTCAAAGATCCAGATCGTCGTCCGGATCCTCGTCGTCTTCGTCATCATCCTGTTCGGGTTCGAAGAAGATGTGCGCGTTGCCTGTGGTTCCCCTCAGCGACTCTTGGTGTTGATGATAAGCGTAGGGGAGGGGGACAGTTTCGCGTCGTTCTCGCTGATCGGTTGTCTCGCCGAGGTTGAACGGGAGCGTGGAGATCATGGAGCTGTGTGCGTCGCCTGGTGCCGGCGTGGCGGTGGCAGTGGGAGTGGCGGTGGTGGTGCGATCGACCATGTCCAACGGTACGAGCTGCGTCGATGGTGCTGTGACAAGGCCGACGAGCTCCTCATGCGTCTTGCCGTTGCGCGCGTGGTAGTGCAGCTCGAGCACCGCGTATCCTGTCCGTGCTGGGTTCAACAGATCTGCCAGGGTAATCACACCCGCTGTCGACTCGCTCTCCCCACTGCCCGTCTCAACAACGTCGAGCGATTCAAAGGCGCACCCTTCGCCAGCCCACCATCCCTGTGTGCCGCCACCCGCCTCGTACGCTGCGATACCCATAGGTCCGCGGCTAGCGACATTCTTGAGGACGTCCCAAAAACGCGTATCCACCTCGTCAGCGTCATCGCCACCGTCCAACCCCAGCACGCGCCTGCTCGCTGCGGGAGTGCAAGGCGGCTTGAGTCCGTACTGCTTGTAGACGTGGCGGAGGAGCGCCGGTGCATGAATTGCGACCGAAAGCAGGGTCCCACCAGATCCGGCAGAGGCGGCACCCCAGATCAACGGCGAATGGAGCGTCGAAAGCAACCCTGCATGGGTGGACGCCTCAACACCGCCCATCTGCAGCCCGACAATCACGCGCGATGACGCACCAACAGAGCCGAGCGTCTCGCGCACCAGCTTGCTGGTCATCGCCACCCCGGTCTCTTCGCCGGCAGCGTGCGCGACAGCGTTGAGCGAGTCGATCACCACCGTGGTCTTAGTCATATTGGCACTAAGGGCGGAGAGCTGGGTGCGAATGCGCTCAACCAGCTCGTCGATCGTCTTGACGGCGTCACCCGCGTCGACGGCAAAGACGTCACCGAGCATGGTCGCGTCAATGACAGCAACCTTGTCGGAGGCGTGCCCGTCGAGGTAGGTTGCAGGCGAACGCAGTGTGGTGACGAGCAGCACAGCGTGGTTGCGCTGAGTAGAGCGAGCGATCATATCGCGCATGAGGCTGACTGACGATTGGACGATCGAGTCTTGGAGGACGACCAGCTGCTTGCCGTGTCGTTGCGAGCTGACGCTCTTGAGGCCGCTAGACGATCCGTCTGCCGGGGCGAAGAGCATGTCGTCCAGCAGACTCTGTCCAAGCGAGGGTGTGCTTGCTGAGCCACCTCGCGACGAGGAGGAAGACGCCGATGTGCTGGCGGCGGAAGCACCTGCCGCTTTGCCGCCAGCCACCGTCGAACTCGAGTTGGAAAGAGCAGACGCCTTGATGGTATCGCATCTCGATCGCATGCCATCCTGCTGTTCATCTGACGTTGACGACGCTGCATTCTCGGAAGAAGGAAAATAAGTCGGTTCACGCACGGCATCTGCTGCTGTGGTCTGGTACTCGACCAGCCCACGTGCCACGGTGAGGACTTGATGGGGCATGAAGGCGCCGACAGAGCGACGTCCTTCCACTTCATGCCCTAGCTGAAAAAACGAAGGCGGCTTGCGCAGCGCCTTGCCCTCCTCGAGATGCTCGGCTCGGCTCTTGAGCGCGGTCGACAGGGCGCACGTCTCGTACATGCGCGGCGAAGCGGGCTCGGCCTCGTCTGCACTAGCTCCCGAAATGGACGAAGGCGTGTGAATCGAGGAGCTGGAAGACGCCGTGTCCGCGGGCAAGGATTCTGCCGACTGCGAGGAGGCGTTGCACGAGAGCGCGTCGGCATCCTGTGAATCCGAGTCGGCGCCCTCGTCACCCGAGGCGTGGTAGTAGGGAGGGAAATCAGAGTGCGGGGCATCGGCATCGACACCCCGGCGCTCGTCGGATTGCGCTCGAAGGTCGGCTACTTCATCTGCCCCCTGGACGTTTCCCGACTGTTGCTCGTCGGACGCCTCCTCCTCTTCAGTTCGTGCTGGCTCTTGCGCTTCGGCGTTGGCGGCGTGGTGGCCGTTCTGACCGTCGGCAACAACAGGCTCCATGTCCTGATGAGCCTCGTGGTGCTCGCCGTTGCCATTTCCGTTGCTCTCGCCATTCGCCTTGCCGCCGTCGCCGAGATGCTCCAGTTCCTCGCGTTCGAGCTCCTCAAGCTCCATGCGCATCTCATCGGCCTCGCGCTGCAAGCTCGTCTTGAACTGTCGAAGAGAGTGGATGAACTCGACCTCGGCAAACTTGTCAAAGGGCTGAGGTGCCTGCCAGCGCGCATTCGACTCGTGATAAGCCTTGAGCCAAGGGTGGCGCAGCGCTTCCTCGGCAGTGAGTCGCTGGTCGGGGTCCCAGGTGAGCAACTTGGCGACGAGGTCGAGCGCTTCCGGGTTGGCGTTGGGATAGAGCTTCTCGAGCGGTACGGCGGGCATGTGGGGCAGCGACTTGATGTACGTCTTGGCACGCTCGGAACCGATCTTGTCGAGCACGGTTTCGGAGGGCGAGCCGAGGACGTTGTTGATGCGAGCAATCTGGTCGACGTAGTCCTTGCCGCCAAAGATGGGGCCACCACCGATCAGCTCGGCGAGGATGCAGCCGACGGACCACATGTCCATCTCAGGACCGTAACCTTCGCGGAAGCAGAGCATGACCTCGGGAGCGCGGTACCATCGAGTGGCGACGTAGCCAGTGAGGGGACCACCGGGGTAGTTGAGACGCTTCTGCTTGCCTTTGGAGTCGGTCTTGTAGAGCTGGACGTGGAGATCCGACGCGGGCGAAGGGGATCGTGCTGAGCCCGAACGCGGCTGCTGCTGTTGTTGCGGTGCTTGTGCTGCGTCAGTGTCAGGACTGGACTGGCGCGCGTCGGTGCGGTCGTCTTCGACGCTGCTTCCGATGCTGGATCTCGGCTTGGACTCGGCGTCGTCGTTGGTGGCGGGTGGCGCGAGGAACTCGTCCGAGTCCGCATAGGCGCGAGCCAGGCCGAGATCGCAGATGCGAAGGGCACAGTCGCCATTGACGAGCAAATTGCTGGGCTTGAGATCGCGGTGGATGACCTTGGCCGAGTGCATGTAACGAACGCCTCTCAAGATCTGAGCCATAAAGTACTGGTGGTGAGCATCCGAGAGCGACTGACCGGAACGAATGATCTGCGAAAGATCGGCTTCGCTTGCGGACAAGACGAGGTAGATTTCGGAAAAGTCGATGAAGGCGGTGTCAAAGTCGAGCAAGGCGGTGACATTGTCGCACAGGCCGATGTGACGAAGCAGCGCCACCTCGCGAAGAGCTCTACGAGCGAGGACGTCCTTCTCAAAGATGCGGGTGACTTTTTTGATGGCGACATTGCACTCGAGCACCTCGTCGCGGCAGAGAGCTACGCAACCGTACGCGCCGATGCCGAGCTCACGGACAAAGGTGTACCTCTGCTTGACGTGGAAGGGGACGCCGAGGCAGCGGAACGAGTGGTAACCGCGAGTTGCCAGGTTGTGGGGTGCTAGAGGATGGTCCTCATTGGTGTATCGAGGTGTGCGGTGAGAGCCGGAGGTGGAGGAAGAGACATTGCGACGGGTGCGTGTGCGAGTGCGCGTTCCTTGCCTCGAGCCGACCTGATGAACAGACGAAGACGAAGAAGGAGACTGTGGTTGTGGTGGTGGTGTCGCCTTGCCGGAACCAACGAGAGCAGCCGAGGAAGACGAGGCGACCGCGTTGGGCTGAGGCGACATTGGGGTGGTGTGTTGTGCTGGCATGGTGAATGGAAGGAGATGCTAGATTGAGCAAAGAAGTGTCGATAGTGGTCGAGCTGATGGAAAAAAGGGATGACTGGATGGTACTGGTGGTGGCAAGAGAAGGAAAGCTGAACCGAATCGACACAAGATGCTGATCGAAAGATGCGACGCAGTGGTCAGGAGTGTGAAAGCTGCTGACTCGTGATAATCATGCGTCGAGTGATGTCAAGAGCTAGCTGCGGGCAAGCGGGTAGAGTGATCTGCAGACCACGCAGCACGGATCGCGTTGGTGGGCGAATGGGCCTGAGTGGGCTGCACACGAGCTGCAGGGTCTCGCTTTGTCAGTGCCGTAGGATCAGATCCGAATAGGGTGACAGGCTATTGTTGGTGGCGTGTGAAAGTCGGCCGTGCTCGTCGCAATGGTTGTCGGAAGCGCCGGTGATGTGCGAAAGGAGCAGGAGGAATGCGCACAGGATCAGCCGGTTGTTTGTAGATGGTGTCCAAGTGCTAGTTATATGAACAACCGACGCGGCTGTTGTTGGGTGGGGAAAAAGTCGAGATGAAAGAGATGAGTGCGAGACGGATGGTTGTCTGACACGCGATGATGATGCTGAAAAGGAGGAAGAGGGAGAGGTGGATCACGCAAAGAGGGAGGCAGGGGATGATGTATGACGAGGAGAGGGCCTCGTAGAGTGTCAAGGGCGCGGGAGTCAGTTGAAAGAGTCAGGCCGACGGGCAACACGACGCAGCGCCAAAAAAGAGGGCAGCAGCGCGCAGCCATCTCACAGCGCCTTGAAGGGGGGAGCGTGAAACGGCTGCCAAAGCGTGTCGGTCGATTTCGAGCTAATCGGAGCAGCGCTATTTGCGCAGATCGAAGCCAAAACTAATTTAAAAGAAAAACAAAAAGAGCAAGGCAGAAAAGTCTCCGTGAGAAAGGGTGCGCGAAGAGAGAGAGAGCTTTTCGCCAGTCAATCAAGGCTAGGTTGATGTCGCCTGTCACGCCGCTGCCCCAAAATTCAGGCAGAACCGCCAGAGTGACCATCCTCGACCCAAACGCGTCTTTGCCTCCAATTTTACCGGAATGATTTATAAGTTCTTTTTTTGCATCGCGCTTCGGTGCTCGCTCACCTTGGACCGACTCACCGCCCTTTTGGCTTGGCTAGGAGATCTTGACCGGTGTCATTGACGTCGGGCTGTCTAGGCCCCTAATGATGAAATTTGGAGTTTGCGGCTCTACCTCCACGACGCTAGCTGGTAGATCTACGCCGTGGCCCCACTCGAACTGAGATGAGCTAGGGTCCAACGCTAGGTCACTCGAGATCGCGCAGTCAGCCGCAGCGATCCTCGCGTGGGTGAAAGTCCAATCAGCATAGATGGAACGACAATGGTCTGAATCACGAGTCGCCCATCTATACAACAGATGCATGCAACATGGCAGTGCCCTGTCGGTGAGATTTCGGCGGTGCCTGTTTGTGCTGAGTGGGAAGAAAAACGAGAGTCGAATTGATGCATTGTTGAGTGGGTCGAGAGAGAGGTGAGCGGATTGTGCCGTCTCTGCAGATGCAGGTGCTGCCGCGGCCAAAGATCGGCGGCATCTGGCCTTTTTTGGCTTCTGTCTCGCTCGCTCGATTGGATTTGCTCTTATTGTTTCAGCAGCCATGATTGTTTGGATCCAAGGCCTCATTGTCCTCAGTCATCGGACGCCTCTTGTTCGGATCACCACCGCCTACCTTTCCGGCTCAATGTGGAAGAGTTCATCCGACAACATCCGGAATGACAGCCAAAGCATCGGGTCAGACGACCGAAGGTAGACTAAAGTCAAACAGACCTAGCGGGACCGACTCGACAGAAAGCTCAGATTGAATTGACCGCCGCTAGCTGCCGCTTTTTTTGAGGCGTCTGTTCGCGGGAACAAGACCGGGACTGCGAGGTGAGTCTCTATCCCGCGTGACCCTTTTGGCTTGGGTCGACGTTGCCTCGCATCTTTCCGTCCTCGTTTCCATTGGCCGCCTTGTGTCTCTCCTCGTTGTCGCACAGACAAGGCGAAATCGAAACTTGTTCAATCATTGTCAAGACATGGCATCACCTGGGCCAGCACATGACCGCTTGAGGCAAGGCTGCTGGAGCCACTACCACCGGTGGAACGCGCACCGGTCCGAGCTGGTCCGCTGTCGACCTGCAATGAGCTGCGTACAGATTCCCGTCTCACCTGCATCCGAACAACAGATGCCTCTCTTTTGCATGTTGGTCCAGACTGCGTCGACATCGGCTTGATCCTTCCCGAACCTCTCTATCTCGACTGAGTCTCAATCCTTACGAGTCGACGGCATGAAAAAGACACCGACTGTGGTTCTTTGCTTTAATCCCATCTGAGACACTGCTGAGTCCCAATCCTGCAGAACTGGTCCTTTGCGTCGGCAATCTCTCTTGCTTTCGCTCGCCTTGCTCGCTCGCTCGCTCTCTCGCATGGATGCATGTGTCCAGTCTGTTGTCGGCACCACTCGTCACACCGTCGCATGCAGGGTCGCTTCTCGAGAAATCAATGCATGCGTGACACAGTCAGATGCCAAGCTGCTCTGTGCGACCGACTTTGGTCATTGCTTCTCCCGTTTGTTGACACGAAGAGACAATCATGCTAGATGGTCATCGTTGTCATCTCGTTCCTCAGGTAGCAAGATGCGGCTGTGTGAGCTGTTTCCAGGGTCGACGGCCAAAGACCGCGCCTCAACCCCGGCAAAAAATAATACAAGTCGGCTCCCCTTCTTTTACTCTTTCGTCTTGGCTTGGCCAGCGCCACCGGTCGCCTACATTTGCCGAGCTGCGTGTCACGGTGTTGTACCAGCCACGAGCTGCACCGGTCATCCTCGCTTGCGATGCCATCGTGATGCCAACCACCAAGTTCTACCATCCAGCACACAGAGGGGTCGATCAGATCAGAGAGCGTCTTTTTGAATGTTGGGTTGGGGTTTGGTCGCGCCGACATGGCACCGAAGCCCGACCGTAGCCTTGCTAACATTTTAGATTCAGCTTTTTTCGCGCAGGATTGGTAAAAAGGGCGCGCAAAAGGTGGCGTACAGCCTCGCCCCGCCCCACTCGCTTGGGCTTATCGGTGAAAAGGTTGACCGAGAGGCGAGCTTGGGGTCGGCACCATCCCGCCTCCAGAGGTGTCAGCCCCAAGTTGACCGGCACCTTCATGCCTTGGTCAAATGCCGGTACATACATGTCACTCAGCCGCGAACTTGCTGCAAGGGTGCATGCGAGCACAGGTTCGGGACCACATAGTGCTTGCTCTCTCGAGAGGAGAATTGCAACCGAGCGCCGGTCAAGTGGTATCTTCTTCTCTCTTGCGGAAAAGGTTCGGGACAGAAAGAGCAATCAACCAAGATCATTCTGAACAAGTGACGGCTCGCATGAATGACCTTACCCCGCATCGTGGCCCGTCACGAGGACTCGCTCTTCTCCATCTCGGCATCCTGCATGCGGGCCAATCCATCTGAACCACAATCACTTCTGGCGAGGACAATTCGACCGACCTTGCTGCTATACGTGCACCAATGCTACCTCGCCCTCATCGACGCAGGTCGTGTCTCGGGATGGCAACCAACCGTCCGTGTCCAAGCATAGAGTGGGAAGAAGGGGGGCGGGGGGCTAGGCCTACACCGGCCACGTAGCGTGCACCGGCGAGGCTTGGGTTGGAGCGGAGTTGCAAAGGCTTCGTTTTTATGCCTGGCCTCCGGTGACCCGTGTCCAGGGCGTGGGTTTTGTGGGGCAGGCTCCTCGACCTTCGCGAGCAAGCCTCAAGACGAGCAGATAGAGTTGAAGCCGCGCCGGGTTCAGGACCGTTCGATTCGGAGAACGTAGAAGGAGCAAGGGGGACGGTGAGGTCCGCCCTGTGTGGCTTGTTCCTCGACCTCACACCGACCGTTGTCCTTCCTGCTGATCGCATTAGACGCAGTCGACCTTGTTGGTGTTGTGGATCGGGCTCAATGATTTGGAGCGTGTGACACCACCCCACCTCCCCTCGCACAGGGACGAGCCTTTCGAGACCCTCTCGAGTGCAGGCAGCCGCATTCATCGCCCATCCCCACGCGTCCAGAGCCAAGGTCGAGCTGGAACCGCGGCCTACATGATCCGCACCACAATGCAGGCGAGACAATGCTGGTGACCTCCTTTTGCGAGACCAAGTGGGGGCAGCGCCGATCACAAGGGCAGATGGAGGTGTCGATCGGTTTGCCTCGGCTATTTCCCCACACACATGTGGGGGGGTGGGGAAAATCAAAACAACCAAAACGTCATTCTTGATCGCAAAGTCTTATTTACGACTCCCTTCTGGTGGGCGAGGAGGTGTGCTAGACGAACGCAGATGAAGTGAGCTGGACAGATCGACGTTGCAACACCGTGGGTCGAGACGAGCGTGACACACTGCTCAAGACGACATCAAGAGGAGCATGGTCGTGCGTTATCCTGCCGACCTTTGGGTCTAAAAGCAGGTACACACGTGCGACTCTAGCCCTCTAGCCCTCTCTTAGAGCTTGTCTTCGGGTGGAGATAACAGCCAACGCATCGAGATGAATATGACGGTGGCATCATGGTGAATCGCTTCGAGGAGCCGCGGTAGGCGCCGGTGATGCTTTCACAAAGCCTCCAGTCTAAGATTGTACCACCCGCCGGAGCTTACCTTTGGTTCTTGCAGACTGCCATAGCCGCCTGCTCGGCTTGTACGAGCTTGAGCAGCAGACAGGGACCGTTCAAGAGCATGAGACGAACAAGGCTAGAGGCGTCACACGACCAAGATGGGAAGGAGTCGAGAAGTTGCATGTCATGTCGTTTCCTGGCCACTTTTTGCGACCTCAATTTGAAACTACCTTTTATCGCAATTCCTTTCTTTGTGTGCCAAAATCAGTGAGCAGCATTGTCCAACATGCTACTGTAGTCATGGCGGGTCGGAGGAGCGATGCTAGAACCGCCTTCCATGCCCATGCATCGGCTTGCCTGACCGAAACGGCTGCTCATTGCTCGTATGCTGTTCTGGACCGACCTGAGTGAGGTGCCATGAGACTCGAGCTCGACCACAAGACAGGAACGACTGCAAGAGGCGCAGACTGTGTCCGGCGCCTCGACTCCCTCTCTTATCGATTCCTGATCACTCTCTTTCGTCACTGCTGCAACCATTTTCACACTTGACGTCGTCGGACCGGGCAGCTTTGTCATCGTCACTGCATGGATTGAGATCCGGTAAAACCATCTTGGCCACATGGAAGAACAAACCCGAAGAAAAAATTTGCCGACCTGTCACGCACCCCCGAAAAAATCTTCCGATGCATAGAACTTGTAATGCCGCTCGTCATCCCAGAACCCACGAGTTCGACCGCTCGAGGAAGGGTTACCGAACCATGTCCGCTCGCATGAATGTCAGGTTTGAGATGCCCAAGTGATGACAGCGACCGAGAGAGAGAGGGTTGAAAATTTTGTGCTCACCATTCGTTCAGGCGGTGCTGACTCGCTGATTTCGCCGCCTGCGCTCGTCTTCGTTCGAGCGTCGTTCCAGCGAACAAGGCATCGTGGTCCCAAAGAACCTCGGAAGAACGTCGCAGAACCCCCAGCCCGACGACCCGGCACCTACCGGACGAAAAGGAACCGATCTGAGCGACAATCAGACCTCATCACATCCGGTCCGATCACACAGCCTCAGCATCTCATCTTACAGTCTCAGCTTGCCGTCTCGATGTGTCAAGAGAGATGAACATTATTTGCATGCAAAGAAGAAACTAGTGACAGGGTGACAAGAGACGAATAGGGGGACTAGCAAACAGGCATGAAGCTTGTGCTAGCACCCACGGCGCTTCCTACGCCGCCCCAGAAACTGCTCGAGGGAGCCAGGTCCTTCTTGGTGTTGGCGCGCAGCAACGAAGGTCGCGGGCTCTGCGATCGAGGCGAGCCCGGCATGGCCAACGTCGGCGTGCTCGGCCTCGACGACGACGAAGCGTCGCCAAAGTTGAGGAAGGCGCCAGGCGTGAGGGGCATCTCCTGGGTGGGGCTAGCACGACCCGAAGTGACACCGCTCGTAGAAGCGATGCCGCTGGTCAGGCCAGCGTTGGCACCGGGAGCGGAAGTCATGGTCTGAAGCGCTTCCAAGATTTTGCCGACATCCTGGCTCGAGATAGTTCGTGCCTTGATGGTCTTGACTTCGTCCTTGAGCGCCTTGTTCTCCACCGAAAGCTGCGACACCTGCTGGCGAAGACCCTCGATGAGCGTGTCCCTGTCAGCGATCTGGTCCTCGAGCTGACCAATGTACTCCTTTCTGCGCGTCCTAAAGTTGCGAGCCGAGATCTTGTTGCGCAGCTGACGCTTCTCCTTGCTGCTGAGCTTCTTGTACTCCTCCGGATCAGGCTTAAGATAGTTGATATCACCAACGGCCATGGGAATGTGGCTGAGAGCCTTGTTGCTGCCTCCTGCGTTGGTGTCAGGCGAGCTGTGACGAGAGTGATCGTTGTCATCGTCATCATCGGACATGCCGTCTTCGGACATGGGAGCGACTGAGTCGTCTTGCTTGAGAGATAGCTGCGACGTCGAGAAAGTCAATGGCTGGCTCTGATGAGCTGCCAGGGCCGCAGGACTGATGGAGCCGAGAGGCATGGAAAAGGGCGCAGCACCATTGACGTTCTCGACCACGTGCGGATCAATGGTAGCCGTCTCATAGTCGGTGGTGCGGAAAGGCGAGTTGCGGAAGAAGCCGAGCATGTTCTCCGAGTCGTCTTGCTCAAACTTGATGGGCTGCGAACCGAGGGCTTGGGATGGCGCCTCGAGAAGTGACGAGCTAGGCTCGCCAAAGACGGTGGAGAAATCGACAAGCGCATCGTCCTCGTTGATGCTGTTGAGCACGGGAGGGGTAGCGACGGGCGAGTAGTTGCTGCCGGAGAAGGCAGGCGACTCGGCAGCGTCAAGCTCAGGCGGACTTGTCGTGTCTTTGACGGAAAGCGGAGCCTCGACAGGGGCAACGGCGGGTGCAGCCACAGCGGCGGCAGCCTTGGGCTGCGGGACCGAGGGTCGCATCACAGCAGCGACAGTGACCTGCGAGGTAGATGCGTGGGGCTGCTGAGGGGCCTGAGCGTGAGGACGACCTGATGAGGAGGAAGCTGTGGCTGGCCCAGCAGCAGCAGTAGATGCGGCACCGCCATTCTTGTTTTTGAAGAGGCTGTCAAAGTGGTTGCGAACATATCGGTCGAGGAGAGCCTCGCTGGGCTGGGTGCCAGCTTTGCGAAGCTCGACGGCGAGGTAATAGCGGAAGAAGACCTCAGGAGAAGAGCCGGGAGGAGGGGGCGGCTGATTCTCGTCCAGGCCGACTTTGCGCATGTTGAAGGCAGCGGGAGCAGTGGACGAGGACGTAGTCACAGATGCGGCGTTGGAAATGGTGCGAGCACGGGGCTGCAATGTGGGCGAGGACGGCATCTTGATGGGATCATCAAAGCCGGCGAAGCTCGAGTTGCGAGCGACCTGAGTAGCAGCCATTATAGCGACGTGATACTCTCAAGCTGGTGAGGCTGTCTTCGAAGGCCTTTGAAGTAAGCGAAGGTGTTGAGAGGTGGCCAGCGATACAAAAGGACAGCGATGAGGGGCTAGGAAGGATCCAGTGTTTGAATGCAGGGTTGCGTGCGATAGCGTTGGAAGTATGCGCTGTACGAGCTGTATCGAAGTGATCAACGAGGATGGCTTGGAAGTCGTTGAGCGAGCTTGAGAGTAGTAACGATGTTGAGGACGGCGAGGATGGTGATGGCGAAGTGGAGAGAAAGGGAGAGTGTAATGAGTAGCAACAACAGAGATAGCAAGGAGCGAGCGGGCCGTGCCAATTGCTGAGCTGTGCGGTGCTGAGCTGAGTGTCCTGAAAGCGGCGGGAGCGGCTGAGCAGAGGCGCGGGCACCTTGACAGTGAGACAAAGCCTTGGCTCGGAGCTAAGCAAGCCAGCCAACGCGACCCGAAAGGAACACCTCAGATTTCTGCCAATTTCGATCTGCGATGCGGCAGGGCTGAGCTGTGCTGAGCTGTGCTGAGCTGTGCCCTTTTCCAAAATCAGTCACACAATTTGGTAAGAACTGGTCACAGTCACGCTATCATTTTACGCCACGCCAACATCGCAGTCACTTTGCCTTCTTGTCAAGTGGACATGCATCAAGACCCTGTCTGTGTGTGTGTGTCTGACTGACGTGCAGACAACTTAAGCTCAGCTCAGCTCGGCTCTCCTGCTTTCCCTCCAAATCGGCGGTCCCACCAACGCTGGCGTGCTTTCAGGAGCACTCTTGGAAGCTATCTCACGCGAGCTGGCGAGCCCGTTCCGCTTATCTTGCCCCTGAGCAGTCGAGGTCCCGCCTTGTGTCGTGGTTCTGGTCCGTGACGACCCGAATCCGCGGAGAGGTGCCCGCAGATAGTTCCTTTCCGTTGCCGACCCCTCGAAAGGAAGACGAGAGAAGCTCGAGGATGGACCGGTCCGGTTGCCGCTCCTCTCACTTGTGTCGGCTGGTCTCGTCCTTCCACGTCGACATTCACAGCTGATCACATACACTGATGTTAGAGGCAGCTTCACCATTCAGTGAATGCTTGGTCCGAGCTCGAATCTTGACATGCCGTTCGCAAAGCTGGTCTGCTCGTGGGACCAACGGCGACTGACTCATGAAGGTGACGGTGCTTACGCGTTCCTTTCTTCAGGGTCCAATGCATGAATGCTCCATCTTGCAGGACGATCACCTTCAATTCGAGACTGTTAGACTGGCCATCAGCGGGAAAGAAAAAATAGATCTGCTAGATCAAGTCTGCCGATTTGACAGCTTGGACCGATCTCAGGGTTTTGGCGTTTTCGCTCTTGTTCATGAAATTCTTCGCCTTGACGAGCTGATCCGCCCCGCAGTTGATGTAGTGGTCGCGAGTTTGTTTGGACACTGCTTCCTCACGACCAGCAACAACATCACGCAACGGCACACATATCGCTCTTGGCTCGAGGAGACCGTCGAACCTATCCGATTGCCTCACTGCTGCCAGCGCCCGGTCGCCGCACTCGACTTCGTTCGCAATTCCTGTAGCATTCTCGCATCTGCGCACATTCGCTCAACCATCCGCAACCATGTCGTGGAGAAGCAACGCACAACGAACGGGCATGAATGCTCAGCCCCTCGGAGGCGCTAGAAGATGGGGAGGTGGCGGCGGCGGTGGCGGTGACGATGGACCTTCCAACTCTGGGTCACCACCCTCCCACTATCAACAGCCTCACCAGTATCAGCAGTCCCAATACCAGCAGTCCTCGTATCAGCAGCAGCCACCGTCACACTCGTATCGCGCACCGCCACCCCCTTCTTCCTCCACATCCGATCCGAGGCAGGCAGCGCTTGCAGCCGCTGCGGCCGTCGCTGCGAGCATCGGCATCAAGCGCGATCGTGATGCTCCGCCCTCCTACGCACCACCCACCCCCGCTGGCACAGACGGTGCCGATGGCGGTCCTCGCAAGCGCAAGTCTCGCTGGGGCGATGCCAACGACAAGATCGCTGTCCCCACCGCCATCTCCGCCAACGTATCCGCCGAAGAGCTCGACAAGTACGCCATCCAAGTGCGTCTCGACGAGATCGCGCGCAAGCTGCGTTCCGGCGACTTCATCCCACCCGACCGCGAGCGCTCGCCCTCCCCACCTCCCACCTACGACAACCAAGGACGTCGTACCAACACTCGCGAAGTGCGGTACCGCAAGAAGCTCGAAGACGAACGTCTCGCGCTCGTCGACCGTCAGCTCAAGCTCGACCCCAACTTCCGCCCGCCCTCCGACTACCTCGCGATCAAACGCAACCAGCGGCCCACCGAGAAGGTGTATCTGCCCATCAAGGAGTTTCCGGAGATCAACTTTTTCGGCCTGCTCGTGGGTCCACGTGGCAATACGCTCAAGACGATGGAGCGACAGAGTGGAGCCAAGATCTCGATCCGCGGCAAGGGATCTGTCAAGGACGGCAAGGGCAAAGGTGGGGACGAGGATGAGGAGGAGATGCACTGTGTCGTGGCAGCGGACGACGAGGCGGCGGTGAAGAAGTGCATTCGGCTCATTAACCAGGTCATCGAGACCGCCGCGTCGACGCCTGAAGGTGAGAACGATCACAAGAGGAACCAGCTGCGCGAGCTCGCGGCGTTGAACGGCACGTTGAGGGACGACGAGAACCAACTGTGCAAGAACTGCGGCAACAAGGGTCATCGTGCCTTTGAGTGTCCCGAGCAACGCAATTGGACCGCGCACATCATTTGCCATCGCTGTGGAGGGCAGGGGCATTTGGCCCGGGATTGCACGCAGGGTCGACAGGGAGGATTTGGTGCAGGACCCAATGGGCCGCCTGGTCCAGGAGGGCCGGCGCCTCCTGGCGGGACGGGCAACAGACAGTTCGATTCGGACTACGCCAACCTCATGGCTGAGCTGGGCGAGCCCGCTGCTGCCGGTGCGGGAGCTCCCAGTGCAGGTGCGCCCGGGCCAGGACTGGCAAACGGAATGGGTGCACCCGGTGCAGTGGTCGGAGCAGACGGAAAGAAGATCTCACCCTGGCGCAATCCTGAGGTGTGGACGCAACCCGGCTTCGGCGCTCCTCGCGGCGGCGACGGCGGCCCACCCGGTCGTGGAGGCTGGGGTCACCGTGGCGGGTACGCCAACCGAGGCGACCGCGGGGGCTACCACAACGCCCAACCGCACCAATCGTATCCGTATCAACAACAGCAGCAACAGCAGCAACAAGCGTATCCGGGATACGACGCATCCGCAGGCGCAGGCGAGGCAGAGGGGCAGAAGGACTACTCGGCAGAGTGGGCGGCGTACTACGCTGCGCAAGCGGCGGCGGGTGCTGGAGCGCAGGGTGCGGGCGCACAAGGGGCAGAAGGGACCGCGGCGGGCGCAGACGGCATGGACTATACCAAGGAGTGGGAGGAGTACTACCGGATGCAGGCGGCGGCCGCTGCTCAGGATGGGGCTGCGTACGGTGGGGCGCAGGCTTGATTCGCAATCACTTGATCTCTCTTGATGGTGACGAATGTAGCTGCTTCGTTTGTTTGTCGCTCATTGTAAGAATGCTCACTTGTAGGTGCAGCAGACGTTGTTCATGCTCTGTGTGCGTGTGCAAGTGAAGAACGCACGGCCTCGCGGTGAGAGTGTGCCAATACAATGTGAATGCCAGTGATGCACGATTCCGATACAAGTACAAAAGGGGGCAACGCCTTGCAGATCAATCGTACTCCTCGTCCTCATCGAGACTCCTCTTGACGCCCCTTGCTGCATCGGTTGCCTCGGCATCTTTCTCGCCCTCCTGCGTCCCGGCCTGCTGCGATTGGCTCGGATGCACCGTGGTCATGCTGACATCTCCATCATCGCCCACCTCCTCCTCCTCGTCGTCCTCATCATAGTCTTCGTCGTCATTGGACCTTCTTGTTGTGTTGGTATCAAAGACCGTGGATGCCTGGGTGTTGCTCGGTGCGGTCGATTGGGATTCCTTTTCCTTCGCCTCTCTCTGCTCTTCAAACTCGTCCCATCCATCGGGCAACTTGTTGGGAACCAATCCAAAGTTTACGTTGGTCAAACAATGTTCCCTTTCCGGCAACCTTACTCCGTGTCGATCGCTGATCGGGGGCAGAGGTACGCTGTTGACCGTACTTGCCAGGGCGAGGAGCATATCTTTCTCAGGGGGGTTGGTGAAGCTGTAATTGACGCGACTCTGAATGGCGAGATTGACGTCTTCAAGGGAGAGATTGGAGCCAGCCTGTCGACTGTTAGCGTGATCCGAGTAGACGAGGGCGTCCGAGAGAACGTCGTAGGTGTAACGATGCGCAAATTCGAGGAGTTGGAGAAGGACGGATGGTTCGACGTCGGATACGCCCATGGAGGAGAGGATGAGGGCGATGAGGCGCGCATCGCGCGGGACCGGACCGCGAAGTCCCGTGTCCGCGTACGAGGTTGAGGCGCTGGCGTCGGTGTAGATCGCCATCGTGATGGCGCTGCAGGGAGAGGGGAATGAGTAGCGTAGAGGACGAGAAGAAAAGGGTCAGTTGGAGGACCATCGCGTGCTCATCGTCGGGGCAGTCAGAGCTGGCCGACTCCCGGATTTTTGGGCTTGTTAGATCGGGCTGCCAGAGCTTCTTGTCCCTCAACCTGGTCGTCGAGCGGTCGTGTTTGCTCTTGACATCTCACCATCGCATGCTTGGGAGAAGGTCAGCAGACGAAATGTAGCAGCATGGAGGGAGCCCAGCTCTACTGGAAGACAACACAGCAGCGATGGTTCGTTCCAGAACCGATGACGGTATTACTGTCCTGGGCCAATACGAAGAGCTGGCGAGTCGAACAATCCATACGAGGTCTTGCGATTCAATTGCCCAGTCGTGACCTCGGTCTGCATTCGTTCCACACAGCCCGTTTCCATCAGCGACGTCGCAACGAGAGGAGTAATGGGAGTGCGCCACTCAAGCTCGGCGCCTCAAAGCGACGCTTCCAGTATCGTGATGCTGGCTTCCTCCTGCGCCCCACGCTTATGGTTGATCTTTCACGATAAAGTGGCATCAGCGGGCAGAAACCGCCAAAGCGATGCAGCACAGACCAAAGCAGTCGTAGAATCGGGAGTGAAGTGATGTTGCTTCGGACGCAATGCTAGTGTACAGAGAGTTTTGACCGGGTCATCGAGTATGCAAGTCTTGACGGGATGGTCTACCAGGAGGCCTTCTTGACGCCTGGCAGCTCGTTCGCTAGCGCCTTCAACCTGAACTGGTACTGCAGAGCATCAATAATCGATCACAAATCAACCAATCGTCAGTGATCTCTCCAACCATCGCCGTGCCTCTCTGGCGTTGGAACTTACCCTGCACAACCCGAACTCGGAGATGACCGCCCTTCCGCGCCCCGTCTCGGTGCATCGGTTGGAGACGCTGACTGGTCTTGTCTTGTTGGGGAACTGATTGAGCTGAAGTTGCGCTTGGTGACGGACTCGCTGTGGTAATGTGGTGTTGCGAGCGATGTATTTGAAGGCGCGACGGACGAGTTCGTTGGACTGGACGGCTTGTCGCGTGGCCATGTCGCGGAGGACACGGGCGTTCGGTCGGACTGGCATGATGCGCTGTGATGTCTTCCCCTTTTGTAGACACAGGAGGAAACGTATGCGATGGGCTCGGCGGAGGTTGAGAAGATAGAGAAATGGTGTGAGAAGAAAGGTCGAGTGCACAAGAGGAAGGGGCCTTCTTCCCGAAAAAGTGCGCGGGTGTCGGAGCCGTTCTGCGAACAGAATTTGGGAACGTGTTAGGGCGCCCTTTGCTGAAGATGTGAAAAATTAGCTCATGATGCTCCCCAACCTGGACCCTGAGAAGAAAGCCAAAAAAAAAAGTCAAAGCTGGGCACATGCATCTTGCCGGACAAGCACCACTTCGAGAATGCGTTGATCTCTCCTCGCCTCTACATACGTCGAGATGATGGCGTCGTCATCTGTCGCGGGACCGCCGCACAAGAAGAGGCGGTACGCGGATCAAGCTTCTGGGCCAAGTTCGACGCACGACGATGGCTTCGGCACTCAATCCCTTCCGGTAGCCGTACTCCCCGACGACTTCTCAGGAGACCCTCTGGACGGCGAGCAGTACCTCGCAGTCGTTCGTCGCGAAGCAGCGGCTGCCCCTGGCATCTTTTTCGCCGCTCACAATCCTTACGCCGACACCAATGCCGTAGCATCGACCTCAGCGATACCACTCGATTCGCTGCCCGACTCTGTCTCAACCGCATCAGCGTCGACTCAGCTCGACGACGGCCTTCTCATGCCTTCCTCCGAATGGAAGTCGACCTTCACGCAACAGTTCCGCAACGCACGCGAAGCGCTCAGCAATACGCCCACCGAGCCCGTCAAGCTGACCAAGGACGACCTACCCAAGATCAACAACACCAACGCGTGGTATGCGTGGATTCACGGTCGACCACCACCGCCCACCTCGCCCGAGGAAGTGGAGAAGCAATCTGGCAAAGCTCACGAATGGCGGATTCGCGAGCCATCGGCCGCGCTGTTACTGCGGCTGAACACCGAACAGATACTGGGACTGCTCGAGACGTTTCCGTACTGGATCGCACATCGCGTGTCGATACCAGACGGTCAAGCGCGGATGGAGGAGAGGAGGGAAGGAGAGGTGCTGCAGCCGCTGCATGCGAGGTGGCTGTTTGCATTGCTGTTGAGGCTGGATGGGAGGTTGGTGAGTGAGGAGATTAGTACGCTGAGGACGCTGGCGAGGGCGTGTGTCGCTGCGATCACGTTGAGTCGGATCAGGAGGAAGGCTGTCCGGTCGCGCGTGGGTAAGGCGGAGGCAGCGGAGGTCAACGGAACCGCGGAAGCCGGGGAGAAAAGCACCGAGATGAGGGAAGAGGAGAGCATGAGAAGGGACGAGGCAGGTGCATGGATGGTGGTCGCCATCATCGCGGGCGTGTGGGGCCAGTCCGACCTATGGGACGATGCGATCGTCGACATGAAGCGGGTCAGTTCTTGACCATGTTCGCGACATTGCACGAAGGCGAGAGCTGTTGTTGTAGATACCCATAGCGATTCAAGCAAGGCTCGGTGCAACGTCTACCATCAGGCCCGATAACCCGATCAGCATTTCAATGCTTATCGCGATCTGAATCCGCGAGCTCCGTTGCACGGAGAGCATCGTGTGAGCCAAACGTCGCCCCACCAAGCTTTGCAGGATCAGCGCCGGATGCCAAGAGCAGCGGAGTTGAATGCTCGTGCCGGTGGATCCCATTTCAAAAATTTCGATTGAACCGCATTTCAACGGCGATTCTTTGAAAGGCCTGTCGTGCCGAGCAATTCAAACTTGACTCGAGCCTTGTTCGGCAGGGCTAATTTTGAGCGGCCTCGACTGCTTTCAGAGCTTGGCCAGCAGGCCAACTGAGCATGCTCGACCTAGGTGAGAGCATTCTTTGGCTCTGGTTGATACACTTTGGCTGGCTTAGGTCGCAACAAGAAGCCCTATCGAGAAGACGGAGGGAGAGGGTGAGGATTTGTTGAAGGCAAGATCTTAGGCAATGCATTTTTGTTTTTACGAATAATTAATCTTAGCGAGCTAAAGGGACGAAATTTGAACCGTCGGCACGTCGAAAGGGCGCATTTCAAGCACGCCAACGCGATGCGGTCATGTCCGTTCAACAGTGTTTTTTCCCCATGCCGAACGCGAAGTCCCACTCTTCTGGGCTTGGTCGATCTTCATCATTGTATCGCAGAAGAGTGGCTTCAGCACAAGTGAATACGAGGCGTGAGAATATGTCATCCGGGGAAGCGACTATGAAAGTGACATCGAAGATGGCCCCGTAAGAGGCCGCGTGACGGACAAAGCGGAGGAGAGCCGAGTCGACTCGCTATGCTTTTCGGCAATGAAACGCGGCAAAATTGCAAAGCGGCACGGCAGGGCAGGGCACTGCGAACCAACAAGCCGACAGTTGATCTCATGCTCTTTCTGTTCGGCATCGCCTCTCCTGGTGGCTAAGCCGCTTTGTTGTCATTCCCCTCGTCACTCTTTACACTCGCTCGGCTGCCGACGGCTGACACAAACCTTCCTACCTCACTCAACCCTGCATCGTGAAGGCAAGGATGCTCAGCTGCAACAATGCCGGCTGAGTCGCTACCACAGCACGGCAACTAGTTTCAACCAGCAACACAGTTTCACCTGCACACACGACCACCTCAACGGCATGATCCTCGACTCCTTCTCTCGCTAGATCAACCGTCTCTCTGGCACCCAGCATACACCCCAAAACGCGCAGCACCAACATTCTTTGGCGCTGCCGGACAGTGCAGATCCTTCTCATCACTCTCGGCATCCTACGCCCTCCCATCGGTATCCTGCTCTCTTGGCTGCAAGCTCGCACCGGCACCACAACCTCATCTCGTCCTTTCGTTCGCAACAGCATGCCATGACCACTTCATCGTCTTGAACTCATCCTTCTCCGTCCGCTGCTGGCACTAGTCTTCCTCATCGTCCTACTCTTCGATCGCTACGTCAAACCAGGCAGTCTCCTCGACGGCAACCATCCTGCATCCTTACGGCACCCCGTCCTCATTCTCGGCGCACAGACAAGCACCGACCTCGTGGTCTTGCCGCTCTTACCTCCGCTCACTTCCGAACTCGCTTCTCTGCATACCACCTTGCATCCGCCGGCTCCTCTCGCTACCAGATCCTTTGCACATCCGACACACCCTGCAACAAGCGTCGACATCAATACAGCAGGCAAGCTGCCCTCAGCTGGTCGCTTGACCAACCACCTCCAGCATATCTCTCATCTGTTCTCCATCATCCTTCGAAGGTCTGACTCACACAAGACCTGATTCCGCTTCATATACATCATAGCCACGTCTGCCGATCCTATCGCCCCACCATGTCGTCCTGACATCGACCTACATTCCAGTCATTCTTCCATAGTCACCGTGAGCGGCACAGCGCATCGGTAGCGTCAGCACTGCCCTCATACCACAATGGCTTCCCCATCAATACCATCGATACAGCCTCCGGCACCAACACTGTCGCGAGGTCATCTCAGCTCGCATTCCCGTCTAGCTGAGGATGCGGTGCTCGAGTCGTCACCCCTGCCCCCACCACCCGACTTTCCGTTGCGCCCATTGACACCAGAAGAGATCGATGCCATCAAGCTCGTCGGTGCAGAAGACTCTCGGCATTGGTCGCAATCCAAGAAATGGTCCACCACCCTCATCATCTCGCTCATGGGCTTCATCTCCCCCTTGGGCTCATCCATTCTGGTTCCCGGCAATGGCTTTGTCGACACCGACTTCACCCTAGGATCGCGGACGCTTTCGCTCTTGCCGGTCTCGCTCTTCGTCATTGGTCTCGGTATCGGTCCCTTTATTCTGGCGCCATGTTCAGAGACCGTCGGCCGACAGCCCGTGTACGTCATCACAAGCTTCCTCTTCATCATCTTCAACCTGGCTTCCGCCTTCAGCCCCAATTTTGTTGCCCTCAACATCCTGCGTACTTTTGCTGGTGCAGCAGGCAGTACCGGTCCCAGTCTGGGGGCCGGCAGTATCGGCGACATGTTTGCACCCAAGGAGAGAGGGCGAGCGCAGTCCCTGTACGGTCTCGGTCCGCTCATGGGTCCTGTCTTGGGTTCGCTCATCGGCTGCTTCATCGCTGCAGGAACAAGGAACTGGCGATGGCTGCTGCACACGCTCACCATCTTGTCCGCGTTCGTGTTCGCCGTCATCCTCTTCTTCCTCGACGAGACCTACGCACCCGTTCTCCTACGCAAGAAACGAGAGCGTGCCATCGAGCAGCGACTCGAGCAAATTCGTGAGCAGGATCCCATCACTGCCACCCTCATCTCGGCCAATAAGCCGACAGCATCGCAACGCACACGCAAATGGCTCAAAAAGGTCCTACCCAGCAGCGAGATCCTGCACAAGCTCAAGATGGCCCAATCCCGACCTTTCCGTCTGCTCTTCACCAACCCCATCTGCGCCATCTTCTCGTACTACCTCGGCTTCTGCTACGGCATCATCTACTTATTCCTTACGCAGCATCCGTTGTTGTTTCAGACGCGCGACGGCGAGCCCAGCGCTCCATCTGAGGATGTGCTGCCTACGTACGGCTGGAGTCTGGGTGTCTCTGGGCTGTCCTACTTGGGCCTGGGACTTGGTTTCCTCGTGGCAGCGTTCACCAATGCGTTCCTGCAGGACGAGATCTACGCTCGCTTGGTCGCCTCGGACGGCAAGCTGGGGTGGTTCCTGTTCAAGAACCAGACGGAGATCAAACGGATCATGGCCGAACGGGAATTCGACCGTGCAGCACGGGACGGCAAGGACACCGAAAAGGAGGCGCAGTCGATCAATTCGGCGGATCAGAACAACCTCGCCAGTCGACGAGGTAGCGACGGTGCCAATTCGGCGCTGGGTAATGGCACGCCCACTCACAATTACGACGCACCCAAGCACAACGACACGCCGACCGTCGACGCGCCCGCGCCCGCCAAACCTGCCCCCGCTGCCAGCACTGGCAAAGGCCGACCCGAGTACCGTCTCCCGCTCTGCTTCGTCGGCATGCTCATTCTCCCCGTCGGCATGCTCCTCTTCGGCTGGTCGGCGGCCAACCAGACGCACTGGATCGTGCCGCTCATCGGCTCGTTCACCGTAGGCTGCGCCACCATCCTCTGCTTCCAGACCATCCTCGTCTACCTCGTCGATGCGTTTGTGCCCTATTCAGCGTCCGCCACGGCCTGCGCGGTGTTGGTGAGGTCCGTGTTGGCAGCGGCATTTCCCCTGTGCGCAGAATATATGTTCGAAGCGCTCGGGTATGGTTGGGCCTGCACGCTGCTTGCGGGTGTTGGGATGTTGGGTCTGCCCGTACCTCTCGTGCTGTTCAGGTACGGAGAGGGTCTGAGGACCCGATACAAGTTCAAGGGGTGAGAGAGGGGAAAGCATACTTAATATTATCGTTGAAGTGTAATTGTATCGTTTGTTCAAGCATTCATTCGATCTGTGTAACCATGTGTGGCCGGTGGGCGACAGCAGAGTAGGATGGTTTCGACTCGATTTGCTTCACGATGCCTGTTCCTCCGTGTGTCAGACCGTAGACAAAGACGGGAGAGGTGTATGTTGATTCAAAAGCAGAGATACATTTGCCAACTCGTCCAACGTCTACACAGCGACGCGTTTGGTCGCCACCTTTCCGTGCGCACTTGTGCTGTTGAGCACCCGTCCCAGCACTCCACTGTTCCTCCCCAAGCCCTTTGCCAGGACACTCGCTGGAATGGGCCTCAACGCGGACGACATGGCGACTAGCACGCTCAACAACGCCATTGCGCCAGCCTGGTGTGCGCTCGCCAACGGAATCGGCACCATGTAGATCAGCGTTGTGATCCCGAGCGTCACCTGAGCGGCGACGACTGCGACGGATGCCTTGGCGAGCGACGTTACTCTTGGTGGTAAACTCGGCAGCATCGCTTTCCCTCCTGCTGCCTTCATCGCAGCGGAGTAGACCCGGCCCAAGCGATGGGTCCTCCACGCCAGCGCCAGTACCGTGCAAGCGGTGGTGACCGCCAGCGTGCGATGGATCAGCTGCACAGTGACCGGATTCTGCGTGAGATTCCTCCACACTTTGTCGGATCCATCCTGACGCTGAGCAAAGCGGTCGTCCATGAGCTCGTCGATGGGTGGTGCAATCCGACCTTCTCCCATGGTAGGGAACTCGTTGTACACCAACCCTGCGTCGAGGCCCGCGACCAACGCGCCCGACATGGCCGTGGTAAACACCAATCCTGCGACCACCTTGACCAGCCTCGCGTGTCCTCGGAGCAGGGGGTGATTCAGCGTGTTCGCCAGCTGGGACAGCGTGCTGGTGTTTCGAAGTGGAACACCCGAGGGGGACCCGGTGAGCGTGGCGGCTTTGTAATCGCGTTGAACCGCCAACCCGGTATGGAGCATGGCGAGGTAGACCAAAAACGCCGTCCCCATGTGCAATGCAAGCCTGAAATGCGAGACTCTCGGCGTCCATTCCGCCGTCGCCACCAACGTCTCTGCCGAACTCGTCGGTACACTCTTCCCACCCTTCTCCGGAGTCACCATCTTTGCTCTCCCCTCACTCCCCTTTGGAACGCTCAGTCCGGATTTGACCATGAACCACCCCAAGAAACCCTGGAACCCAATCCCCACTGCTATCCCTGCCAGCTTGAACCTCGTCGATCCCGCAACCTTTTTGGAGAAGATGAAGTAGGCAGCGGGCAAAGTGAATGCTACCCCGATAACCCGACCCAACACCCGATGCCCCCACTCCCACATGTAGATCCGTTTGAAATCGTCGAGACTCATGCGACTGTTGAGAAGGTGGAATTCAGGGGTTTGTTTGTACTTGGCCCATTCGGATTCCCATTCCGGGGTGGTGGTGGGGAGGTGAAGACCGCGAAAGCCGGGGTTCCACTCGGTGATGGAGAGACCGGATTCGGTGAGCCGGGTAAGACCGCCGACAATGACGATGGCGTAGACGAGGAAGGCGAGCGCGAAGAGGTGGAGTGCTACGATGGGGCGCGAGATGAGGGGTGTTGATGAGGCTGCAGTGGTGGATGAGAGGTCGGACGGGGTGATCGTGGCGGTCGACTGGAGACGCTGCTGCTGAAACCGGTGCGCGGCGAGCTGCCTGAGGGCCGTGAGTGGTGTTGGTGTGAGTGAAGGCCTTGATGTCGCGTACGATCGTATGAGGCCGAGCGGCGGCCTCGAGACCATCGGTGCTTTTGATGCGGCAAACGTTGATCGAGCCTGCAGCCCAACGCTGGCCACCGCAGCTCTTGACAGCGTCGGTAGCAGCATTGGCGCTGTGGGCACGACCAACCTCGCCCCAAGCAGCCTGGGCATCATCTGCGCAGTCACCATGATGAAGGATCGCCTTGCCAGAAGCGTTGATACGATGATGCACGAGAAAGATGATAGCGAGAAGAATGATTGAGTGAGCTCTATTTCTGGCCAAAAAATGGCAGATTCCGCGGCGAAGAAAGCGCATGGCGGAATTCGGACAGCGCCGGGCGGATTTGATAATCAGGCTTCATCTGTGGTCGCGATCAAGACGCTCTCCGAGGTCAAGTGTGTTTCCATGACTCGGGTCGTCTAATCCTAAGCCGCTTGTATGGGTGCCGACTCTGAAGGCTGATACCAGCTGCCCGTCCATGAGCTCGCGGAATTGTATCGACTGAATCGGACCAAGCTCAAGCCGACCCGATTCGACCTCTTCTTCGCACGCTCACAGTGTACCACGATGAAAGTCATTCTACAATTGCTACTATGCTGCTCTGCATGGCTCACCTCCTTCCACCTCTCCTCTTGGCCGCCTCCTGCGTCTTCTTCTCCTCCAACAACCTCTGCTGCTTGATCACATTCCCGATACCGGCCAACCTCCTATCGTCCTTCCTCAAATAGTACAACTTTGCCCTTCTGGTCCTCCTCAGCTTTCCGCTCTTGTCGTTCTTCCCTGCCTCTGCTTTCTGGATCACCCTGACATCCTTGAGCAGCGGCGAGTAGAGGTTGAAGCGCATCTCGACACCCAACTTCTGCACGAGGTTTCGGAGGACGAACGAGGTCGAGACGCCTCTTCGGCGGATGGCGATCAGCACGCCGGAGAAGGAGGAGAAGTTGGTCTTGAGCGGCGTGGTCCAGGATTCGACGATGAGGACGGAGCCGGGTGGAATGCGCGTGGGCGACTTGCGATCGAAGAGTTGGGTGAGACGGTTACCAGGGTCGTAGCGCGCCCGCAGAGCGGTGTGCACGCGCGGCATGACGCTGTCGAAGATCGTTTTGGCGGGAGGAGGAGGGGTGATCTTGGTCTTGGTGGAGACGAACGTGGGCACCTCGGGGATCAGTGCGGCTGATGAGAAGGGGTATGCTGCGGCTGTTGGGCGGCAAGTAAGAGAAAGAGCAAGACAGATGCAACAGAATCAGTCTGAGGCCTTCAGCTGCAGTTCGGACACGGCGTTGCAAAGATATCTGATCGGGTGGCACTTACATCGTTGCGACTGCTGCTTCTGAGGAGCTGCTTGCGCCGACTTGGATGAGGAAGCTGCGGGTTGAGCACCGACGTGCGATGTGGACATGCATCGACGGGCTAGCGCTGACGAAGACGAGCTGCTAGACCCGACGCGCAGCGACTGGAACAGCGTCGTGAGCTGCTTCGATGATCTTGATGCCGACATGATGCGAATGTCCCTCGTTTCGAGCTGATCGTTGTGAGGTAGAAGTGACGATGACGAGCAAGGGTTGGTGTTGAAGTGACAGAGTGCCAATCGACTTTTTCTGCACTTCTTCTTGCCTCGCTCCACTCTCGTGCGACTGAGTAGCCCTCTTTTCTGGCCGGATCCGTGTTTGATTTTCGCTCGAATCGGGCGCAATTTGAGTGATACAGCACCAGCCAGCCCCACTTCATTGGCTCTGGCCGCCAAAAAGCAGCGCGTCCTTCGCTCTCTCTCTTCTTCTGCCGCCGCTTCTTGCTCACTCGACCCTGACTGCTGCGCATTCGCCAACTTTGAATGCACGCTTCTACCATCACCACCTTCCAATCTCATTCATCACCATTCTCACCTTTAGACGCTCATCACACGGTTGAGCAACGAGGCTGTCTGCTCGTCCGCTCATATCGACTCAGCTTCACACTCGCTGCTGCCAGGCCATTTCAGCACATCAGCGTCGAGCCGCAAGTTGCAGCTGTTGCGTCTCGCTCTGACTGACTTCCAGTCTCTGGCTCATCAAGCGTCGACTATCAATCGACACTGCAGCAACCATACGAACCGCACGACCGCATTGCCTTCTCGCCACGCATAGCGGCGACACATTTCCTCCACAATGGCGGCGAGAAAGTTGCAAACAGAGATCGACAAGACCTTGAAAAAGGTCGCAGAAGGCGTCGAGATCTTTGAAGACATGTACGAGCTCCTTCAACGCTCCACAAATCCGACACAGAAGGAAAAGATGGAGTCGGATCTCAAAACCCAGATCAAGAAGCTCCAACGACTACGCGATCAGATCAAGACATGGGTGCAGAGCAACGACATCAAGGACAAGAAGCCGTTGCTCGACAACCGAAAGCTCATCGAGACCCAGATGGAAAAGTTCAAGGCGATCGAGAAGGAGATGAAGACCAAGGCATTCTCCAAAGAGGGTCTCATAGCGGCCGCAAAGATGAACCCCAAGGACCGCGAGAAGGCAGAAGTGACCGACTGGTTGTCCACGCAAGTCGACGAGCTCTCACGACAAGTCGAATCCGCTGAGGCAGAGATCGAGACCATCTCGGGGTCAGGAAAGAAGAAGAAGGGCTCGGCGAAAGACGAACGGGCGTCGGAGCTGGAGAATGCCAACGACCGCAGAAATTGGCACATCTCGCGACTCGAGATCCTCTTGCGCATGCTCGAGAACGGCAACCTCGAAACCGAGCGCGTCACCGACATCAAGGAGGACATCTCGTACTTTGTCGAGTCCAACATGGAGGAAGACTTTGAAGAGGACGAAGGCATCTACGACGACCTCAACCTCGACGACGGCGAGGAGGCGTTCGGTCTCAAGGAGAATGATGACGTGCAAAGCAACGTCGACTCGGTCGCCAATCCGGATGACATCAGCTTCAGCGAGATGAACAGCACGCCCTCCAAGCCGCGACGAGAGAGCATGGCCGAGATCAACACCAGTGCGCCTGTTCTTCCACCAAGCGTCACGGGGACCACGACGACTACAAGCACCACCAGCAGCAGCAACAATAACAACAACAAGAAGGAGGCAACAGCGTCGTCGCCCGTTTCGGCAGCTCCCGAACCACCTGCGGCGTCGCCCGCTGCACCTGCGGTAGCCGCGGCCAAGAAGACAACCAAGAAGGCATCGCAGGAGACTGTTGCTGTGCCCAAGGAGAAAGCGGTGCCCACTGCCAACTTTGCGCAGGCCAAAGCACCATCTGCGTCGCAAGCGGCTGTTCTTTCGCCTCCCAAGGCGCCCAGCGCAGCACCGCTTCCGCCGATCCGATACGCTGCGGCTGCGGCGGCAGCAGTGGCAGCAAGTGCTGCTGCAGATGCGGTGGCCGTCTCGCCTGCTACGACGACAGCCTCGATCGCCAACGAGTCGACGACGGACTCCATCACTGGCATCCCATCAGCAGCGTCTGCGGCGCCTAGCTCGCAAGCACAAGCAGCATCGGCTGCGCCTCAGCCAGTGGGTGCTCCGGCGACGCCTGTCAAGTCGAGCGTTGATGCTCTCAAGAACGATGCCAGCGACAAAGCACGATCGGCATCGCCCGCGCCACCTGGGCTCACCAAGATGGACTCGGCAAGCAACAACGCGGCAGCACCAGGCACACCGGCTCAAGACGGCAACACTTCAGGATTCCAGCCCGCACAACTGGCAGCTTCTTCGGCGGCAGCAAGTGTGGTGCAGCCGGCAGGCGGAGGAGCTGGCACGGCGGCACAGCAAGCAGCGGCGCAAAAGGAAGCGGGCACGGAAGCACGACTGCCGACGTCGCTCACGGATCTGGTCTCTTCGTTTGAGTCAGCCAAGCAGAAGTCGCTTCGTCGGGACGCCAATCTGGGGCTGGTGCACAAGTCGCTCGAGTCGTCGTTCATGAACGTGCCCGAGCCGCTCGATTCGGACAAGCCTCGATACTATGTGCCCAAGAATCCGTTCCCGACGCCGAGCTACTACCCGCAGTCACCCGCAAGCGTGTTCGACAACCCGGCGCTGTACTCCAAGTTTGACGTGGACACGCTGTTCTACATCTTCTACTACCAGCAAGGCACGTACCACCAGTACCTGGCGGCCAAGGAGCTGAAGAAGCAGAGCTGGCGATTCCACAAACAGTACCTGACGTGGTTCCAGAGGCACTCGGAGCCGCAAGCGATCACGGACGAGTACGAGCAAGGCGTGTACGTCTACTTTGACTGGGAAGGCAGCTGGTGCCAACGCAAGAAGTCGGATTTCCGCTTCGAGTATCGATGGTTGGAAGACAACTAGGTGGTAGTCTCACTTGATGTCGTCGTTGTTGAAGAATAAGAATGATCAAACGCATGCTGTGAGGGTGACGCTGTCTGTGATGCGAGCGGCGAGAAAGGAGGTTGAACCGCCGACTCGAGATGCAGGGAAGTGGGCTCGGCGACAAGAGGAGAAAAGAGCACGCGAAGGGGGACGTGCAGCTCGCCAATCCACGCCCTTCCCCGAGGCGTAAAAAGCGGAAGCTGCTGAATGATCTCGTGGATGCCAACGTCGAGCATTGGACAGCTCCTCATCTCAGGAACGGCGTCTCTTCTTCGCCAATTCGTCTCAGTTGTTCATGCCACCGGCCCGCTGAACGGCGACGCCAGTGCTGGCTTCGTGATACAATACTCCGCAGATGAAAGTCAAAGCCAAAGATCCAACGGAAGCCGTCGAAGCAAGCCGAGAATTTTGAAATGTCTTTGGCTGCTGCAATTTCATCATAGAAGGAGTTCAGCCGCTAGAGAACAATGAAGGGATCTGAGACAAGCGGCGACTGGATCTGGCTGGCCTTCTTCCATCTCGGCTGGTCAGTACGATCTCTGCTGTTTCGTGAGACACCTTGTCTGTGTTTGAACCTTGTTGATGAGATCACTACGAGAGGCAGTGGTCCTCCTCTTATCGCCGAGGGGCCTTTGCCGTGGTCAGGCCTTGGAGGTGACGAGGTGATCTGCAGAGGCTGAGGCAGGCGTTTGTTTGAATGGGATTTGATGCAGGGTGCAAAGGATTCTATGAAACCCCGCTGAAGCTGAGCACAGATCTGACTCCGCCGTTGCTGTTGCCGCGGGTCCAGATTTGGCGCTGCTCAGCCTTTCAAAACAATTTTGGGCGGGCATCGGTTGCTTGCCTTTGACTCGCCTTGCATGGCCTATCTTTCGCAGTCAACCTGCGGTGCCTTCCTCGCCATCATCACCGCTTAGTCGCCGTCGCTTCCCTTCCGTCCTTGACCATCATCTCTCCTCGCCCATCGTCCAAAAGTCTTGCCAATCGTCCCTCATCCTCTCCAAAGCGCTGGTCGTTTCTGCTCCCGGACAACATCATCTGGCCCATCATCTCCTATCGTCATCGTAGCCCGTGGTCTCTGTTTCATCTCATTGTTCTCGCTAATCGGCCTCGACTGCGCATAACCTCAGCATTATATCCGACACTCTCACGCTGTTTCCCTACATCGAAATGACCCCTTCCCCTCAGTGATTCCACCATCACCACCAATCCTACAAGCAACCTTGTCAATCCCCGGCAATGCTACACAACTCTTGCTGAAAATGTCGCTCAAGTTCCTCACGAGGAGGCGCGATCGCGATCGCAACACTCCTTCTTCCGCTCATACCCACAGCAAATCCGTGTCGATCACCAGAAGTCACACAGCGACAGACGTCTCGCTTCCCTCAACCGATTCCTTCTTCAGAAAAGGCAAGCCTGCCGAGGTCCCCTCCGAAGTTCACATCATCAGCTGGGACCAGAAGGAACCCTCTTCCTCCGGTCGACAAGCGCCTATCGGATCGATAGCCGATGATGCGCCTCCTTCGACAGCTACACCCGTCTATCACGCATTTACAACCCGTCCCTCGTCGACAAGCCTGACCTCCAGGGAAGCCAGTACCAGCTACTCCAACGATACTGCCTACAGCGGCAGCGGCAGAAATGACACCTCCGGTCGCACCTTCTTCGGCGCAAGGAACCTTCCAGCTCATCGCAGGGTCGAGTCCAAGAGCTCGCCCCGAAAACCTACAGAAGCCCCCCGCGAATCACCGCGTGATCCTTCAGCGACGCTCCCTGACGAGCTCGCCTCAGTCAGCCTCCAGGCGGTGTTGAAAGGGTCAGACACGCCTAGGAGTGACAACGTCGAGGAGCTCGAGGCTTCTTCTGGCGCTCAAACTCCTCTCAGACAGAAAGATGCATCGAATAGCGAAGACATTGTCCGCCCAGCAACCAAAGCACGGCGTCCAAAGTCGCGCTCCGACCATGGTCACGGCGGTTCTCGCATGGCCATCCACGGTGACGTCGACGTCGATGACCTGTCCACCCCCTCTTTCGCCGGCACGCCCCTGTCGTTGCCTTCTGGATCACGGGTTCCCTTTTCGGCCTTCCACCGCAACGCCTCAGTGTCATCCTTGACCAGCTTCATCTCGTTCGGTGGGGCTGGCGACGTATCGGCCAACGAAGGCGACACAGCGACGTTCAAGAAACCGTCCGGGTTTCTTTCCCGCTTCCCCTCGACACGACGCCGGTCGCGACGCAGCAAGAACGCCTCGTCAGGGGACGCGCAGTCCTCTGCCTCAGGTGATTCGGATGGGCAAAGCGGTTCCTCCCGTGCTCGCAGCGAGTCACACCACTCTGCTGCGCCAAAGTTCTCCCAGTCGCGAGACAATGTTCAGTCACCACCCAGTACGACCAAGGCGGTCAAATCGGGCAGGTTGGCCGCTCCACCCTCAGCCTGGCGGTCCGACATGGCAGCCGTAGCTCCCGTGGCAGATATCTACAGTGCAGGTGGAGGAGGGGGCACGTCATCCGCCTACAGCTCGGACAACGAGATGAGCGTCGGCCACGCCTCCTCCTCCGGCCACGGTGCCGAACCCAGCGAAGGTCGCACATTCTTCCAAAAACATGGCAGGCGAGCGAGCGGCGGCGACACGAGCGTCTCTGCCCGGGAAAACAGCAGCCTTCTGCACCCCTCCTTCACCATCTTTGGCCGAATCACTGATGCAGCGACCAAGCGGGCCTCCATGTACTCGTCCAAGTCCAACGCATCACCCGCTCCCGCGCCGATGCCGTTGGAGCCGGCCGATCCGCCCATCTCGCCCCGCGTCTCGGGTCTTCCCTTACCCCTCCCCTCGCCTTCGGTCGCCTCGCCGGGCGGAACGATCTTCACCGCGCAGCTCTTCCAACGTCTCGGTCCGCCTCCTATCGGTCTTCCACCTCCGAACTTCGAAGACCGTGTCGAGCTCATTCACAATCACGTGCTCAACCAGGCCTGTCCCGCACACCCGTCGTCCAACCCCGCTGGACTTGGCAACGACCTCTCGAGCATCCTCATGAGCACCAGCGCCTCTTCCGATGGTCTGTATCGCTCCAGCCTACCGCCCACACCGCGGGGGGTTACCGCCTCCACTTCGTCGCGCACCATCCGCGCCGCACCCTACGACCTGACGACGCTCCAGGACGAATTTGACAAGCTCGAGTGTCTAGCTGAGCGCGAGATGGGTCGGTTCGTTCCGACCGTCGAGATGCTCCGCGAACTGCGCCTGGAAGAGGCCTTTGTGGAGGCGAGACGCCGATGTGGCGTCGACTGCACGCGGGTTCAGTTCGAGGTGAAGAACGTGCTTGTCGCTGATGACAGGCTGGAACCAAGTCGCAGCATGGCGTCCGTCCTGGGGCTGCAGCACGGCGAGGAACGGTTTGGAGGGGCAGAGATGAGTCTGACGCCTGCGCCTAGGAGGAGGCGAGGGACGGCGACGAGAAAGTCCGATTCGACGGGTGCAAGGATCACCACGCCTCTTTCCAATCTGCCCAGCGACGGCTTTGCGCCACAGGAACTGTTCACTCCACAATCGTTCAGCGTCAAGCCGCTACCCGTGCTGACGCAGCGTCAAAGCTCGAACGTCGCCGGCGCAAGACCATCCAGCGCCGACACGCACAGCGAGGCGAGCAGCGGAGTGAGTCGCAGCGCGTTGCGTTCGCCGCCGCTGTTTGGGCAAGTGCTGGGTTTCCACGGGAAGGGTGGCGTGGATCGCGGATCGCAGGATACCGAGGAGACGGATGATGGCGTCGGTGCGGAGGAGCGACAGGAAAGAACCGGGGGAAAGAGGCAAAGTGTTGTGTTGTAGGGTCGAAGCGGGGCAGTTGCGGAGGAGGTTGGTGGTGAAAAGGGAGGCGCCAGGAAAGATCGGAGCACGCCCCATCGACGTGCGTGATCGTCTGTATCGCTAGTCGTCATTCGAAGGAGATGTCAATTCTGGAACTCACATCCTTACCCCTCAATGCTTGTCTGTGACTGCCGAGAGTGAGATCGCAACACTCGTGACAGCCTCTGACGGACGCTGCGACCTCTCACAGTCACAGGACCATACGCACGCGAAAATGAATCATTGTGAACAGTGCCATTGCCTCCGACGCCATCACATCCCTCACAGTGGTGTGAGAGCCTGGAGTCGCTCTGCTTCACTCCTCGCCATCTCCCAGGATCAGCCCTCGCAGCTGGGCCAAGCTCATGACCTCCTCCTCGCCCGCCTCGCCGCTGAGCGACTGGAAGGTGCACTTCCACCCCACTGCTCGGGTGAGTTGCAGCACGAGATGCTCCATCTCGTCCATCTTTGCCTCCCTGTCCCTTCTCTCCGTCACCTCTGTCGTCTCGATCGGTTCGTCCTCCGTCTCGGAGCTTTCGCCGCTGCCCCTGTGCGTGAGGATCGAAGCCTGAACCTCGGACAAGCATCTTGCGATCCCAATCGCCTTCTGCAGATGCCCCACGCTCCTCAGTAGCGTTTCCACCCGGGCAACACATTTCCCGCCCACGCACAGCTCCACTTGCACCTCCGTCAACAACGCCTGCACTACCGTCTCCCCCTCCTCCTCGTTTAGGTTCGGTAGATCGAGTAGGTTGCTCCGCACCTCCACTTTGCGACCACCCGCGCGTAGCGTCGCAAAGACGTACTCCACCACCCGTCTGACCTCGTTCACGCGCAATCCGTCCCATCGACAGAACTCTTCGTAAAAGGGAAGGAAGATTCGGTCCCATACCCCGGCAATCGTGCCTTCGTCAAAGCCGGAGTCTACGACGATGGAAGCAAAGCTCGCTTCCACCACATCAGCTATGGCTTTGGGAACGACCGTTCCGTGCGGGATGCGAGTCCAATACTGTCCCTCCTTGCCCTGCCGCTCGAGCGCGGCGACGTAGGTGGCGATGGTGGTCTGGAGAACGGCGCTGTCGGACGCGATGAAGCGATGCAGACCCAATCGAACGCCCAACGCCGACAGCGTAGCATTGCTCGCCCACACCCCCTTGAGCGCGGTGAGCTCTCCAGGTGAGAGATCGGGATGGGTCGCATAGATGGTTCGGACGATAAAGAAATCCAACCATGCATCACCAAGAAATTCCAACCGCTGATAGCTAGGTAGCAGCCCACCGAGCAGGGAGGGGTGGGTAAAGGCTTCCAGTGCCAAATGCGGGTAGGCATAGTGGTGGGAGAAGAGCGATTGGAGATGATCCAGTCCATCACGGCTGATTCGGGTTTGCCAGGATTCGGAGATGGAGCGGGATTTGAGCGTGGATAGAAGATCGTTGAACGATAATAGGGAGACGATGGTGGGCGGTAGGAGGTGGAACAGTCGACACACAGCCAGGGCTTGCGTGGGGGAGACGGTCAACCCCGCCCCAATAAGCGCCTCGACCATGTCACTCAGCATCTTCTCCTTCACCCCCTCCCATTTTCCCTCCTCCGCCTGAGCGTGGACGAGCGCTCCACCGATAGACCCCACCATCGGACTCTCGAACTTCTTCCCAGCAAAACCCGCGCTCTCGAACAACCCCCATCGCTCCAACCCCACCCGTTTGGCCTCGCAAAGCAACCGCACATTCGTCAAGATCGCCTTGTTGGCCATGTGCAGATCCGCCTCGGTGCGACCGAGGTGCGTGGTGAACGTGTGACACGTAGCGACGAGTTTGAGGAATGTATCGCCCAAAAATTCGAGTCGCTCGTAATCGGGGTTGCCGGCGGAGGGGGAGGTGAGCGCTTCGAGGACGATGTCGGTGGGAAGGGTGGGGAGGAGGGTGGTGCGACAGTGTTGTGCGAGGAGAAGCTGGTCGTACCTTGTGAGGATGCATGGGAGGAGGTGGATGGATGATAGAAGGGGGAAAGAGAGAGGATGGACGAGGTAGAAGTAGGGGATGATGTGACGGGTCGCGTTGGAAGGGGGCTTGTCCGAGGAGGGGATGAGGAGGTTGCGCGGTTTGGAGAGCTTGATGACTTCAAGGAGGGGCGTGTCGGTCAATTCGGAGGTGAGGACGTCATGCATGTCCTCCGGTGCGACTGCGTTGGATGCGTGGAACCGACCATACATCTTGAGGTGCTGCGAGAGGTAGGTCTCCACCGTACCCTCGGGTTTTGTGACAGTGGTGTCGACCGGCGAGTTCGGGGTGAGGTCGGCGCGGACGGCTTGGAATGCGTATAGAGCTGACGAGTGGAAGCCATGCTGTCGAACGAGGACGCGTCCTTCGAGCTGGTCTGCTTTGCTCAGGTCGAGCGGCGATAGGGCCAACGAGCTAGGTAGGTCGATGGAGAGGTCGTTCATGGTCTGCACTTCGGTGACGCCGTCCAATTTGCGGACGGGTACGATCAGGACTGCGGGCTCGAACTTCGCTCTGGGAGAATTCTTGCCTTTGCCGTTCCGACCGCCTCCGTCTTTTCGATCGATGAGCTTAAAGACGTACCGCGTGAACCGCTTGGCGGCCTCGACGTCCTCTTTGCTCAGCGGTGGGAGTGCACCGAGCGACTTAGGATCGATATCCTTCATCCGCCCAATTTTGGGACACAGCAACCTCAGCTGCTGGGTCGCTGGCAGCTCGCCACGCGTGAGCAGCATAATTGGCTGGCATCCCCTGCTGAATCCGTCCAGTGGCAGGTACGTCGCATGCCAAACATCCCCTTCGTCCTTCTTCGGCGCGGCAGTGATACAAAACCTCGCCCAGCCATCCATCTTCTTCACCGGCACCTGCACCGGCATCCCACTGCCCCTCCAGGCCTTGTGGTGCGGATTAACGCTTCCTACGCCGACTTCGCGTAGAACCGTCCGATCGACCATCCTCGGCATCAGCCACTCATCCAGCTCGCCCAGCTCCCTCAGCTGCTGACACGCCTTGAACGCGGCCGCCCGCTTGGCCTGCTTCTTGTTGCGCCACTCGCCAGACTCGACGCTGCGCACCGCCGCGTTGCTCGGCAGCTCCAAGGTGCACTTGTACGTGCACGGCACGCCAAGTCCATGCTCAACAGCCTCGAGGCGATACGCCAGTACGGCATCCCTCAGATACTCGCTGTGCAGCGTTGCGGCGTAGTGCGAGACGAGTGTCGGTGCGTCCTCCGCGAAGAGCCTTGCGTTGGTCTTGGGTTCGTAGATGCACTCCTCCTCTACTTCGTGGGCTTCGATCCGGAGCTTTTGTTGCCAATCCGCATCCCAGAAGTCCGCGTCGTGGTCAGGATCGGCGATGTCACCGAGCCAAGTGGCGCGATTGGCTTCGGTATTGAACGCATTGAGAATGACCCCTGCGTGCTCAGGGTTGCCTGTTTCAGCCATGAGGATGAACCTGCTCCCCCTCGCTCTTGCCCTTCCCCGCGATTGAAGGAACGAGATATGCCGATTGAACAGGTCGAATCGAATGACCAGATTGGCCGCTTGAATATCGAGGCCTTCCTCGGCGATCGAGGTGGCAACGATGAGGTTGGTGGGCTTGCGTCGCCGGAAGCGGTTGAGCACCTGCACCTGATCGTGCCAGTCCATGCCAAGCGCGCCACCGTTGGCACTGCCGTTTTCGTGGCCCAACAGAAACTCGGGGTGGATGAACGACAGACCGGGAGCGCGCTTGATGAGCTCTACGAGCAGCGTGACGGTTTGACGACGCTCAACGAAGATGATTGCGCAGAAGGAGGAGGCGCTCGGGGCGAAGCATCGGAGCGTTTCGAGTAGACGCAGGATTTTGGGTGACGAATTGCTGGAATCGAAGTGCAAGACGTCTGGTAGGAGAGGCTGAGAGCGCATGTGCTGCAGGATGCGCGCGTTAAGCTCTGTATGGGTTGACAGGTGTGCAATTGCAAGTCCGAGACCCAGACCCGATCCACTCGACTGCGACTCCGGGTTCTCGTCCGAGCTATCGCTCTCGGCCGGAGTCTGCGTCTCGGGAGGCGTGATGCTCGTACGCATGCTAGCATCGAGAATCCAATCGTCGTTGACGAGCGTGCGGCGGTTGCGATTGATGCTGACCCACTTTCGTGCGCGAGAGCGGAACTCGAGCAACGTGCTATACCAGAGGAGGTCGCAGCCGATCGGTCCGAGATGTCGCATCGTGTACTCGAGTTTGGGTCGCACTTCCTTTTCGAAGTGCTCGGTCGCCGGGTCGAGCACCGCATCTTCTCCCAGAGCGGGGTCCTTGCCGAACCGAGATAGCATGTCTTGGGTGAGAGCCGACATGGGTACGCCAGCCACCAGATCGTCAAGGATCGTCGTGTAGGGTGCGAACTCGATCACCAGCTCGTCCGGTTTCTGCTTGACCTCTTGCAGCTCCTGCAGCGTCTCCTTCGACACAGTGTGGATCCTCGCATTCATGGTCTTCTGCAAGTACCGCGACGCTTCATCGAAACGACCCGTGCTGGTGAAAATCGGACTGGCAGTCATACCAAAGATCTTGGGCCGCTCCTTCTCCGGTGCAAGTCGGTAGTACTTCATGATCCGGAAGAATGGATGATTCTTCAACGCATGATGCACCTCGTCAAAGATGAGCAGATTGAGATCGTCCATCTTGACGAAACCGTGGATGAGCGCATCCAGGAAACATTGGGCGGTGGAGACGATGACTTGATGCGATTCGAGCAAGGCGGACCACTGCGGTTCGCGCCAGCTATCGGTGGTGAGCTTGTAACCCTTGCCGCGAACGGTGTCCTTGAGCTCGCCGTAGAGCTTGCCGACGCTGAGGGTGGAGTTGCCGGCGATGACGGAGGACTGTTGATGGACGAGAGGGACCAGGTTGACGAGGAAGAACGAGACTTTGGGTCGGATCGGAGAAGGTGCGGAAGGAGAGTGCGGGATGTGTTGCTGATGAACATGCTGGAGGAGGAGCACGGAGATGAGCGTCTTTCCGCTACCGGTGTCGAGGCAGACGAGCACGTTGCCTTCTTTGGCGAGCTGAGCGAGCTCGAGCTGGTAGGAGCGAGGGACGAAGGCGAGTTGGTCGGAGCGGAGCTGGTCCGCAGGGTCTACAGCGGTTTGGGAGGAGATCTGGTCGATGAGCTTCTGCCGCTTCCTCCGCTCTTCGTCATCCTCGGTGGGGGCGGAAGGTGCGATGACCATCGCGTCCGGGAAATCTCCGTGTCCATGTGCACCATGTTCGAGATCGGCCTGGTCTCTTGACCGTTTCGGCATGGTGCCGGAGACCTGGAGCTCTGTCAGCCTTTGTGCGAGTTGTGCGGGAGGTGTGACGGCAGATGCAGATTGGTGGTCTGGCGAGGGCGTTGAGTTGCTTGATGAGTCCAAAGAGAGACCACTCTGAGTGGTTTTTGGTGGAGTCGTTGTGGTGGTTGAGGATGATGGCGAGCTGGGCTCGGCTGAAGGCTTATATGTTGAACGAGGAGGTGCGGGAGCTGGAACGCTCGAGCCAGGCCCCTCGGCCCCTCCAAAATTATCACCACAAGACATCGTGACGACGATGAAGGCATATGAGAGTCGAAAGAGGATCTGGCGAATGATGTGTCGAGCTTAGAACGTATCCGTCTTTTGCACGCTTGAAGAGCATCCGTCAGGTAGGCTCATTCCGGCAAATGAAGGCGCGACCTACCGGACGAAGCGTTGCCAGGAGCCTTCCGTAATGAAGGAATCCTGGACTCGGGCGGAATGAAAGCATTTGCGAGCCTAGCTCCGGCGCAGGACTTTAGGCGTCTTCGAGCGACGTTGCACAGAAGGGCGGTTGATGCCTGCGCAAGATGAAGGCATGGCCGTGACGAGATCTTTGACAGGTGCTTGCAGCTGTGATTTCAGGGTCCAACACCGCTCTTCCTCTCTCAAATCACATTTTTGGTAGCCGTGTCCAAGCTGAATTTCCGAGAACCGAAATTTGCCAGTCCAAATTCAACGAAGCAACTCAACTGAGCGCGATTCTCTCTCAAGTCGGATGCAGACGACCATCATCATCTTGATCATCAAGCCCAACGACCACCGTGCTCCCATCTGCACGCACTGAGAGGGCATTCACGATGTACAACGGAATCGGTCTCAAGACCGCTCGAGGCACGGGCACCAACGGATACGTCCAGCGCAACCTCTCCAACTTCAAGCCGCGCGACAACCCGTTCAACAAAACAGACAAGGCAGGAGCACGCGGCTCGTTCGGGTCCGATGTTCGCCACACTCAGCCCGACGCAGCCATCCTCGAACACGAGAGGAAGCGTCGCGTAGAGGTCAAATGCATGGAGCTCCGCGTCCAACTCGAGGACGATGATGTGGAGGAAGACGAGATCGAGCTGCAGGTCTCTGCGCTGCGAGAGAAGCTTGTGGCCCAGCTGGAACGAGAGAAGGAGCAGGAGGCTGCGAGAGGATTGCAAGTAAGGACGGAAGCGAGCAGACCGAGACCAGGCGAGACGCACAAACGGCTCGAGGCCAAGCAGCACGAAGATCGACGTTTCGCTTCTGCTGTCGGCGTAGAGAGTGGATACCGTGAGGGTGATGCGTTCAACCGCGAGCTGCAGGAGAGGAAGCGACAGGAGCGCATAGAGGAGAGGAAGAAGGCGGATGAACAGAGAAAGGCCGACTGGGAACGCAAGCGCGAGATGCAACAGCAAGCGAGGCGGGACCGAGAGCGGGAGCATGATCGCGCACAGTCGAGCAGAGATAGTGGATGGGCGAGCCGCTATCGTCGGTCCTCGCCGGAGGGGCGCAGGAGCCGTCGTGAATACTCGGATGACGACAGGTCACTGTCGAGGTCTGCTTCTCCAAGAGCAAAGAAGAGGGGCAAGTACAGGGATGCATCTTCCGACAGCGACTCGTACTCTTCGGATTCGGACAGGAAAGGCTCGAGTCGCAAGCGTCCCGCTGCAACCTCGAGCAAAGCACGAGACGATCCGCGAGACGGTGAGAGAGGCAGGAAGCGATCCCGCTCGCCATCGTACTCAGACTCACGCTCCTCCTCTTCGCGCTCCTACTCTCGGTCGCCATCACGCTCTCGATCGCGTTCTCCAGTTCGTCGTCGACGAAGTCGCTCACTCACTCGATCGGTCTCGCGCTCCCGCTCTCGTTCCGTGTCCAGATCATCTTACTCGTCCCGGAGCCGCAGTCGCAGCCGCAGTCCGCGTCGGGCCAGCAAGCGGAGCGTAAGCCGGAGCCGAAGCCGAAGTCCGATCTTCCGCAGGGCGCGAGATAGGTCCCTCACCCCGCTCTCGTCCTCTTCCCGCTCCCGTTCGAGGAGTCCGAGCAGGTCACCGCGCCGCAGTCGCTCGCGCTCACGATCGCGATCCGTCGATTCCAAGTCATCCCGCTCACCCTCCCGCTCTCTCTCGCCTCCCACTGGCCAGAGGAGGACAAGAGACGCTTTCTCCCCCGCGCACTCCAGGTCGCCTTCCCCAGAACCAAGAACAAAGGCAAAACCGCCTGGCCCACCACCGGTCAAACCCGGTCCACCGCCAGCTCGTCCACCCGGTCTGTAACTTTCACACACACTCCCACACTAGGCACTGTTCCTTCCATTTCAATATATTGCGCTACTGATACTGCTGATGATGATACTGGCTGTTCTGATGCGACTGGTAGAGGGCGGATGAGGAAAAGGAGCTTGGCAATCCGCCGTGCTGATACTGTGAGCCTGCGGAGACTGTCGCGTAGTGCTGCTGCTGCGGTGGGGGTGGTCGGGGGTATGGGTAGCCACTAGGGTCGATCGATTGGCGTCGCCCGCCGGCGGGTGGTGGTGCTTCGTATTGCTGTGCTGGAGGAGCGTACTGCTGTGAGTAGGTCTGCGGCGGGTGAGCATAGTGTGATGCAGGAGCGGCGGCAGGCGAGGTGCCGTAGAAACCATGCATCGAGCCTGAGGACGGTAGATGGGACGGCTGCTGATGCCCAGGGATCGGCGGCAAAGGGGACGGCGATCGACCAGGTCCCCACGAACCCTGATCGCTGCTCGCACTCGACGGCTGCGGCGGAGCAGTGTACAGATATCCGCTCGACGCCGACGGTGGGATGCTGCCATTGTGGTGCGGAGCAGGCGCAGGTGCATACGTCGGTTGAGCAGGCTGTGATGCCTGCGTTGGTGGAGCACCATGCCACGTATTGTGCGAGAACGATTGAGAGGTGGAGTGCGGCAGCTGCTGCTGATGCGGGGGCGGAGAAGGCTGCTGCACGGGCTGATAGAGATGCGAGGGGTATACGTGCTGCTGCTGCTGGGGTTGAGGTGGAGCGTGCGACGAGATCGAGCTCGAGCTCTGTGTTGATGGTAGCGGTCGAGAGACGTGCGATGGCTGCGCTGGCTGGCTGTAGGGCGAAGGGATGGGGTGGTAGCCTGAAGAAGCGCCAGGCGACGAAGTTCGCGGTGGGATCGATGTCGGCTGCGCAAGATGGCCACCGGCCTGCGGCTGCTGGTAGTAGGCCTGTGCATTGACGACCGATGGTGTCGAAGTGTGGTGAGCTGAGTGGGAGCTGTATTGAGACAGAGCCGAGGCTGGTCGCGCAGCGGGCGACACCGGTCTCTGCACGTCTTGCGGGTAGCCTGCGGTCGGCGGAGGCGTATACAGCGAAGCGAGATGAGCTGGCGCCTGATAGATGTGCGACTGCGGTGGACGCTCTTCAGCGTGCACGGGCGATCTAGGGGGTGGTGGTCTATCCATGGTAGCAGCCGAGTGACCAAAGCCCATCTTGGACATGGACTGGGCCAGTTGGTCCGCACCAAAGTCAGGCTGAGGCATCTGGTTGTAAGCAACAGGAATGTGAGAGATCGAATGCGAACGAGGCACGCTGTATTGCTGCTGCCGTTGATGTTGCTGATGTTGCTGCTGCTGGAGGAAGTCGGCTGGCTTGACAGTAGCGTACATATCATCGCTTGGGTCTCCGGGCTGTGGGTGGTGAGCGATGTACTGACTGCTCTGAGACGGCGTGATCGAGTGCTGCGAGTAGTAGGAACCCGAGGGCTGGATCGAGTGACCGAATTCGGAAGGCATGGGCGCATTGAAGCTGTTGCGTCTGGATCCGCCCGCGGTGGGACCCATGGAAGAGGCGTGATTGTGAGCAGCTAGATGGTGTGCAGATGACGGAGGTGCAGGGCTCGTGCCGCGAGAGATGCTGGCAGGAGCGTAAGCGGGTGTGTATGTGTCCATAGTGGCGAGCGACGAGCTGGGACGAAGCGTGCTGCTGCCGAGGTCGTGCATGGTCTGCGAGTGGGACATGGCGGAAGGCGGTCTGTGCATCGATGCGAGGCCCGAAGCGGATATACTGCTCGACATGCGATGATGGCTGTTGGATGAAGCAGCGGAGAAGCTCCCTGGTCGCATTGATGCCGGAATAGGAGGGTGGTCACCTTTGCCTTTGGGCGGTTTGGGAGGGGCACCTGAGCCAGATCCAGTGGAAGCTGCGTTGCCACCGTCTTCGATCCTGGAGAAGGAGCCAGCACCGCCATACGAGTCGGTTGCTGAAAGGACGGCGGGCTGCGTCGACGGCCTGCGCTTCTTGGGAGGGGCGGCAGCCGAGTAGAAGGTGAGCTCGAGGTAGACCTCGCCGGCGTAGCGGTCCTTGGCCTTGATGGTGACCCATTCGTCGTACTCGCCCGTCTTGAGCGTGTCGGTCAGGTCAACGATACCTTCACCGATGAATTCGGGCTCTTTGCTGTCGTCAGCGTAGCAAGCGACCTTGAGCACCTTCTTGCCTCCTTTTGTCTTGAGTGCAGAAGCCGACGTCGCTTTGGAAGCCGATCCAGATCCATTGGCCGCATCTTTGACGAGAGCATCCTCCATGTCCTCGTAGACTTCGAAGTGAAGCTGTTCGTCCCAAGACGGGTGCTGACCACCGCGCTTGTCGGGCTTTGTCTTTTGGCTTTCGTGGCCCATGGTAAGGACGGTGTAAGGATCCTGCTTTCCGATGGATTTCTTGTTGGGCAGGTTGCGCGCCTTGAGGACGACGCAGACGAGCGTGCCCTTGTGGACGGGCTCGGCGGACGTCGGCATGGTGGGCGAGGGCAGCGGCGCGGAGAGGTCCAAAGCACGATCGACCGAGGCTGCCTGCGTGATTCAAGGGAGTGTGGTACGTCAAAGATTGGCTGGGCGAAGCATGCGTCGGGTGCTGACGAAGGAGGAAAGGGTTCCGATACAGGTGATGGTCGGAATCGCAGCGATCCGAACAGGTCGATGAAGGAGAGTGTGTGTGATTGTAGAAAGGATGAGCCGAGGTGAATTAGAGGTCCGAAGCAACGCTTGACGCTCACTTGGCCTCGAGCCAGCAAACCTTCACGGGGACCTTGGACGATCTCGAGCACAGCCTGCAGCTGTCTTTTTTCCCAAAGTCAAATAACACTGCCCAGACGCGTCCGCGCTCCACCGCCTTTGCCTCAGACGAGCCACTCACCTTGCGCAGTCAGATCGATGAGTTCACACAGCCACACGGATGGCATCCGACAGATACCGACCATCCTTGTTTGCACCAAAGTGAAGCTTGCAAGACGAGATGAGTTGTGATGAAGCGCCGGATGGTCCGGTGAGACAGGAGTGAGAGTGTTGTTCTGACTTCCACTCTGGAACCGTGCACGTTGACCCTCAACCAACACTTTTTGGCTCGAAATTTCTCCGGTCAGCAAAGTGAGCGTTCGGATCGATTTTCTCTGGATCTGTTAAATTAGTAACACAGAGCATCAGTGAGCAGACAACCGGGTCGCAAAGCAGTCACAGCTCATCCTCGTGACTAGGTAGAAGTAGAAGATGAGATTGAAGATAGAAGTACATCATTAGAGGGAAGTACGGCTAGAGGGTATCAGGTATGTTAGAGGTGTGACGAGTTATGATCAAGACCCGGAGGGCGTTCTCCTCCCGTTCTGAGAAGCAGCGCCAGCCGCACTGCCGCAGCTTTGCTCAATCTCCTGCTCTTCGCGTTCAAGCCTACGCATGGTTGCTGCGAGGATCTGTGCGCGCCGCTCTTCGGCGCTGGCAGCATTCCGAGATGGGTCGCCTCCTCCGAGCCTATTACCGCCGCCGGAGCCACCACCAGCCGAGAGTGCTGGAGCAGAAGGCTCGTAGACATCACCCTCTACGAGTGCATGCGTTCCATCCTGCTGCTTGCGCTCGAAAGCTTCAATTTGGGCGTTGAGTTCGCTGTTGAGGATCTTGAACTCGGGCGGATGGTCGGCCACCTTGTTGTGCGCCAATTCGTGGACGAGCACTCTGCGTGTCGTCTTGTAGTCTCGGAAGCCTTCCGCGTTATCGGTGCGAATGCGTAGCAGAATCCTCTGTCCTGCGTTCTCATTGAGACCTAACAAGTTCGGGTGTTCCCATGGTAGCAGCTCGGTGAGTGAGCCAACGCGAAACTGGTGCAGCTGGCAAATGTGTAGGATGCCAGGATCTCGGCTGAGTCTGGTCAGATAGTCGATGACCTTGGCATGGAGCGGTGATGATGGCGATGTGGTCGGATGTGCCTGAATGGGGCCGAAAGGAGAGAAGCTCGAGCCGGGCTGCGTTGTGTTGCGAGCCTTTGTTCCGCGCAGCATGCTAGGGTGGTACGACCTGGGAGCATTGCGTTTCTGCATTTCCGCTTCATTCTGGTGCAGTCGCTCCAGCTCTTCTGATGATGGTCCGAGTACTGTCACTTTGACATCGGTTTTGTCGCCGAATCCGACGTCAGCGAGCGTCCGTGAGTCTGCATGGGCATCGCCATGATGATGGCTGTTCAAGTCTGCAATGCCTGCGCTCCGAGGCACGAGCAGCTTCTGCTTGTCCAACGGCACGAATGTAAGCGCCTCGATTGCTTGACGAAGCTCCGATAGGGCAGTGCTTGGCTCCAAGGCGTCTATTGAATGCTCGGTCTTGCGGTGCACAATCGTGAGGCTGAAGCTGCCCATGGTTGCGATGTCCTTGCGAGTGTGCCACTCGTTCGCTTCGACGGCTGCTCTTTACGCTAAATGCATGTGTTGTCGATTACTGTTATCGTCTCCGAGCCTATTGTATATGCTTGAGTGCTTGCGAGGTGGTAGAAAGGAGACACAATGTGACCACAGAGGCCACGAATGAAGTCCGTGGCGCAGCATCCTCGTCTTCTGGCGAACCAAAAATTTAAGGTTGTAGGTGGAGGTTTGACTGCGCCAAAATTGAGGCTGCGTCAGCGCAGCGCAAAGGCGTTGTGCTCAGCCATGGCCCAAGTCCGGTCCGCTAGCCTATCATCCACCTTCTTTCAAGGCAAGCACAGCATCCTGCGGATCGCTGTCTCGGTGAACATCGGTATGGCCTGTCTCTTTGATCTGAAAAGAGCGAGCTGCCCACCAAACAGCCTGCCGCAGCCTGGCAAAGCTGCTTAGTCCTATCGACAGTCCACGGCAGTCTTTGCTCAAGTCATCTCGCCTCTCAGTTTTTCCGTGAGCTGCAGCGAGCTTGCAGCAAGGCGTACCTTAGAGCGGCTCTTGCTCGTCAGTTGACGAGGTGTCGGATTGCAGCAAGCGTTCGGGTCGCCTCCTTGTCTCGATACAGTGTACGCACGAGGACGCTTCCGAGGCTTGACGAAGCCGAAGAAGCGTTTGCAGGCGGTAACTGAAGTGAGAAAGCACACTGGATGACACAGGCAAGAGGTGTGATCTGCGCCTCGCAGCACAGCGCCTCAACGCTCTGCATGGGCCCGCCCGCTCTCTCCCAATGTATCGTACTTCAGCTGATCGCAGCTGTCAGAATCCGCCAGTCCATCAGTCGGGAACCGAGAAATCAACGACAAGAATGCCAGCTGGACTAACAAGCAAAGCATGGCATCCCCCCCAGCGTCGACATTGCCGGAGACCGGCTACTAACGACAGTGTCAGCACAGTGCGCGCTTGTGAGGCGAATGTACCTGCACGAAATTCAGGCTTGCAGCAAGGCAGGCTTTGACAGCAAAGCGCTCAGCAAAGCCAGACCGGTCCTCGGCTTCTTGTTTTCGGTCGAACTGGGCCGTGTTGGTGCGTGTTGCCACCATCCAATTTGTATTTTTCCGGTTGATTTGACACGCGCGCGGGCCATTTGATCGTCTAACGGCCAGGGCGTCGGGAAAAAAGCTCAGAGTTGGCAAGCGACAGGTTGGGGGGTGCACTCATTAAATCTGTGCTGCCTCAAACTTGCTTCTTCTCAATTCGGTCTGACCCCACAAAATTCGAGTGTGGTGGGCCCTTTGGTGCGTGTTTGCCGAGAAGACTTGCTGGTGCTCTTGTGCCTGATGCCAAGTCTCGCGCTCGAACGATGTGGTGCCGTGGACCCTCGAAACAGAATCCTGCACAGCTGCCTCTCTCTCTCCGCGCTTAGCATCAAGGCGGGGGAAGAAAGACAGGTAACAGAGAAGCGTGGGGCCAGACTGAACCTTCGTGCCACCGGTACAGCCAACCCGACCCTCTTGCCCGGTTCTCTACCGGCTCACGGTAGAATATATCACCTCCTCTCCTCACTGCCGGATTCCTCCTCCTCATCTCGCACCTTCATCCTTGCATCCTTCCCTTCCTTCACTTCACTTCACCGCCACCAGCTCGCTACCATCTGAACCTCTCTCCGTTCCTTTGCACTTCCCCGCACATATACATCAAGAATGTCGTCCACAGTCATCCCCGCCAGCCTCAGTGGCGACGAGCTCATCAAGAAGTACATCGGCGCGGGTACCTGGGCCTTCATCGAGGACAAGTTCACCCCCTTTGGCAAGGAGACCCTCGTCAAGGTCATCCGCTTCGTCGTCGATGAGTGCATCCCCGCCGAGCGACTCTACCACGCTCAGGTCTCCACCGACCCCGCCAAGCGATGGAAGGTCATCCCCGAGGTCGTCGAGCAGCTCAAGAAGAAGGCCAAGTCGCAGGGCCTCTGGAACCTCTTCCTCTCCGCCAAGCACTACCCTGGCCTCGGCTCGCCTTTGACCAATCTCGAATATTCCGTCATTGCCGAGATGACCGGTCGATGCTCCCACTTTGCCTCCGAGTCGCTCAACTGTGCTGCTCCCGACACGGGCAACATGGAGGTGTTCGCCAAGTACGGCAACCAGCAGCAGAAGGACACATGGCTCACTCCCCTGCTCAACGGTGAAATCCGCTCTGCCTTTGCCATGACGGAGCGCTTCATCGCCTCGTCGGACGCCACCAACATCCGCACCTCGATTCGCCAGGAGGGCAACGAGATTGTCATCAACGGCCACAAGTGGTGGATTTCGGGTGCCGGTGACCCGCGATGTGCCGTCCACCTGGTGATGGGCAAGTCGGACCCCGAGAACAGCAACAGCCACGCACAGCAGAGTCTGGTCATCGTGCCCGCCAATGCGCCCGGTGTCAAGGTCATCCGCCCCATGCAGGTGTTTGGCTACGACGATGCGCCCGAGGGCCACTGCGAGGTGATTTACGAAAACGTTCGTATCCCTCTCAGCAACCTCGTGCTCGGCTGGGGTCGTGGGTTCGAGATCATCCAGGGTCGTCTTGGTCCTGGTCGTATTCACCACTGCATGCGCACTATTGGTACTGCGGAGCGTGCGCTCGAGCTCATGCTCGCCCGTTGCACCGACCAGCGAAAGAAGGCGTTCGGCAAGACGCTCTCGGAGCACGGCACCATTGTTCAGAACATTGCTTGGGCGCGCATCAAGATTGAGCAGAGCCGTCTGCTCGTGCTGTCGGCCGCCAACATGATCGACAAGACCAACGCCAAGGGAGCCATGCGCGAGATCGGCATGTCCAAGGTCGCCGTCGTCAACGCTGCACTCGAGGTGCTCGACATGTCCATGCAGGCCCACGGCGCCGAAGGTGTCTCGCAGGACACCATGCTCGCATACGCCTACGCCCAGCTGCGAACGCTCCGATACGCCGACGGGCCCGACGAGGTCCACCTGCAGCAGCTCGGCAAGCTCGAGCTCCGAAGGGCACCCGAGGTGTGGGAGAAGCTCAACAAGACCCAGGCCATCTCGGATGCTCTGCTCGCCAAGGCCGGCATCAAGAGCCACCTTTGAGCGGCCGTCGTTGTCCAGTGTCTGTCCAGATACGTCTCTACACTCAAGCAATCAAACAGTGTTCATGTACAAACTCCCGTGTTGAAGACTGATGAAGCGATTGTGTCTCTGAGTGAGTTTGGATCCGAGAACAAGGCCAATGGGACACCGAAGAATGTGCATCCGAGCTTGTGATATTGCAATTGTGTCGCTTACAGCAGCCTTTGCTCGTTGGTGGCCAGCGGGCGAGTTGCCGCAGAGATCGAGTTGTGAGTGGAGGAAAGCGGAAATACAGGCTGCGCTCTTTAGCCGCTCCGCCGCTCTCAGCCTGCGGAGTGAATTTGGGTTTTTGATGCTCGACCTGCAGCTGAGTGCATTCACCCATTTGCTCATCAACAGACATCTTGTCTCGAAAGCAATCGTCGACTTCTGCATCGTTTCGAGTCACCATCATTCCGTATATCCCGCGCCGATCCTGGAATACCTCTCCTAGATCGTCTTCTAGCTGGCTGGACTACTAGGAACTGACGATTGATGCCTAAGCTCGAGGATTGAGCCGACGGCTATACATAAAGGCGACCTCACTCCTTTGACCTAGAGTCGTCAGCACTCGCCGTTCAACACACCGGAACGCACATATACCCGAGGGACGAAAAGAGCATGACGATGGCCTCGAAAGATCCTCGACTCTACCAGGACGCTCCCGGCCTCGAGTTGCAGAACGACGTCCTTGCATCTGTCGAACACGCCCATACTGCAACGGCGTCTTCATCACGTCAACAGCCATCCGCAAGCACATCAGCCGCAGCACTCCAACGAACAAGCTCAAGTCGTCAACAGTCCACGATGGATGCCACACAAGCAGACATCGAAGCAGCGACCGGCATCGGGCATGCTGAGACGAGCACCAGCGAATCCGCTTCATCTTCGGGCGAACAGCGTGCGCTCCAACCAGCAGAGTCGTACGGACAGCGCTTGACGAGGGTGCTCACTGGCGAGGACAATCCAAAAGGAGAGGGAAGTGCGGGAGGTTCACGGCAGCGACGGAAGAAGCTGTTGCCATCCCTGGTACGTCAGAGGCATCGAAATGGTCTCAAGAGCGAACGAAGCAAACGACCCAAGCAGACCGCGGTGCGACGATCAGAAGAAGAGCTGGGAAGCACAGCCGACTCTGAAAAGGTCGCTCGGTCTCAAAATGGGCAAAGCAACTCGAGTGCGCAGTCAAGCGACGCAAGCAGCGAACCAGAACGCATCAAGATCGTCGGCGAAGATGGCAAGCCGATGCGACGGAGCGGCATCAAGGAGCGAGTGCTGCATTTCACTCCGTCTTGGTTCTCCGTGACGATGGGCACCGGTGTCATTGCGACGCTGCTCAACCTGCTTCCATGGCCATCAATCCATTCGGGGCTGCGATGGCCTGCGCTGTGCTTCCTGCTCGGCGACATTGTCATCTTCATCCTATTCTTCTGCGTCTTCCTTTCGCGGTACTTCATGTACCCTGAAATCCTGCCGTTGACGATCAAGCATGCGCAACAGTCGATGTTCCTGGGCACGTTACCCATGGGACTGATCACCATCATCAGTGGCATCGCGCAGCTGGGGACGAAAGAATTCGAGCTGGGCATCGGCTTCGCGCTTGCGGCGAGCGGGCTGTGGTGGGCAGCCACCGTGATCAGCCTGATGACGGCGATTGGGGTGCCTTTCAGCATGATGACCTACCAGAAGCACTACTTTGAAGGTATCACTGCGGCGCTTCTTCTGCCCATTGTCCCGCCCATCACTGCAGCGGCGACAGGCAGCGTTCTCGCGGAGATTCTGATGTTCCGGTACCCCACCTATGCCTTCACCATCATGGTGGTCAGCTACCTGGTGTTGGGCATCGGTCTGCCGCTAGCACTGCTCATCCTCGTCCTCTACTTCCAGCGTCTGCTGCTGTTCAAGTCTCCACCACGGGATGTGATCATCTCGGTCTTTCTGCCCCTGGGACCCTGCGGCCAGGGTGGCGAGGCGTGTCTCCACCTCGGCCGCGTCGCCCTCGAGCTCTTCCCCACCATCTCCACCCCCGCCTCATCCTCCGGCGTGCCGCAGCTCTTCTCCGTCGGCCAAGCCCTGTACGGTGCCGGCCTGATCTCGGCCATGCTCCTCTTCGGCCTGGGCATCTGGTGGCTCGCCATCGGCGTATTCACCATCATTCGTGAGTTGAAGAGAGGCAAGCTCGGATTCAACATGGGCTGGTGGGGGCTCACTTTCCCTTTTGCAAGTTTGGCCATTTGCACGGCAAGACTGGCGATAGAGCTGGACAGTCTGACGTTGAAGATCGTCTACACGGCGTTTGTGATTGCGAATGTGATGCTGTGGTTGTACGTGGCGATCCCGACGGCGAGGGGCGCGTGGTCGGGGAGGCTGTTCAATGCGCCCTGTCTGGCGGATCTGCCGCTCAAGCAGTAGATTGATCGCAATATGGCTACATTTGTACGACAGCAATGCCATACATTGACAAGACCGTCGTTCAGATACAACGAAGCTCGGCGGAAGGCTGTGCAGAGGTGGGTGGTGAGGGTCGATTTGGCTGATGAGGATGATGTGAGAGGGGCCTAACATGATTCGTGAAATGGGCACGCAGACACGCGCTAAAGACGCGTCTTGTTGTGTCCTCAGCGCGCCTGAAAGGGGTTCGCGTGTCCGACGTGTAAATTACTCGCAAGCCTTTCTTCGCGCCTTTGTCTCGCGCACGGAGAGAGACAGAGCAGAAGAGCAGGCTGCAGCTCACAGAGCGCTGTCTCCTTCCAGTCTGTAGTCTGCGAACGAGGTGACAATTTCGACTGTCGAAGCTTCCTGTGCGAAACATCGACAAGTGTGGGAATGCAAGCTTGAGTCGCAAGCAATCTTTCCTTCTCCCTTGCCATCATCGCCATCGACCATTCGCTTCATCTCCAAGATCATCGCCGCAAATCCCGTTCTCGCGAATCCGGATCACACTTCCATCTCCGCACTGAACGGACAGACCGAGCAACAACGGGCGGACCTCAAGCCAACAGCTCGACTCCAGAGCACCACCATCTCAGCTGCCCTCTCCCGCAGCCAGCGGCCTCGAGGCGCCTACCCACCATATACCCCGCTCACAGCTCCTTCCCGGAGACCTGACGCACCACAATGTCGAGCGCACCCATCCTTCCCACCATCTCCCTCAACATCAACTATGATGAAGAGCGGGCCAAGATCGAAGACTTCCTCCTCCGCTTCAAAGCGCCTGCCTCTCGCCTTCCTACGCTCTCCTCCTCCAACTCGCCCATCTCTCTCGACGACGACGAAGCCGATGCGGCGGACGACGAGCTCTCCTCTGCGGTCGACCGTATGGATGTCGACCGATCTCAGACTCAGCGCCGCGCTGCGACGCTCGCCTCGTCCTCCCGCGCCATCCCCATCTACATGCACCAGCTGCAATCCATCGCAAACCGCGACCAAGACTCGCTCGTCATCGACCTGAACGACGTTGCTTCGCACCACTTTTCCGAATCCGGTGAGCCGGGCAAGGTGCTCGTCCGCTCGGTCGCCGAGAACGCCAAGCGCTATCTCGACCTCTTCTGCGAGTGCGTGGACAAACTCATCCCCGAGCCCTCCAAGGACATTTCTCACAAAGACGACGTGCTCGACGTCATCCGGCACCAACGTCAGGAACGCAATGCGCGAACCACCGAAGCTGCCCAGGACCCATCCCAAGGTGGCACGGGTGAAGACGCAGACACGTTCCCACCCACCCTTCTCCGTCGCTACACGCTCTACTTCCGCCCCTACACGGGCGACAAGGACGAGCCTCTCGCCGTGCGCGCCGTCCGCGGTTCCCACCTGGGCAAGCTCATCACCGTTCGCGGCATCGTCACGCGCGTTTCGGAGGTCAAGCCTTTCCTCCTGGTCGACGCCTACGCATGCGACGTTTGCGGTGCCGAGGTCTTCCAAGAAGTCACCTCCCGTCAATACATGCCTCTCACACAGTGCAATTCTCGTCGGTGTACGACGAACAACACGCGCGGTCCCCTCTACCCCCAGGTGCGCGCATCCAAATTCGTCCCCTTCCAAGAGATCAAGATCCAGGAGATGGCAGATCAGGTTCCGGTGGGTCACATCCCACGCACCATGACGATCCACGTCTACGGACCGCAAACGCGCAGCATGAACCCGGGCGATGTGGTGCATGTCGGAGGCATTTTCTTGCCTATGCCGTACAGCGGGTTCAAAGCGATCCGCGCGGGTCTGTTGACGGATACGTATCTGGATGCGCAGAGCATTACGCAGTTGAAAAAGCAGTATTCGGCGATGCAGCGGACACCGGAGATCGCAGCGCAGATCGCCGAGCTCAAGGACGATCCTGCGTTGTACCAGAAGTTGGCCTCTTCGATCGCACCGGAGATCTACGGGCATGAAGACGTCAAGAAGTGCTTGCTGCTGCTGCTTGTCGGTGGAGTGTCCAAGACCGTTGGGGATGGGATGAAGATCAGGGGTGACATCAATGTTTGCCTCATGGGCGATCCGGGTGTGGCCAAATCGCAGTTGCTCAAGTACATCTCCAAGGTCGCGCCTCGAGGCGTGTACACCACGGGTCGCGGTTCGTCCGGTGTGGGTCTTACCGCGGCCGTCATGCGCGACCCGGTGACCGACGAGATGGTGTTGGAAGGCGGCGCGTTGGTGTTGGCGGATAACGGCATTGCGTGCATCGACGAGTTTGACAAGATGGAGGAATCCGATCGAACCGCCATCCACGAAGTCATGGAGCAACAGACCATATCCATCTCCAAAGCGGGCATCACCACCACGCTCAATGCGCGAACGTCGATCCTCGCCGCAGCAAACCCGCTCTACGGGAGGTACAATCCTCGTGTGTCGCCGGTGGACAACATCAACCTCCCCGCAGCGCTGCTGAGTCGATTCGACATTCTCTATCTCATCCTCGACACGCCTACCCGCGACGATGACGAGAGGTTGGCACAACACGTCACGTACGTCCACATGCACAATGCGCATCCGGAGCTCGAATTCGATGTCATCTCGCCCACGCTCATGCGACACTACATTGCCCTTGCTCGACAAAAACGTCCCGTTCTTAGCAAGGCCGTGTCGGACTACGTGGTTGGGGCGTATGTTCAGATGCGTAGTCAGTATAAGGAGGATGATCTCTCGTCCACTTCGGGACCTGGTGGGAACGGCACTGGCTACGTCTCTGCACGAACGCTGCTTGGTATCATCCGTTTGTCTCAGGCACTGGCGAGATTGCGATTCGACGACTCCGTGTCCATCCCGGATGTCGACGAGGCGTTGCGTTTGCTCGAAGTATCCAAATCGTCCATCCTCCACCACCCCTCCTTGGCCAACAACAGAGATGCCTTGGGTCAGGATCAAACCCACATCAGCAAGATCTACCGCATCATTCGGGACTACTACAACAAAAACGTTCGTTCGCTCGACGATGACGACGACGAGGACGACCCGATGGGCCAACAGGATCAGGGCGTGAGTCTCGCCGAGCTCAGAGCGAGGGTACTGGCCAGCGGATTCGTAGAGGACCAGTTCCAGGAGTGCGTCAAGGAGTACGAGGATTTGGGCGTCGTACATGTCGGTGCGACCAGGTTGACCTTCACCGGTTAGAGAGAGTGTTTCGGTTTTTGCATTCGGTCTTTCAATTTGTCATGTGTTCCTCAGCTCAAAGCGGGTCTGTGTGTCCGTGCGGTGTGAGACACTTGCTACACCTTGTCAGCCGATCCCTTCGAGAAGATGAGAGAGAGAGAAGACATAGCTTGGTATAAAACTGATGAACGATAACAATCTGGTATAAAAGATGCACAAAAGCCAACGCGCGCGATCAGCCACAACAGGTCCAGCTGTTGACGGTGATCGCATCCGCTTCGGGTTCACCGTTGTCGCTGGCGCTAAGAAAGATGCTGTTGCGCTCGCGCTGTTTGCGTTCCTGTTCGATCTGCGCTCGCTTTTCGACGAGCTTCTTGGTTACTGCGAGAAAGACCTCTTCGATGCCTCGATCGGATTTGGCGCTGACCTCGGAGACCTCGACGGCATCCCACGTGGGATCCCAATCCAGCTGCTCGCGGGTGTCGCTGACGGTGGAGCCGGAAGCGGTGGAAGCGGTGCTGTTTGCCTTTGGGGCGGGGTTTTGCCATGTGCTGTTGGCAAAGGCTCGCGATGCAGAACCCATGGCTAAGGATCCCAACCCGCTCAGCCTGGACGATCTCGTCGGCGACCCCTCTTCCGACTCAACATCGGCACCGGCCTGAACGGTCGGTTGGAGCCAACTTCGCACCGTCTCCCTCGCCCACTCCAGCTCGACCTCACTCCCCCCCTTCCGAGCCAAATCCCCCTTCGCCCCAACCACATGCACCACCAACCCACTCGTCATATTCCGCCTCAACTCATCCAACCATCCCCTCACATCCATAAAACTCGCTCGACTCGTAATATCATACACAATCACAGCGGCGTGACTCCCGCGGTAGTACATGGGTGCCATGCTCCGAAACCGTTCTTGACCTGCAGTGTCCCACAGCTGCAATCGAACTTTGACCGAATCGACAATGAGTTTTTTCGTGTGGAAGCTGGCGCCGATGGTGGAGGGGGTGGAGGAGAGGGTGAAATGACCCGAGGTGTAACGGTGGACGAGGGAGGTTTTGCCCACACCTTGGGAGCCGAGGATGACGACCTTGGCTTCGAGCTGGTTGGGCGGGAGCGTGGGGCGTGGACGGAGGGTCGAGGCGGCTGGCGTGCTGGCTACCGCCTCGGATGTGGGCGAGTAGGATAGCACGGGAGTGACGGCGGTGTTAGTCCTCTTGACCTCGGGTCGATCGGCAGGGGTGGGTGAGACATTCGAGACTGTCTGCCGTCGTGGACCGAGCTTTGGAGCATTCCGCCCACTGCGCGGGCCGAAGGTGACAGCGCTCTCCGGAGGGGATCGACGGAAGGGAGCTTCTTCCATCCGCTTCGACCCCATCGAGCTGATGCCCGACGTGATCGTATGGCTGCGACGCAGAAACGCACCGCGCTCGCCAAACGGCGCACCCATCTGACCGAACTCGCTCAAGCCCGAATCCGGACTCGTTGCCAGTCGCGGCTTGCTGCTTTCCCCGGATCTGGGTTGCACATCTATCTTGTGGAAGGGGTTGGACGCACTGACACTCGACTCTGCTAATGGTTGAAGCGTTTCCACGGCGTTTCGGGAGGATGCGCGACTCAGGCTTGGGTGCGTGCTGAGAAACCGAGCGGTGGAGATGTATGCGTGTCCGCTATCTTGTTCCGTCAACGAGGGCGATGCTGGGCCGGAGTTGAGCGATTGCAGGCTGTGCAGGCGGGGGCGGGATGGTCGTCGTGAGGAGGTGCCTCTTTGGGAACGGGGTGCGGGAACCTCGTTCGCTCGGGACGTCTCGAGCAGGCTGGTGCGGGAACGTTCTGCGTCGCTTTGCGAGGAGGTGGAAGCTGCGTCTTTCGAAGAGGTGGACGCGGGATAGGACGGGAATGAGGGGAAGTGATTCTCTTTGGATGGTGAAGGGGTTGCCATGGGTGAGGAGTAGGCTGAGGGGAAAGGATGTTGCGACATGGTGCTGGAAAAGACTTGCGCTGTCATGATGGCGATGCGTGCGTGGCAGGAGGTCTGAGAAGTCGAAGGGTTTTGACGCTCTGATGCGGTATCGAAGCAGTCGGTGGGTAAGAGAAAAGTGTTTGAGGCACCGACAACAAGCAGTTGTATGGGTTGCCTGGGAAAAGGGGAACTCGGCGCTCTAAAGGGAAGGAGAAGCGTTGCCTGAGTCTAGAGAAGAACCATGTCGCGAGTGTGGTATGCTGTCTTGAATGTACGAAGACTGGATCGAGTTGCTCCGAAAGACGGTGAGAGCCTTCCGCTGAGAGATCAGAGGCGCCCGAGCAAGTGAATGCCAATCAAGAGACGGGCGAGTGTGCCGTTGATGAGGTGGCAGAGATAGCCTCGCCGTATATGTCCGGAGTGAAGACAACGGCACGCCTGATTGGACAATAAGGGAAGACGATGGGCGAGCCTGCGCCTATCGCAATGCTTTGACGATGACTGCTGGTGTCGAGGTGGCCGTGATGCGTACAGGCTGGATCGATGACGACCTTGATGTGTCCGTTCCGCGAGCTGACCGAAGGAAGAGACGGATGCTGGTCTGGCTGATGCGCAATCGAAGCGTTCGGATAGCCGACGAGGAGGTCGTGATCGCTGCTGTCTTCGAAGATGTGGTTCGTAGCGGGGATGAGATGCTCAAATAGCAGTCGTCTACCGATGAAGTCAAACTGAAGACCTGATGGATGAGCTGTATGCTGGACCTGTGCCGAAAATTGGTCTATGCAGAGTCGGACAGCTTCGACGGTTGAAGCTTGTGGACGATAAAGTCTAACCCAGCGGTAAGCAGGATGGCGAACAAAACTTTTCGTCGTTGTGAGGGGAGGGTGGCGACGGTGGTGGCAGAATCGTATGAAGCCGCGTTGGTGGGTTGAAGCTCGCAGCGTGAGGGGTGCGCGGGTGTATGCACAGAAGGCTTTCTCGAGTCGTATACTTTGTGCGTGTGGTTTGTGCAATGCGATGCGGTGCGATGCGATGCGTGTCGAAATGAATAGGCGTCGGGATGGTGGCGAGCAAAGTGGATGCGACTACGATCACGGGCCGAGGCTGGGTAAAGGTCAATATATGTAACGCGGCGCGGTGGGTGCGTGGATTGTGGTGAGAGTGGCATCACTCTGCATCATGCACTCTGCACTCTGCTGCAGCCTCAGATGCAGCCAGCCAAAATCACTTTTTGTTTAAATTTACGCGCTGAGGGAAAGAGAGAGACCAACACCCAACTTCGCCTGGGCCTTGGCACTCAGCCATCCATCTCAGCGGCAAGCGAGAGCCGGAGTTGGTCGGACATTCCGGTCTCTGCCTTGAGCCATGTTGCTGAGCCCGGAGCGATTGGATTGACTTCTGTCGCCGAGTCACCAAGGAAGCAAAAGACAATGGAGAAAGCAAGCCTCGTCGAACATCACTCAAGAGAGGCGCCTCCTTCGGCACCACAACATTGGATTTCCTTTTTTTTATTTTTCGTTAAAAAAACCCCACACGCAAGCAAGCCTCACCAAAGATGAAGCGAAACGCAGCTCGGCTCGGCTGCGGAGCGAAAGGAACGCAAGGGTCTCTTTATCAAGACCGAGTTCTGGAATCTCTGAGCAGAAGGGGGGGCTTGTTGGCCATGATCCGACCACCAAGCCCTCGGGTCTGCATCTCCGCTTGAGCGCAACCTTACGATGCCAGGGGAAGCGAAGTGACACAGCAGTTCGCCCAGGCCTTTCTGACTAGAGTCGAATCGCTTTCACGAAGCGACTCTTGTCGGGACCATTCCGCGCACAGCCCCTGCACGACCCAAGCAGGGATTTCCGACGACCACCTCCTTCTGCAGCAGCTTGCGTCCCCCTTGTGACTTAAGAAAGAGCTTCAGTGTTGACCGGCTCACTTCCGCAGCCCCTGAGCTGTGAGATGCATGCACGCTGCACACTCGAAAGCAAATTTACGCCCAGGGCTGCTCGCGGGAGTGGCAAATTGCGTTGCCAGCTGGCTTTTCGAGTGCAACAAATGCCGCAACCGAATCGTATCGACACAGCTGGCAAAGGGTCTCTCTCGGCTCGACCAGAGTGCGGGGTTGGGCAAGGGCTCGGCTAGCGCTTCCACTCCGATACTGTATCGCGCGTTCGCCTCTTCGTGTCGTCAACTCGTTGCTGTGCCGTCTGTGCAACGCATGTGTCACTCTTCAGAGCAACCTCATTCCTTGCGACGGCCTCGACATGCTTCTGATTCCAGTCATTTTGAAAGACTATTCGAAAACCCTCACCGGACAGGCTCTGAAGCGAAAGGCAATCTTCGATTCACTCTGGATCCACAAAGACAATGGAGCGGTGGCTTGCATTGGGTCAGGCGATCCAAGCCAGCCATCAGCTCGAGTATACGCTCGTCTCGTAAGCCATGGCGCCCAGTGGGGGAGACTCTCACACGACACTCGAAGACTAGGTATGCCATTCTAAGCGAACGAGGACCCTGGGGTGCGGCGCCTTCCATGAGATAGAGTTTGTCTACGTCCATTGTCGCCTTGTTGACACGTCGCGCGCTTCCATCGTCTCGGTGGGTGATCAGCTGCTCAGGGCGAGAGGGAGCGGGTAGACGTTGTTCAGCCAGGCGACACGGTTTTCCAGATGCCGAGGTTGCAAGTTTATCCCAGCCCTTTTCGCTCCATTGCGGGGTGCGAACAGCGACCTGCACAGTCGCTCGTCATCATGCGACGTCAGCTGAGTCGTGCGCACACAACCCCTCTCTCCGCGGCGGAACATGAGCTCGGAAAGGCGTGATGAGGGCGAGAGATCTCATCGAACAGGGTCGGACCCTGAGTGTCTGAGCCTTATTTTCTGGATCTAAGCGAACCGGCTTCTACGCGTAAGCGCTGGGCCGGTCACATGACCTAGGCGATTTGCCTTACATGTTAGACCTCTTCCCTTCTAAAAAATGGTTTTTCGGACATAGAAGGATGAAGCACGCCATCGCAATTCACGGTGGCGTGCCGAGCCTGCTTAGCAGAAGATGCCATCCGCTGGGCGTGCGTCGAAATGAAGTTCGACCCTGAGCACGGGCGGGGGCGAGGGGCGAGGGTCCGAGCGTGCATGCGCTTTCTTCTAAACCCGCTTCCTTTCGATGGCCTTCTCGCGGCAACACTGCGGTGTGCTATTGCAACCGGCTATGTCGCCACTTTGCTGATTAGAGTTGAAGCTTGGCGAGGGAGGAAGATCTTCCTGCGTGGCTGAGTTGATACAAGAAGCGGACCGCATTCACTCACACCTTCCCTTCTGTCAACAACCACTCTTCCTCAGAGATATACATCAAAATGCCTGGCCTTCGACTTGGATCCATTGCGCCCAACTTTACCGCCGAGACGACGCACGGCGTGCTCAACTTCCACGAGTACCTCGGTGATTCGTGGGGAATCCTTTTCTCGCACCCGGACGACTTTACGCCCGTTTGCACCACGGAGCTCGGCGAGGTGGCACGCAAGGAGGCCGACTTCAAGGCGCGCGGTGTCAAGGTCATCGGTCTGTCCGCTAACGACGTCCAGTCGCACGATGCGTGGATCAAGGACATCAACGAGGTAGGAAAGACGTCGGTCAACTTCCCCATCATCGGCGATAAGGATCGTAAGGTCTCGACCGAGTACGACATGCTCGATGCCTTGGACCCCACCAACGTCGATGCCAAGGGCATCCCCTTCACCGTCCGAGACGTCTTTGTCATTGACCCCAAGAAGGTCATCCGCCTCAAGATCAGCTACCCCGCCTCGACGGGACGCCACTTCGACGAGATCCTTCGTGTCATCGACTCCCTGCAGATCGGCGACAAGTACCGTGTGACCACCCCCGTCAACTGGCAAAAGGGCGACAAGGTCATCGTTCACCCCAGCGTCCAGGGCGCCGAGGCCGAAAAGCTCTTCCCCGGCTACGAAACCGTTAAGCCCTACCTCCGATTCACTAAGGACCCCTCCGCCTCGTCCGCCTAAACACGTATCGGACGTAGCATCGCTTTCGCAACGCAATCATCTCAAATTGTAATTCAACAGAACGCTTTTACTGCTTATTCATCGACTGTGCCGATCGAGTGTGTGCGACAAGACTGCGAGCGAGCGGGACGGAATGCTTGGATTGCAGGACAGAATGCGGAAGACGTGCAAAAAGGAAAGAGATGCGGAATGAGAGATGCTAAAGTAACGATGCTGGGACGGAAGTGTTCGATGAGCCAAGAGAAAACGTTTGGTGCGATGAAGACTATGAATGTAAGAGCGCTCGTCTCTACTGGCTCTGCTTCCAGGCGACATAGTCGGAATAAGTGCACTCGACCTTCTCGGACCGATAGCGCCTGACCCGAAGAGCGTTGCGAAGGTCGGGTGTAATCCTGCCATTGAAGCCTGCTTTGCGAATGGCCGAGTCGATGGCTTCTTCTTTGGTCCAGCCTTGATCTGGGATCACATCCGGTAGGTAAGTGGCTGTCAGGAAGGCAGGCCCGGAGCCTGACGATCGTGAGAAGCGTGACTTCTTCGCTGAGACTGGGGCCGGGGTGGAAGCACCGGATGACGAGCTGGCGCTGTCTTCATTGCCACCGTTGAGCAGCGGCTTGGGAGCCAGCGCAGGATTGGGAAGGTGGATGTAGATGCCGTGCACGCCTACCTCCCAGTCGAGATAGTCGTCGCACTCTTCGAATCCGGTGAGCAGCGACACTCCGCACTCGAGACGTGGCAGCTCCGACTGCGTGATGGGCGAGAATCGGCGGTCCTTGAAAGCTGAGATGCTTGCGTACTCTGCAAGACCCTGTGCGAGAGGGTACGGCTCAAAAGTACCGATGCAGCCTCTCAGACGAGAAACAGGCGGCGAACTGCGGGACGAGGATTTGAGCGAGCTGTGCGGAAAGATGTTCCAGGTGACGAAAAGTGGGTACTCCTGACCATCGTTGGTGAACGTGGGAGCCGGCTGGGGCGAAATGTTCGGATTGAGCTCGTGATCGATGACCGCGAAGCAATAGAAGCAATGTTCTGGGAGAGCGGCGGAGCTCGTTGATGCCGAAGGGGCCATGGTGGGCGGTCGACCGAGGCTGGGAAATTCTTGCGCTTTGAAGGTGCAGGGGGTTCTGATGCTGACAGCTCTATGCGATGCGTGTGACGTTTTCGAGACTGTAGATGCTATCGTTCGGGTTCTTGAAGGTGATCAATACGAGAGACTGAAATGTGCGAAACAGATACGGAAGAGTTGGATCGCTGTGCAAAACGTGCTTCGAGCGGTGTGGTCCTGCGCTGCTTGCGTTGCCCGCGTGCAGCAGCTTCGCACCCGTTTGCGTCCACACTGGAGTAGTGCGAAACCAGACTGTTCTGCGGTGCAATCAGATGACAATGTCGAGAGGAATGCCTTGATACGAGGACGTAGTCAAGAGCGAAGACGATGAGACCGCAGGCTCGCCATGTCAAAGCTGGACCCTGCGTTAAGATAAGCGCTGCGCAGCGACTCATCTCTGCGCTTTAAATTCCTGGCCAAAAGGAAATGTCACCTTGGAAAAACGAGCACAAAAATGAGCCTTGAAAATGGCACAGACAAGCGCACTGCACAGCGCTCAGTCACACTGGAGCCGTTGATTGCTTGGTGTAGCCTGGCGTAGCCATCACAGATTGACGCGCTGAGGGCATTAGATGGAAGCCTTCCAGATCATGGCCACGACTCTTGTTCAAGAGTCGCAGTGAAACCTGGCAAATGATCTGCGCCAGTGTTGGTCTCGAGCTGGGCTAGCTTCGGCCGGTAGAAAGTCACCGCGAAAAGCGGGCTGGCTGCAACACTGCGGATCGGGGTCGCGCCTTCATGACATCAGCGTGCGCTTGGAAGGGACGTGCGCCAAAAAAAGATCAACACAACGTGTCTGCAAGCCTTGCAGAGTTTCTCGACCTTTCCTCGGCCAACGTGCCTGCCTTGCCTGCAAAGCCTCCACTCTGCGCAGCAACGCAAGGCTCGGCCAAGACGGGTCTCAGGGCTGCGACCCTGACTCAAGGGCCCTCTGCTCGTTCGGATCAAAGCAGCGACGCTTGTCAGAGTCTGTTACCTTGAACTGGCAATGCCGTCGAGGAAGGGGGCCCTTGCATGTGTATTGGATCGAGAAGTACGAACGTATCGAGTCGGTAGATGGGCTCAAAGCTAGCTACCGGAAGGAATAGCTTAGCGTTATCAGAGCGCGCTGTGAGCTGGAAGAGGGTGGCACTCGAGACTGCGTTGATTCGGAGAGGGAGAAGGCTTGCGGAAAGAGCCAGAGGGACGCTCCCGCCAGATCGCGCCTATGTTGCTCTCTGGGTCGCGGGGCTCAGATTACAAATAGACACAAGCCTGGCTGCTGATCCGCGCGCTCCCTTGACTTCTCAAGTAGCGCGTGATCCTCACCTTCCCATCCAACCACATCGATATACACACAACCAACACTCCATCTTCGCTCAACGTCTGCAAAAATGGCTAACCTTCCAGGACTCCTCATTGACATCGTACGTGCCATGTCCTCCATTCATTCGGCCCTTCCCGCCATCAACGATGATCCGTGCTGACTCTCGTGATTCTTTCTTACTTTTCTCGCACAGCCCCGCAACCCCATCCTTGCGGTCGGTATCCCCGTCGCCGTCGGCGTCGTCAACGGCTTTGCTACCAAGTCGTCCAACTACTCTGCCGACTCGGTCTGGTACAAGTCGCTCAAGAAGCCCAGCCTGAACCCCCCTCCCAGCTACTATGGCATTGTCTGGCCCGTTCTCTACGCCTCGATGGGCTGGGCCTCGCACTTGACTGTCAAGGCTCTGGACCGCACCCCTCCTGGTCTTGGCCGTGACACTGCCAAGAAGGCTCTCTCGCTCTACTGGATCCAGCTCGGTCTCAACGCTCTCTGGTCGCCCCTCTTCTTCGGTGCTGGCAACGTCGGTCTGGCTCTCGTCAACATCGGCGCTCTCACTGGCACCGTCGGCCTCTGGGCTGCCACCGTCAAGGACGTCGACGAGACCGCCGGTCTGCTCGCCATTCCTTACGTCGGCTGGATGGTCTACGCCACCTACCTCAACGCCTCCATCTGGTGGCAGAACTACGGCTCGTCCAAGTTCGGCAAGCTCAAGAAGGACGCCAAGGACCTTTAAGCAGTTTGCCCCGCTTCGACACGTAGCCGTATCAACCATGCACAGGTGAAACGACGTGCATGGAAATGGTGTATTCTATATAGTCCCTCACCCTCTACCTCCATGAAACACGACAATCAATTCCACTGCGCTGGTATATGTGACCTCGCGTCGAATCGCACTGAGAGCGAGGTGGTTTAGACTTCGCACATGGGACGAGCACGCAATGTCTATGATGTGAGGACGGAATCTAGTCTACAGAGTCTTTCAACCCTGTCGAACCGAGCTTCGATCCGTATCGACGCTATCCCGTCTATTCTTGATGGGCATGAACTGGCGATCCGGGTCCTCCTGACCAAAGAACACCGTTGAGCCCTCGACCATGCCTCTCTCCACGCGACTATCCCTACTGCTGTGAGCCTCGAGTTTGGCCATGGCGTCGTCGAAGTCCATGTGCGTCGTCAATGGTCTTCTGGGCAACGGAGTCAATGCGTGTCTAGCATCAAGGTTGATACTCAAGATATTGCTCGAGTGGGCGCCCTCCGAGACGCTGATGAGCAACGAATACTGCTGCTGCTGTTGCGATGTCGGACTGTCCCCATCGGTTGTGGAAGAGTTGCGCTCGTACACCTCGAACGTGATGCTGGCAAAGTAGTCCAACGCCGGGATCTTGGGCATCACCACATTGAGCTCCGAGGCAAGCACCAGGTTGAGCAGCGTATGGATGTGACTCTCCTTGGTAAAGTAGAGACTGCAGATGCCCTTGCTCTCCTTGGCACCTTTGAGGTCTTCCACGATGTTGTTGAGCAACGGCATCGAGGTGAGGAACCCGATCTCCTCCTTTTCTTCGGGTGTAATCCCGTACTCTCTCGGGCAAATGAACGAGAACAGTGCCAAAGCCTTCCGATACAGCTCGTGCAAGTGGACGAGCTTGGCATCGGTATCCTCGCCCTCGATGCTCGGATCGGCGAAGACCGTCTCGATGAACTGCCGATTATGCAGTCCATCGTGGCTCAGCATATCGTACAACTCGGAACTCCTCGATGGATCGTGCGGATCCTCCTCAAAGTCGTTGAAGAGCTTCTCCCACCGTTCGCGGAACAACGACGGCGTCTCGTGGGTGCACCACCTTGTCTGCACCCTCTCCACCCCTTTACCCAGCGTCTTGTAGTTCTGGCGCATGATCTCCCGCAACACCGCCAGCAGCCGCGCAATGTCCAACGCCAACCGCGCCGGTGGGGGCAGATCCTCCGGCCAATCATCCGGAATGCTGTTCGCCTCCGGCGAATCCGGTCGCAACGACGCCTTGAGCTTCTTCTTGACCACATCCATCACGTCCTTGGCCGCATTCGAGTCGTCCAACAGATCCTTGCGGATGATCATCTCCTTTTCGCCACTCGACTCGTCCAAAAATGCAGCGGCAAAGATCTCGGCCGATGCAGTGACACGTCGTTCGCTCGACGTATAGACCGTGCAGTTGGACAGCGCATCGGCGTTCATGATGATCATGTCTTTGCGCATGTTGTTGCCGAAATCTTTGGCTTGATGACGTGCAGCATGGGAGAATTCGCCGCCCCACTTGATGATGAGCTGCATCTTGGCCAGCTCGCCTGAGGTCTTGTCGAAGCTCGGTTTGATCTGGACCTTGGTACCGCCCATGTCCTTTTTGCGGTTGATGAGCTGGATGATGAGTTCGAGGTCCTCGGTGTTTGCCCCTGGGAGGGCGAGCGCCTCGGAAGCGGCGGTGGAGACCAGCTCGAGTTGCGTCCTGAGAATGATCTCCTCTCTCCTCCCTTGCAGCAACGCAATGAGCGGCGCCGCCCACGTCTCGGACGGCTTGAACGACCGTTTGAGCTTCTGCTTCGGCGTTCGATCCCCATGTCGAAACACCGTGACGCTCGCCTTGAGGTTCCATGCGCTCCTCTCACGTTCCCGAGGACTAGCACTTCCCACCCCACCCCCTGCAATCGGTCGCCGAACCACATTGTTCCGACAAAACCCACTCAGGATCTCGGCGCACTTGTCATAGTAAAAATCGTTGCCCTTGACAAAGCTCCATCCGTTGACGTCGATAACGTAGCTCTTGCCTCCGACACGAAGGAGGTCGAAGCCGCAAATGTTCTGCTTGAAGGCCTTGGAGATGTTAGTTGCCATCTGGATCTCTTCGTCGCTGAGCTTGGTGATGTAGCGAATCTCCTTTCCGTCCGGGTTGCGCTTCACCACGCCATCCACCACGGGCGACTTTCGCGTTTCGGCATGCACAAAGTGCGGTCCGATGGTGTAGACCTTGATGTCCTCGGCATTGTCGACGTCCATAAACTCCTCGTAGATGTACGACCCATCGGTGCGCGGTTCGAACAGGTTGGGATCGTACTCGGACGACTTGTTGCCGACCTTGCGGAAGAGGCGGCGACCTCCACCGCCGCGGTTCTTGGGAAAGTAGATGTGGATGTTGTGGTCTTCCCCCGAGACGGGTTTTTCTACGAAGGGTTTGGAGATCGTGTGACCTCCGATGGAGAGGGTGTCGTAGTTGTCGAGTTTGCATTCCTTGACGCCGCGGTCCTTGCGCAGATCGGCACCCACGCGGTCTTTGAGGTCCTGGATGATGACATCTTCCAAATCAGGTCCGCCGTCGCGGTCCACCTCGAGCCGGCGCGGAGTGGGCACACCGACACTGTCCAGGATGGCCAACACGGCGCGTCGATCCCACAACACCTGCTGCAGCCTCAGATCGTTGACCAGCACGGGCTTGCGCAGGTCCGCATACGAGATCGCCTTGTCCAAAGGGAATCCAGTGGAGAAGAACGAGATGAGAACGTCGACGATGGGCCAATCTTGGACGGGTTCGTCGAGGATGACTTTTTCGCCAAAGATGATGACGTCGAATTCTTTGGTGCTGATGAGACGGTTGAGGATGTTCTGCATGGGTTTGCTACGGGCCTTGCGGTCCATGGCGGCCACGCCGAGCTGCATCCTCTCCATCGTGGCGAATGAGAGACGGGTCGTGTGATCCGATGAGGAGGAGAGGAGAGGAGCGTGAGAAGGTCTTGTCGGAAGAACCAAGAGCGAGTCAAGCTCGTATCTTTTTCCTTCTGAAAAAGCGGAACGTGCTCTTCGAAAAAAGAAAGTGATTATTTCTGCAGGCCACAGACGCCATCAGGAAGCACCGAAACCTTATCCGCTCTTCAAAGAAGCCGTGCTCAACGCAACCCCGCAGCAGCAATCAACTCTTCCCATCCGGAGACGCCGATAGCAACTTAGCGTCACGAGACCGTCGTCGGAGCTCAAGCCGATGATGAGGTGGGTGAGGAAGCAGGTGCGCCTCTTCCGGAAGGTCGCGACAGCAAGACTGAGTCACGATAATCATCACAGAATCGCTGCAGCTCACGGCATGAGCACGTGTTGACTCGCTGCGTCAATCCAGACTTTGGCAAGGCTCGTGAGCTTGACTGTCGCTCGGTGCGGCTCGTGCTCCGGCTTGCTTGCTTGCAATCTGCTAGGCAGATTCCGCTGCTGAAACACTCATATCGCAAGCTGCCTTCGAATTGGTCAAAAGGCACATGGCCATTGAGCGGAAGAAGCGAGGATGGGGTCGAGCTCGGGATGGAAGCCCCTTTTCCTTGATTACAGACAAAATCCAGACCAACACCGAGCGAGGCACACAGCTGTGGCTCGGCTGGCTTTCCTTGGACCACGCGTTTATGCCAAAAAAGGTCGTGTTGTGTTGTGTTGCTTTTGCTGTCTCGAACACTGGCCTCCCCTCGTATTCATCCCACTCCATCATCACGATCACGCCGACTCCATCATCACGGTCTGAATCCAGATCGGCGTAGGCAAGCACAGCAACATGCCGCGACCGCAATCCATTCGGTCCCTCCAGATGCCCTCGCGCCATCAGGACGCAGGCGGCCATGTCTTTCCCAGTGTGCCGCCTTCGCCCTCGCTATCCACAACCACACGAGCCTCGCTTCTTGACTTCCCGTCTCGGCCCGCGATCCTCGTCACCCGCGCCGACCTCCGCGCCTCGCTTGCCGCCTACGAAGCCCTGCTCGCCTCGGCCAAAGCCTACACCTCTGCGATGCTCTCCATGTCCAAAGCCTCCTCCGACCTCGCCTGTGCACTCGAAACCTGCGCTCGTGTCAAAGGCGCCCACGACTCTGGCCCGGGTCTTCAAGCCGCCTCCGGCCTCCATTTCCTCAAGAGTAACTACGAACAGGTTCTCTGCGACACATTCTGGAAGGACTTCTCCATCCCGCTCCTCAGCCACTACGACACCTACCGATCCGCATGCACCGATCGCCAGGTGCTGCACGACAAAGCCGTCGCGCAAAAGTCCAAGGAGCTCAAGGAGGCAGAAGCGAGGAACAACCGCGCAGGTCGCAAGAAGGAGCGCGATCTCAACTCCTTCCGCCGCGCACTGGCAGAGTTGCAATCCCACGTAGACGCCATCGACGAGCTCAAGGCGCAGTACTACAACGAGGTGCTGGATGCCGAGCAGGAGGTGTGGTCGTTCATCGAGAGCAAGGTGGCGCTGGTCGTACGGTCGCAGATTGATGTTTCGGAGAGGATCAGTTCAAAAGGGTTGAATGATCCTGTACTGGAACAGATGCTGGCGACGATTCCGGATCCGTTCGGTAGCTACGGTCCGCCGAAACAGGATGGCGAGATCTTTAGCATCCTTCCACCCATCTCGTTGATCAGTTCGGGAGCGAATAGCGTCCACAACACGAGCACCGAGGCGGCGACCAACGATACGAGCGCTACGGACGTCGACACCACGTCGGAGGATGTCAAGCCTGCTTCTGGCGGTCCTGCCAACGGGGCGTATAAGACCAAGAGCGTCCTGCCCGCCAACATCATGTCGCCGTCAACGCCGAGCAAGGGACTCACCCGCGCTGGTCTTACAAGGAACGGGTCCGCTTCGGCTACGCCCACTCGTGCATCTCAATCCGCAGCTGACGATCTGCCTGCCTCATCCACGCCGAGGGGAGAGCAAGCTACCAACGCCGCGTCGGGCTCGACTGCGACACCCAAAGCGCAAGCAGCCAAGGGCGGTCCCTCGCTCAACGGCCCCACTCATCTCGCGCGCGACTCGCTGCTCGGCCTATCCGCTGTCTCGGAAGCAACAACCTCTGTGTCCACCTCGGACGGCAGCCCACACACCGCTTCCGGCGGGCTCTTCGGGTCGGAGAGCATGGACTTTGAAGAGCTCCTCTCGCAGCCTCCCAAAGCCACCGTCGGGCCTAACACCGATGCGAGCCAGGCGGACGACCAATTCGACCCACAGTCCGATGCTCAGTCAGCCGAAGCGTCCAGTGTGACCGCGACAGCAGCGGGGAGACTCCGTCAAGTGCTGAGCATCATCGAGGAGGACACCAACGGACCGCTCAGCAAGGCTGCTCAGATGGGCACGGCGTCGAGACCCGTTTCGTCGGTGTACGATGCCGGACCGGACCCGTTTGCTGATCGCGATGAGGCGGTGGCAGGTTCGAACGACGACAAGCCGCTACGTGACATTGCCAATGAAGGAAACTCGCGTCATCGTCGGACGAGCTCCAAGTTGAGCATCGACTAAACCTTCCCTCAACCGATCCTTTTCATGACCTGTAACGACCCCTTGATGACCTCCAATGCGCCTCACGAGCAATATACCCCGTATGAACCACAACATACCGAACGTTGAGATTGTGAGGGATACGTGCGAGAAAAGCTTATTTTGGGAAGCGAGCGAGCGAAGGCGGAAGAAGGGTCCACTTGTCGGCGGCGCCGAGTGGCATCACGTCACTGCGCGTGACCCTTCGGAATGCCATGCAGCGTAGCAGGTTTCGCGGATGGAAGCGCTCACGAGACCTCGACCCCCGTCTAAGCTCTAACTGCCTTGCGAGGCTGGTTCTTCGAGAAGCAGTCAGACGCCGCTGTACGAAAGCTGGCCGTGTTGGGATCTCCGCTTGCACTTGACCGTTCAGGTCTGGCTACACGAGGCACGTTTCATTGGAATTGACATCTTCCTCCCTGCTGTCTCCTCAAACAAGGCTGTACAGGGTCAGGAGGCAAGCCAAGGGGTGTCGGGGGGGACGATCACTCGAGGTGTGCAAGTACAGCCGATTGGGCGAAGAGGTGTGTGTTGTGTTTGAACAAGCCAGCAGCTGCACGAGCTCGTAACTCTGCCTGGCCTTGGAGCGCTGCTGTTCCAGTGCGTCATTTCTCCTCTGATGTGGAGTTGTGCGCTCACGGGCCACCGTCGACCCATCATTCGGGTGGCATCTCATATTTAGACCCTTTCCTCCCCTTCCCTCTTTCCTTCCCACTCTTTCAACCACACCTTACACACAAACGCGCAAACATGAAGTCGTTCCACAAAGTCGTCTACAAGCCCGACTCGCAGTCCACGGACGAGTTTATGGTCATCGTCAATGGCGAGGAGTACAAGAAATGGATTGGGGGCGACAAGACCATACCCCTCGCTGAAGTCGTCGATTCTTTCGATGTCTTCCACACCGGTCAGGGCGCCCAGGGCATCATGGGTAGACCCAGCAAGCAACAGCTCGACAGCGTGTTCGATAGCCACAAGGACGTCGATGTGGTGACCCACATCTTGGAACGCGGCCAACTGCAGCAGAGTAGCTCCAAGGAAGGGTTTAGTACGACCAACGATGCTAAGCAGGGCCAGAACACTACCAGCCGTGGCAGCGGCGGTGGCTTCGGTGGACGATAGATGGACAAAGCGGGAGGGATCAGGGCACGATGAAGCAGAGTAGGAAAGATGTGGCTGCAAATCGCATCGGCCGGTCACAGCTGCGTCTGGCGTCAGCGCCATTCGATCAAACCCAAGCATCTCCTCGCGGTTCCCCCGAGCCATGAAGCAGTTTGTTTCCACCTCGTGCTCAGCAGCTGCCCCTCTTCCCAACCAAGCATTCACATCCAAAGTCCAATGCTCCCCACCATGTACCACAAACACAAAGTCACAGACACAATCCCAAAGCGTCAATATGACATCCCCATCGCATCTTGACCCGCCGCCTGAGTCCTTTCCTAAACTCTCACACTGAGCTCTTTCTTTACCACACTCTCACACATCACTCTCAAAACGGCATGACCATTTACCCCGCTCTCGCAACTAGAGTAAATCATTGGCCGGCTGCTGCCGCTGGTTGTGTGTGAATTTCACTCTTGCGCGAATAGCGTTAACGACGTCTCCTACCACCAGCTCGAGCAGCGGCGTCCCTGCGATTCCTCCTGCTCGCCCTGGTATTCAGCTCCTCGATCTTCTCCAGATCCTCGTCGTTGAGTCTTTCGAGCAGAGGGCCGAATTCGCGCGATTCGAACCAGTCGCGCCAGATGCTGTCGAGCGGTCGAGGTCCACGCGAGAGGATCTCGCGCACCGTATACGTCGCATTGTGCAAACGCTGGGACGGGGTGAGTGTCGGTTGCGCCGGTTGCGCGGGATCGGCGGTGGCGGCTTCGATGAGACGGGCGGAGGAGCGCGTGGCCAGCGGGGCGGGGGGTTGGATGGCGGGCGTGGAGGTTCCTTCGCGTGTAGGGGCGGCTGTGGCCGTGGCGGTGAGGTGGAGAGTTTCCACGTCTTCTTCGTCCTCATCTTCGCGAGGGGCGGGGGTGGTCCCGCCCGTACCTGGAGCAGCGTCTGCATCTGGCTTGGTCTCCTCCTCCGTAGCAGGCTGCACCGAGGCCTCCCTCGTATTGACCCCAGTCCCATTCCCGGATGGCAACTCGGACGTCTCGCCGCGCTCCAACTTTTTCCTCTGCTTCTCGAGCTTCTCCGCATGCAATTCCGCCCAGGCCGTCTCGATCTCCCTCTCCTTGTCCTTCAACACCCTGCCGCTGCCCACGAGCTGCAGCTCCAACGCGGCGCGCTTATGATGAATCAGCTGCTCCCGTACGCTGTTGGCGATCAACGCCTGGGCCTCACCCGACAAGGCCAGATCGTCGCACAGCTTCCTTGCGAACGATTCCGGCGTCAGGGGCGAACAGAGATCCCACTCGAGTCGATCGCGCAGCATGTGACGCAGGATCTGCACCTCGTAATCCACAATGACGCGGAGATCGTCTTCGAACTCGCCCAGTCCCTCGCCTGCTTCCAACCGTTTGGCCATGCGTTTTCGCCACTGCCTCTGCTCATCATCCGCGCGGTCGAGACCCCAATTCCACGCGCGCGCTTCCTTTGTTGCCTCCTCGTCCACATCGTACTGCCTTCGCTCCGATTCGGACAGTGCGTTCTCGCCTTCTCGAGCCTCAAGTCGCGCAGAAGACCACACTCCCCCCGCCGCCGGCTCCATCTCGATATCCGCCACCCCCGTCGCATCGTCAATCTGCTGGTTGATCATGTGCATGATCTGCGTCGCATACGGCTCCACCGGCAGATCCAGATCTTCCAACAACAGTTTGGCGAAATGGTACGGCGAGATCAATCGTTCGTTCATGTTCCACGTGAAGGTGTCTTTGATGCGATACTGTTCGGCTTCGAGATCGATCTTGATGGGGACGAGGACTTCGTTGCGTCCTGCTTGGCGGGCGAGTTCGTCGTCAGCGTGGTAAACGTGGTTGGTGCGGTGGAAGACGCGTTTCGAGACCATTTTCGATGCGGGTGCGGGCAAGCCGAGGTGGGCGCGAGGGTTCTCTTCTTCACCGTCGTCGTCGAGAGGTCGTTTGAGAGAGGACGAGTCGGTCGTGGGAAGGTCCTCTTCGAACTCGTCGTCGGAGGAACCGGCTTCGGCGTAGCGGATGAACCCGGCTGCGGCACGACGGCTTCGTCCGCTGGCACGGGAGGAACGGTAGGGCGTCGAGGAAGAGGTGTCGTGCGCGGAAGCGAGGAATGGATCGAGCGGTTTGCCTGTGCCATCGTACCATTCGGAGGACGGGATAGACTGGAGCAGGTTGGTGGTGCCCGCCTTCATGCGTGCGGGGAAGGAGCTGTACATGGCTTGTGGCATGGTGGGGCCTGAAGCTGCGGTGCCGGAGGAGCGGAGGGGAGCGGAGGGCGTGCCGGGTGCAAGCGGCGCAGTTCCTCGACCCATGAAGTGGACGGGAGGGAGCGCTTGCAGGGCCATCTGACTGACCCGTTGCGGTTCAGACGGCATCGCGGATGGTGCGGCGAAGGAGGTCTGCGAAGGCTGCATTCGCTGTTGTTGCTGCGAGAGCAGCGCCGAGCCGGCTTGCAACAAGCTACTTCCTGAGGCAGATGGCGTTTGCTGGAATGTCGGGCGCTGAGCAGATTGTTGTGGATATGGGGCAGGCGAAGCATAGGCTTGTGCTTCGTAGCGCGGGGTGTTCGGGACGCCGTTGGCCATGGCGGCGGGTGGTACGATGTTGGATGGAACATAGGATGACGACGCGGGATTTGCGGATGAGGTCGTCGAGCCTGTCGGCGCTGGCGACTGCTGGCCTGATGTCGACTGACGTGCCGACCGACGTGGACGGTCCATGTTGTCTGGCTCTTTGCGGTGAAACCCAAAGACGGTGCGGCTTGACCTGGTGGGCCTAGCTGATCCAGTAGCCTCACCGAGATGGACGAGACTATAACGGTGAGCCTCGTGATTGTTTCTCGACGCCGATGAGATCGCGTGCGATGTGTGCAAGTCGTGCGTCGAGGCGAATTCAAGGTTAGAAGAAGTGTAGGTGAGACCAGAAGGAAGGTGCTTCTTGGCTTGGTGCAAAGGGATCGCCGCGAGAGACGCGCCTTCTTAAAGTGCAATTCCCTTTCCGCGTCGATGCCCGATTCGACCGATCCACGGCGATCCAGCAAGAAGAAAGTCGACAAGCAAAGGGTCCTCCTGCTCAACAGCGCCGCTTCCTACTTTTCTTCTTTACCGAGGTGCTTCAGCCTCGAACAATCGCTCCTCCACCATCACACATGCTCAGACCCGCAGCAAGGTCGCTAGGACTTCGTGCGCCTCGAGCGCAACAGCTCGCGCTATCCGCAGCGCGGTCGCAAAGCCCCTGCTGCTCTTCCAACACCATTGCCTCTCCTTCACACACTCAAGCACCGGCTCAGATTCGTACATATGCTGTCAGTCCGACACCATCAAATAGAGCGTCAAGCTCAGCACAGCCTTCAAGCTCCAAAGCAACGGTTCAGAGCGATGCTCGTCACTCCGCGTCAAGCGACGATGCATTCTACGGCGCTTTCCCACCACGCACCCACGCCTGTGGTGAGCTGCGCGCCTCGCACGCAGACCAGCAAGTCATCCTCACAGGCTGGCTGCAATCGTCTCGACAAGTATCCAAGCAGCTCGGTTTTGTGACGCTCTTCGATCACAGTGGCTCCGTCCAGCTCAAAGTTCAGCCCACGTCGTCATCGCCGCAGCTGCTCGAGTCAATATCCTCGATACCCGTGCAGTCCGCCATTATGGTTCATGGCAAAGTAGCACTGCGACCAACACAGGACTCAAAGACGGACCAGTCGACCGGCGCAATCGAGATCCTCGTCGACGACTTCATCCTGCTCAATCCTGCTACACGGGAGCTGCCTTTTCAGCCCTCCGACTCGGTGCACGCCGACGGCGTCCCAGCTGAGCTCCGCGCTCGTTACCGCTACCTCGATCTGCGACGACCATCGCTCGCCAACAACATCAGGCTCCGCAGCCGCGTCACACATGCAGTCCGCAATCATCTCTATGATCAAGGCTTTCTCGAGATCGAGACACCAGTACTGCTCAGATCGACGCCGGAAGGGGCGCGGGAGTTCCTCGTGCCCACCCGGGCATCGTCCGCAGGCGCGAACGCCTCCAACGAACCGACCTTTTACGCACTACCACAATCACCCCAGCAGCCGAAACAGCTCTTGATAGCATCAGGCGTGACGGACAAGTATTTTCAGATCGCAAAGTGTTTCCGCGACGAGGATGGACGCAAGGATCGCCAGCCCGAGTTCACCCAGATTGATCTCGAGATGGGGTTCGTCAGTGGTGGGCCAGAGGCGAGTGTAGAAGCTTCAATATCAAACCCGAAGACGGACGAAGAAGGTGATCAGATTGACGCAAGAGATGCCCAAGGCCAATGGAGGATCGGCGGCCATCAAGTTCGGGACGTGATTGAAGGTCTCGTAAAGCGCATCTGGGAGGTCGCAGGCAGAGGCACTCTCCCAACTCGCTTCCCTGTCATGTCGTACTGGACGGCCATGACTCGCTTCGGATCTGACAAGCCAGACTTGCGATATGGATACGCTCTGCACGACATCTCCTCCGGCTTTGTCTCCTCGTCCGAGTCAGATCTGCCGAAGGGTGAAGCTGCAAGCGTCAGCCTCGAGATCCTGCCGTACCAGCATCACGCCGCCGGCTCGCTCTCCAAGAAGGAGCTCGACGGCCTTCTCTTGCCTTTGAAAGGCAAAGTCGAGCGCTTCCGCATCGCGTCCAAGGACAACGTTCACGAGCTAGCTGCGCTGCTGCTCAAGAAGAGCGGATTGACGCGAACCTTCCTCGCGCAGCTCGATGACGAGCTGTCTGCCTCCGAGGTCGACGTTGAGCACCTCGCTTCCACTCTGCGAAGCGCCATCGCTTTTGAAGCGCGTGAGTCTGACTCGGATCAGCCAGTCGACATCTTCGTTTCGCTGCGCGCGAACCCTCCGGAAGGCGGGAGCACCGCCCTTGGTGACGTGCGCAAGCTTCTCGCTGCCACCCTCGTCTCCAAGCGCCTCCTTGCGTTGGATGGCGACGCCTTTGCGTGGATCACCGAGTTTCCGCTCTTCACACTCGCCGATGAGGACAAGAACGCACTCTCCTCCTCTTCCGGTCGATGGCAGTCGAGTCACCACCCGTTCACCGCACCTGTCGCCTCCGATATCCCACTCCTCTCCTCCCCCGAGTCGATAGCGTCCATCCGCGGGCAGCACTACGACCTCGTCCTCAACGGTCAGGAGATCGGTGGTGGGTCGGTGCGCATTCACTCACGGAAGCTACAGGACCACGTCTTCGAACACATCCTCAAGCTCGATCCGTCGGAACGGGCGAGGTTTGCACACCTGCTGCATGCGCTGGATTGCGGTGCACCCCCGCACGGCGGAATCGCACTCGGGTTCGATAGGTTGATGGCGATCCTGTGCGACGCCGAGAGTATCAGGGATGTCATTGCGTTCCCCAAGCAGGGGTCGGGGGTGGACCCGCTCTTTGGATCGCCTGCGCCGCTACGCGAGCCCGGGGAGACTCAAACCGACGCAGAGAACCTTCTGAGGATGTACGCCCTCGCCAAATCCACACACAAGTAAAAAACAAACTAGAAATACATTTCTGTGAAGGAATCTAGATCATGTTGCGCAAGAGAACCTTGTAACACTCCTCATCGAACGCCTTTCCATCCTTGACGAAGAACTGGGTGTCCTCGAACGGCCGTCTGCAGGCGGAGCACGTGAAGCAGTCCGGATGGTACCTTCCACCCAAGGCGCTGATGAGATCGCCCACAATGGGTGCCTTGCACCCCTTGCACCTAGGCTTGTGCAGGTTGACATGGCATTTTTCGCAATACGGATACCCCTTGTGGACGATAAACTCCATCCCGCCATGTCGGACTTTCCCGTTCTCATCGGCCGTGGTCAAAGCTGGATCGCTGCCCGCAGCACTACCCGCCGCCTTCGGGTCCAGGAACGGATCGCCGCAGTTGGCACAGAAGAAATGCAGTTCGTGATAACATCGTTCTTCCGCTACGCCGTCGGTGCCCGTCAACTCGTCATCTTGGACTGTGATGTACCGCTCGTCCACGATGGGTGTGCGACAGTGGAAACAACGCTTGGAGAAGAGCTCGTGGTAGTCGAAATGGCAGTAGGGTAAGCCTTCGTGTTCGTAGAACGCGACGTGCTCGAGACCTTCACTGCAGTGTGCGCAGACGAAGCAGGAGGGGTGGAAGGTCGTCGAGAGAGCATGGACCACTTTGCCCGCGATCCACTTGCGACAGCCGTGACAGCCGGAGCCAGAGCCTACGGAGGAGGCGGATACGCGAGACTGGTCGATGGAGTTCCGAGCGGCTGGCGTGTGGGAGGTGCCGGCGCGTTGAGATTTGACAGAGGGCTCGGCGGAGAAGGAGACCGAGATCGAAGGCCCGCGACTGCCCGTGCTGGTTTGCGAGCGTGCGTCGTCGTCGTCGGCGCTCACCGAGATCATCGGACCCGGACCTCGGGAATCAGCGTCATCGTCGGCACCCGAGATCTGAATCGACGGTCCGAAGCCGTCGTCGTCGTCGTCGTTGCCAGGAAACACGATCGTCGGCACAGGAGCTTGTTGGATCACCTTTTGGCCCGGAGGAGGGCCAGCGCGGGAGACACTGCTGCCACGTCGACGCCGCGGCTTCTCTGGCTCCTCTTCCGGTGCGTCAAAGGTGAAGACGGGGAGCGTCGGCGAGGCTGAGGTGGGGGAAGCGACTGTTGGAGCGTCGTTCTGCTGGCTCATCGACATGCCAGCCATTGAGTCGACCAGCTGGGCTGGCTCATCGTAGCGCGCAGGCTGCTGTTGCTGGTGTTGTGGTTGTGTTGCCGAAGAGTAAGCGTCGTAGGCTGCGATAGGTGGCTGCGTGGCGTCCTGGAAGCGAGCTGGCGCCGAAGGAAGCGTGCGCTGAGACGTTTGAGGTTGTCCAGGATCCGGCAGGGCGCGAGCACGCACGGAGCCCGAATCGAACGAGCTGTTCCCGTTCGAACCGGCGCTCTGGCTGAATCTACGGGTCGGTTCTACAGAAGCAGGGACCGCTTCGACGTATGGCTGCATGCTTGTTGGGACGCCAATTGTTGCCGCCACAGGCTCACTCTGACTAGCTGGCAGCTCGTGCTGTGTCAACGGGCTACCAACCATCCTAGTCGCTGGCAAAGGCGGCGAAAAGGTAGTGCTGGCAAGGGCACTGCGAAGAGGCCTTCGTTGCGGAACGCCTCTGGCCATGAGCGCTTCAGCCGCCAGCCGGACGCTTTCTGTGCGATTCAAGGCGGTGGGAGGCAGCCGAGAAGTCGTCCCTGCAGTTGGCGATGCCGGAGCACTGCCATCGCCTTTGCTGAGACTGGACGAGACGTAGTTGGATGCCGCCGAGGTGGTGGCCGAAGAGCCTGATGGTGGTCGAGGAAGGTCACGTCGCACACTGCCACGGTTCGCAAGACCGACGGGTCCGATGACGGGTGAGCCTGGAGCCGATGGGTTGGAGGAGGTCCGGGTTGGTTGAGGCAAGGGCCGGCGGACAGAGCCAAAGGACGAGCTGGTGGAGTGCCTGCTCAGATCAGTCGCGTATGCTGACTGCGGCGGCGTTGCAGACATGGGTGGAGAGGCGACATGCATGGGTGGGAAGACATGCGTGTTGGACGAGTTGGGAGGCGGAGCGACCGGCGAGACGGGGCCAGCAACGCTGGCCTGCTGAGGCGAGGTCATCACAGCACCGGAATGCTCCCATGGCTGTTGGACGGCAGGCGAGGCGACTGTAGGATAGTAGGGCGTGGTCTGCTGGTATATTGGTTGGTTTTGCGGTGCTGTCGCCCAGGGCTGCTGCTGTTGTACGGGCACGCCGTATTGTCCATTGTAGGCCATCGCGCCGTTCTGAGTAGCCATGTACTGAAGATGAGAGGAGGGTCCTCCATTGATCTCGACGTGTCTCGTGTGTGGTTGAGCTGAGAATTGCGAAGGGACAGCAACGGCCGTTGCGCCTGGCGGAGCGTACATCGTCGAGTGCATTGGCAGAACGCCGTTTTGCGGCGGCGGTGGTTGTGGTGCGTAGACCATGCTTTGCGCTTGCTGCGGAGCAGCATATGATGCGGCTGGCGCGCTGTCTCTACGCTCCCTCGCATAGCCTATCCAAGGCGAGCCGGAGCCAGTTTCTGAAAAGCTTTGGGCCATGGCTGCAGATGTGGGAGGCGGCTGCGCGTGCGCATACGCAGCCGCAGCATCGTGAGCGACGGTATAAGGCTGCTGTGGTGCTACGTAGGAAGGCTGCTGCTGATATAGCTGCTGTTGTTGGTGTTGCTGCTGCTGCTGCTGCTGCTGCTGCTGCTGCTGCTGTCGCTGCAGCTGATGCTGATAGTTGTAGTACGCGCTGGGAGCAGGTGGCATGGGGCTCGAGGTGACCTTGGAGCGCACTCTCTTGACCGGAGACGAAGACCTGGACGATTCAGCCGCAGCCGCCTCCTTGAGGTCGCTGACAGAGTTCCTGCGCGAGCTGGGGGGTTCCGGAGAGTGTGAGCTTGGGGGGAGATATCCACCGCGGGTATGCGAGTCGTTGCTGACGCTGTCCTTTTCCGCCGATATGGGCTCATAAGAGGAGCTTCTGCGGGGTTTGCGAAGCGTGGACGAGGGCGGCGGAGCAGGCGCGTGGGCCAGCCACGCCGCCGACATGTCTGATGACTCTTGAACTGGCATCTTGGAGAGATTGTGGATAGCTGTCGAGCTAAGTTTGTGAGCTGATAGCTGTTGCAAGATTGTGCTCCCCGCTGAGTCGCGGAACGGCACGGGTCGAGCAGAACAGCTTCAGCGAGAAGGAACGTAAGAGCGAGTGAGCGTCTGAAGGTGATGGTGATGAAGAAGCGAGATCAAGGCGGAATCGATGCTGCATTCAACAGAAGTGACAAGCGCATCCGAAGCTCAGGCACCGCACACCACGCTCAGCACACACACACACACACACTCAGCATGCCCCTCAGGGTTCACACGACAAAAACATGGCTTTCAAGGGCAGTGCAACGCGCAACCCAACAGAGACCAACACTTTGCTAAATTTCAACTTCTCGCTCTCTCTCTGCTCTTCCAGCGGTGGAAATTCGAGAAAAATAGCGACTTTTTGTTAAGGGGCACTTGTGACGCGACGGTGCGTTTCGGCAAGCGGAGCGACGGAGACTTGGCTTTGCTGAGCTAGAAATTTACCCTATTTTTCCGTCCTTTTTAGATTTCATGCTTCCGGTGCGCAGCGCAGCACACCCTTCACCGTATCGAGATAAGTTAACTTCGAGAGATGAGACAGGGGCTTCTCTATCGGGAGCAGATGACGAAACCATTTGCACGCTACGCTTGCTTCGCTCGGCTTGCAGCGGTATCCGGTGATCTCTGCCAGGACATCTTAAGGTATGAGGCGAAGGGATCTAGTGAGTGCGTCGTGCTAACGGAGCAGTCTGTGCTGTCAGTAAAGGGTTTGAACAACGCTTATGTAATCATCATCACGTGATGCACCAAGAAGGAAGATTGCGCTTCTCACTGGGAAGAATCCGACTTTTCTCGGCCTCGAGGCGTGCGGTCTACGGCATTCTTTCTTCGCAGTCACATCTAGTCCTCTCCGAGTCATCATCTGCATCACAACCCTCTACTTTCACCAACGGCAACTTTCGCACGCCATGTCGGCTCCCATCCGAACCTTGCAAAGAGGCGCAACTCGCGCCGTGACCAAGAGCAGCGCTGCTCGCGGTTCTAGAAGCGGCTCTGCATCCTCCTCGGCCAAGCCGATCGCATCGTCGTCTTCCTACTCGGCGAGGTCCGACAGGCATGACAAATTGAAAAGGAGCAAGAAGGACGGCATCCTTCGCAAGGCCGTTGAAATGTATCATCTCACTCCCTCATTCCTTCCGAGCCCACAGCAAGCATCTCTAACCACCTCGGCTGGCAAGAAGAACACCAACACCTCCTCGGCGTGGGAATCTGCGCTCGACAACACAATTTACTCCTCCATCCTCAACACCGACTCGGTCTCTCGCCGCTCGCCAAACCTGGTACCAAGAGGCTTGTCCGAGTATTCCCGCGAGCAGTCGGTGCGTGCCGCCTCCGTGTCTTCTTTCGGCAACTCGGAAGAGATGGCCTCCAGCCGCAGCAAGGACTACGGTTCGTTCGCCTCAGACCTCACCAGCACCACCTTCCTCACACGCAGGGAACGCGAAGCAGCTGCAGCAGATCAACAGTCACAGCTGTCCAAGGACTCTTCCTCTTTGCAGAGCTCCGGAAGCGGTCTTGAGCATTTCACCGACGCCGACATTGCCATGTACCAGAGGAGGCACAACCATGCAGCCGGCGCTGGCGCCTCTCACGGCCTCGACAGCAGCCGATACTCTGGCGCCGAGAGGCTGACGCACCTCGATCGCATTACGCCCGGTGGAAACGAATGGTACCGAAGTCAAGGCCTCGACACACGTAGCGCTCGAGTTCGCGACGCCATCTTTGGCACCATCAACGGTGAACTGCCCGGTCTCGAGGTTGTCCGCGAGAGGATCGCAAAGATGAGGCGTGGGAACCCAGCTAAACGTCGCGCCGCCAAGCAATGAGCTAGAAGAATGGCTCCGCACCACTCCGCCCTCCTTTCCGTCGGCTTGGCTCAAAGCGGTCTCGGACGCTTTCCGAATTGGTCCCTTTGGGCTCGTTACCTCTGTACAATCACCTTGCATCGTCACATATCTTGGCAATTTCCATCCTTCCCACCGCTGGCTCTGTAACAATTCTAGGCTCAGCAGTGGCGCATTCATCGGCTGTGCCGACAGCGGCCGTCTGCGTGCGGGACTTTGCACTCAACCCTGCTCAGCCAATGGGATCGAGGCCGCAAGACGCGCAAGACCTCGGTCTCGAACTTTGCGCTTGAGCAACGAGTTTGCAGAAGGACCGATGGCTCTCCGGCCTCAGCTGCCTGGCATTTCTATAAGAAGAACATCTCTTGCTGCGTCGATTCTCCTCTCAGTGACCCATTCGCCCATCCTTCCCTCTAACCATCTCCATATCCCACAGCCCGTCGCGTTCAACGCAGAACAGAGAGCTCGTTTCTTCGACTCGGTCCTTGCACCCAGCCATGTCGTGCGACTCGGCCTTTTCCTCCTTCGACCAGATAAGTCCGTGCAATAGCTCGGAGGAACAGAAGCCCCCGGCACCACCCTACGGCCCCCTGCCCAAACCTCCCGTCGTTGTCTTCGGCTCGCAAGGGTCCGACTTTCTAAGCAGCCTCGACGTCATCCTCGGGCTCTCACGCCACTACGCTGAACTATCTGCATTCTTGTCTCTCGCTTTGGACGCCGTCCGCACCGAACTTCAGAGCGTCGCGAATCGTCACATTGACGCCTCAGCATCCGGCAGGCCTACTACGATCGAGCAGCGACAATCCGAGGTGGAGCTGCTGACCGTTCTTCCACCGTTTGACTGCTTCTCCGATCTCCGGACCCTCGTCGACTTTCATCGCCGCAACCATATCACAGACCCGGTCATCAATGGCGTGCTTCTCTGTCTTCTCCAGACCGCGAGCGTCGTTGCAGTCTACTGTGTGGCGCAAGCGAATGGTCCCGGCAACGAGCCCATGACTGCTTCAGTCCAGCTCAACGAGGCTTGGAAGGCTCTGTCCGAGCCCTGCTCCCATCTCTTGGGCTTCTGCACCGGCGCTCTGTCCGCATTCTCTTTGCGTCAATTGGCCGAAGTCCAGTCTTCTACTATGCCACTCAACATTTGGACGTACGCCAAGGATGCGATCAAAGTGATTCGCATCTGCTTTTGGATCAGCCTCCGTTCGGCACATGCTCGCCTGCGCCTCACTCAAGGGGACAGTATCGCGACGCCGTCTGAAAACTGGAGCCTGATCGTCTCGGTCAAGGACTCGGACTACGTCGAGAAGGTCCATTTGCGTCTTCGGCTGTTCAACGAACTGGAGCAACAAAGGCCCCTCCACGAACCCGTGCCTCTCGTTGTCACGGCCATTGCGCTCAATCAGATATCGATCGGAGGCCCACCAAAGCAGCTGGCACGTTTCAAATCGTACTTGATCGAGCACATGGGTGCGAAGTGCCGAGTCTTGCCTCTGAAGATCTACTCGCCCTATCACACGCCAGCACTCGATCACGACGTAGATTTGGTCATGCTCGATCTTCAGCGTCGAAGTCTGATCAACGACAGCCCCTTACCGCCAAGCCAGAAGGTCCTGTGGGAGACGGTCAATGCGAGCGTCCTCCGCGAGGACAGCTTGCGCGCTGCGCTGCGAGTCATCATTGCTAGCAACCTGTCTGCTACGGCAGATTGGGTCAAGGTCTCCGAGGAGCTGGTTCTTCATCAGGCAGACTTTGGGTCCGCGCCACTGGCAAGCATGGTCATCGTCTCGGTCGGTCCAGGCATCGGTCTCGCAGCCGACCTTCAGACGCGTCTCTTGCGTCTGAGAGCCGAGACGCCTTCGTCAAATCTAGTCAAGGTGATCGACGTCCCTTCTCTGCTCTCAGAGCACATGAGCAACTTAGGACATTCGATCCCGAAGGCTGTCCTTTTGCCACAGCCGGATGTGGACGGCGAGGAGATCGTCGTCGTGTCAATGGCTTGCCGCTTCCCTGGCGATGTCCGCACTCCCGAGCAGCTTTGGACATGCCTCGAGACCGGAAGATCCACAGTCACCGAGATCCCCAAGCACCTCTTCGACATCGACGCATACTACGGAGACGGTATTAATCAGACGAAGGCGAGGCACATGCATGCGTTGCCCGAGGACGTAATCAAGTCGATGGACGCTCGTCTCTTTAGCATGTCGCCCAAGGAGATCGAGCAGCTCGATCCGCAGCACCGTCTCGTCATGCTTTGCTCCTACGAGGCTCTCGAGCGAGCAGGATACTCGGCCGAAGCCAATTCTCCTTCCGCATTCGATGGCAAACGCATCGCCGTCTGCATGTCAGCGAGCTGGGACGACTATCGAGAGAACGCCAGCTGGAACATCGGAAGCTACTTCATCACGGGCAACATTCGCGCCTTCATTCCAGGCCACGTCTCATTCTCGCTGAAGTGGGAAGGACCCAGCGTGTCGGTGGACAGCCTCGAGTGCTCAGCGGTATCGGCGATCCAGTGGTCTAGGCGAGCACTTCTCAGTGGACAGTGCGACGTGGCACTGACGGGCGCCGTCACCGTCTTGACGCAGCCACAGATGTTCATCGCCATGGACAAGGAAGGCATCCTGTCCCGCACCGGCACGAATGCCACCTTTTCCTCCAAGCTGGACGGCAAGACAAGGGGTGATGGCTGCGGCGTCTTGCTGTTGAAGCGGCGCTCAACCGCACTTACAGACGGAGACACGATCCTGGCCACGCTTCCGGCAGCGAGAACCACCTATCATGGATACAGCGACGACGTCGAGGAGGCTGGCGCTCTTCAGTCGCAATTCCTGACTCGGGTTATGTCCGAGGCAGGCGTAAGCGCGTCCGACATTGTGCACATTGAAGCGAGCGGCTACCATACTCAACAAGGAGAAGCAACTGAGTTCGACTCTTTCAAGCGCTTGCTGGACCAGGCTCACGTTTCACACGACACAAGACCAGAAGATCGGATCTCAGTCGCGAGCTCGAGGCCAAACATCGGTGCAGGCGAGGCGGTGTCCGCGATGGCGTCGGTCATCAAGGCCGTGCTGATGCTCGAGCGGGGAAGCGTTCCACGTCAGGTCTCGATCACTCACCCCTCCGAGCTGCAGGTCAAGATCGCTGAAGCATGCGCCAGCTCTGCCTTGTTCGTGCCGATCCAAGCACAGATGCTGCCATCTGCCCAGGATCGAAAGGGTCAGCGGCTCATTCTGGTCAACAGTCTTGCCAGCACCGAGTCGCACGGCGTCGTGCTGGTCGGAGCTCCTACGAGCGGCGGGGATGCAGCGATGCATCACTCGGCCTCCAATATTGCATCCACACGGACCGAAACAGCCTGGATCTTTGTGCTCTCTGCGAAGACCAAAGAGTCTGCGGACATGATGAAGAAAGCTCTCATCAACTTTCTTCAGCGAGAAGTCAACCTGGCCGATTTGAGCTACAGCCTGGCTTGCCGTAGAACGCACCACCCTTTTCGCCTTAGCGTGGTCGCCTCCGATCAAGATGAGCTCATCCGCCGCCTTCGCGGGGCCGACTTTGTCGAGGCAAAGGCACGCGCCGACCTCCCGCCGCTCGGCTTCGTTTTCCAGACTCCCGATCCCTCATCGTGCCAATCTCTGCAGGCTTGCTTTGTGTCGACTCTCGGACTCCGCAATCGATATGAAGACCTCACTGTCGGCTTGGTCTCCACCAACAAGGCTCAGAGTCCAGACAGGGACTTGCGTCTCATGCAACTTTGCGTATTTGCGCTCCTGACCGACTGCGGTGTACACCCGTCCGCCATCGAAGGCGACGCTAATGCCAAGCTTCTCGCCATGCTTTCAGAGCAATGCGCTGATGTGCAAGAGGCGCTGTCGACAATTTCGAACAGTGGCGGTCCCGACCGTCACCTGTGGATCAAGATCGATGATATCGTAAGCATTTCTGCTCCTTCGTCGGCAGGGCAGATCACCCAGTCTCCTCAGTCCGCGGATCCCAAAGAGCTGCACACGTCTCTGCTAGCCACGCTCGGACGCTTGCACCAGCAAGGGTACACAATTCGTTGGATCGAGCTCTTCCGGCCCCACCTAGCGAGACTTTCTTTCATCAACACGCTGCCAACCTACCCGTTCCATCTGCAGCAACACTGGATGGAGTACCACGATCGCAATCTACTGCCGCGCGTGCCTCTCATCCAAGGTTCTTCTCCTGCTGTCGAAAAGACTGTATCAGAGCCAGTCGACACGAACGACTTTGAGGCTCCTACACAACTGCTGCTGACCAAACAGATCGGGGCCCAGCAAAGCTCGAGAACATATCGTGCAGACCTCGCTGAGGAAGCCGAGCTCATTTTCCTCGAAACAAGATCGCCTTGTGCTATGATGGTGGAACTGATGGCAGAGTCGATCAGAGAGGCAACTGAATCAATCGAGGGAACGAATCTGGACTGCGACTTGCTTCTCTGCGACCTCGGCTTCCGTGACGCAGCAGAGCACTGGTCTCGCGACCGCTCCATCACCATCTCAGTGCAATGTGCCAAGCGGCTGGCGTCGGAAACCGAAGGATACGTCCAGTTCCGAGCAGGAGATGACACTCCGCGGATTGGCGGCTGTGAGTTCGTTTTAGTGGAGCGCGGGTCTATATTGAAGCGATGGTCGATTCTTCAGGGGATGGTTCTCGACAGGATCGCCGCCGTCAAAGAGGAAGGCGAGCTGTTCTCCGCTACGTTCGTCTACAAGACGCTGCTGAGCGACCCGGACAGCAGAGTAAAGTCCATTAGAGCCGCCTATCTCAGTGCTCAATCATCCGATGCTGTCTTCAGTATGGCCGTCCCGCCGCGGGAGCCCGGCTCTGCACACGGGATCTCTGCGCTGCCTTCTATCACCTCTGGCCTCGAGGATTGCGCTCGCTGGTATGCGCACAGTATGGACTCTCAGATCGACGCGGGTCTCGGATTCCTATCCGTGGAGGAGCTCGTGCTCTGCAATCATTGGCTCGAAGAGCTAGACAGGGCTTCCAGCACAAGACCCGGCTACGTCGTCTACATCTCGCGGTCTTCCCGCGAGCCAGTCGTGTCTCCGCACGAATTCGGAATCAACATTCTGGTTCTCAACACTGACGACGAAATCGTCGCAGAGCTCAGCCGTGTCCGTCTCGGCGAAGTCGATCGCGTCCCAAGCAAAGCTGCGTCTAGACAAGCGCCCGTATCGCCCCCTCTTGCTGCCGCCGGTACGAAGGCAGCTCCTTCCGAAAACCCGACAATCTCGGCACATGATCCCGCTCCACGGGTGGCTGCTACTCAGCCGGTCGACAGCAAGGCTGTCCCCGTGGCGTCGACAGGTCGTGCGATGGACACCTTCAACAAGGTGCTGGGAGTCCTAGCGGCGGAGTTGGGCATCGCGGTCGAAGAGATGAAGCCCGGCGTCAAGTTCGCCGACCTCGGGCTCGACAGTCTCATGTCTTTGGTGTGTATCTCAACCTTGGAGGCTTTGCATCTTGGCTTTGAGATCCCGCAGTCGCTGTTCCTGGAGTGCGACAGCCCTGCAGAGCTGCTGCAATGGATCCGAGAGCAAGCTGGTGACGACGCCGATGGTGATGACACCCAGCACCAGGGCGCTGTCCCCGCAACGGCTGCAGAGGAAGCTCCAGCCAGCCCGCACTTCCCCCCGATGGCAGATGTAAGCCCAGCACAGATGAGCAAAGACTCGAAAGAGACGCACAGCAACTCGGCCGTCGAGGAAGCCTTTAAGACGATCCGGACCACCATCGAGACCGAGCTTGGTGTGGCAGAAGGAAGCATCGACGGTGAGGCCAACCTCGCCGACCTGGGTATGGACTCGCTCATGTCGCTGCTCGTCCTCGGCAACCTGACCGGAGCGCTACCGATCGAGCTACCGTCCTCGCTCTTCATGGACTGCACCTCACTTCGTGAGATTCACGCGTTCCTAGCAGCCGAGCTCGGTGAACCCTCCAGCAACGGTGCGACCGTCTCGGAAGCCGTCACACAGCCTCCACCCGGCAAAGCCGTCAACATCATCGTCCCTCCCGCAAAGAAGCCCGTACTCCTGCGCCAGGGCAGCGACCCATCCTGCAGTACACCGCTGTTCTTGCTCCCCGACGGCTCCGGCATGTCGACTGTCTATCAGAACTTCCACGCCATTGACCGCCCCGTCTACTCGCTCAACTCGCCGTACCTCGCCGACGCCACCACCTGGACCGGCGGAATCGCCCCGATTGCACAACACTATCTCGCGAGCATGCAGCTCGTCCAGCCCATCGGTCCATGGCTTGTCGGCGGATGGAGCTTTGGCGGCATGGTCGCCTTCGAGATCGCACGCTTGCTCGCCACGTCCAACGGTCCCGCCAGCGACAGAGTCGCGGGTCTGTTTTTGCTCGACTCGCCTTGTCCGATCCTCTACCCGCCTCTACCGATGAGCATCGTGGATTGGATCTTCACTGCGCCCGAGGTGAAGGACATTGCCCCGCCTGCGCTCTCCGATAAGCTCGTCAAGCATTTCAAAGCGACGGTGGACAGCCTCGTCGGGTGGAAGCCGTCACCCGTCGAGCTAGGCGACAAGAACAAGATCCCAAAAACGTGGTATATCGTCGCCAACCATCCGCTGCCTGGTAAGATCGCCGATATCAAGGAGGTCAACGAGACGGTCAAGTGGCTCTTCCGCCCCAACCGAGCGGAGAAGAGCGGCGCAGATGGATGGCAGCAGCTGCTCCCGGTGGGAACGATCGGCGTCAGCCCGATCGCAGAGGCGAACCACTTTACACTCGTACGCGAGCCGGCGGTGGGCAGTGTTGCGCAGTGCTTGCAGGAAGCTTGTCGCGCGGCGTTGCCCCTTTAGGCTCCAACGAGCGCCTCGGCGTCTCAGTCCCCGTCAACGCTTCGGTACAAGTCGTACCCTGATCCATACTCACTGTATGACCTCACTACTCATCCGCTTCAGCATCGACCCAAAAAGATCAGTTCTCGTATCGTTCAGCCTATGTCGCCCAAAGTTTGTGTCAAATCAAGTGTCTCCCCTCCTCATGATCGCCTGTGACGAGTGTGAAGTCTGATGTGGGGCGTCTTCCACGAGCTGCATCCCGCTGGGGCTTGGCCTGCTGAGCTTTGCCCTTCTGGCAGATCCCCAACGAAACCAGCGCCCTCCATCTCTCGATGCTGGCTGCACGTGCCTCGGTCCGAACACACCAGAGCTGACCCGTTCAAGCCGTCTCACTTTTCTGCCACTCACGACACTCGCACACACGCCACACAAGAATGCTTCTGAAGATCTTCTCTTGCACTCAACTCGCCTCCCGCGTGTCACATCGCCCTCGCCCGCAACCACCTACCCGTTCTGACTAGCAACAAACGCCGCTGTGTCCCTAGCATTCTCCAAATCGCCCAGTGTCTTCTTATAACTCCCCAACCCAGGTACGGCATGCAACATCCGTCCAAACCCTTCCAACAACACATTGAAGTTGTCCATCAGCACCTTCAGCTCCACCTCATCGCGCGGAACCGCAATCAGTTGATCCCAGATCTCGTCGTGCAGTTGTTGGGAGCTCAACTTGAGCACGTCGGCTACCATGGCTGGGTAAGGATGGCGCCAGGGGGCATTGGCGCTGTCTTCGATTGGGGTGAAGTCTTCGACGGGTGAGGCGTAGAAGGAGCCTTTGCGACGTTTTCCATCGCTAGGTGTGGGGGTGAGACGACCGACGCGAGCGGCGGATTCGAGTTTGGACGATTCGGCGTTGATCAGCGACGCCATGCGGGCCATACCCAATGCGGCGGATTTGCCGATCATTCGACGTTCCATTGCGGACAGTAGCATGTTGGAGCGAAGCTGTGGACGGGTTGGCTTCGGAGGTGAACCACCTCCGGTTGCGCCTTTCGGAGACGTACCACTGGGAGAACTCGTCGTCATCGGCGAAACGCCACTCGACGGAGAACTCTTCCCACTTCCCCCTCCAGCGTTGAACGCTTGAATCAACTCCAACTCCTTCGCCTCAATCCTCTTGGCCAACTGCACAAAGTGCAACACCCCCAAATGGATATGGATCACAAAAAAGCTCAACATCGTCCTCCCCTGTCTGGACAGATGAACAAACTCGTCCAGCGCTCTGGCGATGAGATGATCAAAGATGTTATGAAACAGCCGGATGGCCTCGATGACGTTCATGACCATCTTTTCGATTTTCTCGCTCACCATTGCGGCGCCGCCGGCGGCGATGAGCGCTTGGACCGGGTCGGTGGTGGAGAGCAACGCTTCGGAGGCGGTATGAAGCACTCCGACGCGACGCCAGATGTACACTTCCACTGCAGTGCCCCAAGCGACGCCGAGGAGGACCACTTGCTCGTTGAGCCCGCCACCCGGGTTGTTGATGTTGATGATCGAGCCGCCTGCGGGGCCGGTGGGCGCATCGGGGTCGTTAGCGCCGATCAGCACGTCGAACGGAATCGCATTGGCTAGAGCGCCAGGATTTCGGAGAAGGGCGGGGATGAGATCCCGTGCACACGCAGCACGCTCCATGATGCGCCGCGACATCTCCGTGTCGACGGGGAACGTCCCATCGTCCTCCGGATCTTCGTGCATGTACGACTCGGATGTACCGGGGAACGCGCCAGGGGGGGCCTGACGAGAGGGGAGGAGGTTGAGCGTGTCCTGCATGGCAAAGAGCGCTTCTGCTGTGCGGTCGGGGGCACTACCATCGCTACCAGGTGAGGGGACGGGACCGTGCTTGACGCCAGGATCGGTACCCGACCCGATGCCGGACGACTGATAGACCAGGTTGTCTTCGCGCATGCTCGATCGTCGGCCTTGCGAGACGTGCGTCACCGTGTCGATCAACAGACCGAACCAGCCGAGCGATTCGGCGAGTCCCATGAGATCCGTGGCGATGCGTCGCTGCTGTTTGACTTGCGGGTTGGCGCTGAGCAGCGGGTTGGTCGAGGCCTTGTCCACCGTGCGTACCAGGTCGCGGCATCGTTTGACGAACCACTCGAGATGTCGCGAGGCGGTTTCCAGTGCAAAAGCAGCATCTTCGGCGGCATCTGCACCCGATCGAGCGCCTCCCTCGGTCAAAGCGCCGGGTGGGGGAGCCGTGACGCCGAACAAGAACAGCCCGTATGCGATACGGCAAGACCGACGTGGCGCCAATTGCAAAATGAGCGATCTCGCGCGCTTCCACGCTGCCGTCGCGATCCGATCGTGCGCATCACGGTAGTTCTTGCCGTCCACCGCCTTGCGCGAGGCTGCATCCGCACTGGTAGATGTCATCTCGTCATCCAGTCTGAACTGGCAGGCGTATGCCAACATGGCAGCCTTGACCGCTTCATCGATCATCAGATCCCTCTTGGATCGCCTCCAGCCGCCAGGACCCATGCCCATGATGTCGGAGATGATGTCGCTGAACTGCGCCGATGCCTCCTGTGCCGTTCCAGCGCCACGAGGCTGCGACGCGCTCGCTTGTGTGAACTGCTGCGGCTTTTCGCCCCACACGCCCATCTCTCCACCGAGGTGATCGAGCCCGTAGACGAGGTAGAAGAGGTTCGGCTGGTGTTCTTTGCGTGCTGAGGGAGCGTCGACGTGCCAGCTGGCCCAGAGTTTTTGAGATAGATCCAATGCGTCGAGTCCGATGGCGCTCTTGATGTATGCACCGAGATCGCCGTCCGTGCGCAGCGGCGAGCAGGCTCTCGACAGCCACAGGTTGGCGTTCGGCTCGACGGTGTGGACGTAGAGACGCATGCGGTTGGTAGTGAGGAGCAACGAGTCGGCGCGCTGGGCGAAACGGACATTCTGCCCCGTGGTCGACAGCATCTGCGACTCGTCGCGATTCTGGAATGTTTTGAGCAGCTGTTCTCGCGCTTCTTGGTTGTGTGGACCGGGCGAGCTGCCATCGCTCGAGATCGATTTGGATCGCATGCCGTTTTCGGACGTGTCGTCGGCGATCGCGCGCTTCTTGCTGCCCTGGGGTATCGGCTCGTCCTTGCTTTGAGCGGACTGCTTGCTCTCCCGCACAGAGTCGGCAAAGTTGGTGGTGCACTCGATGCCTCGCCGTTGACAGTTGGAGCATACCAATTTGTTGCTGCCAGAACCCGAGATGCTTTCTTGTCCCGCGTCCGACATCTTTCGCTTGTCTCCAGTGTTTCCCGTCGACATCTGCTCGTCGTCGTTGCCCTGTGATACGTCGTTGCCATCGGCGTCGAGACGCAGCTGGAAGTCGCAGCCTCGCTTCGAGGCACGACACTGGTCGCAACTGATGTTCTGCCTTCGGCGTGTTCGGCGGCGAGGTGGGATGCCGTCCTTCGAAGCGGCTCCAGAGGTCGAGCCGGCCGATATGCTTCCGGACCTGTTGCCATCGTGAGCGTACGAGGGTTCTGCAGCATCCTGATCTCCGTCTGTACCCTTCGCTCCCGTGCCGTCGAAGTCAGGTTCCGACTTGATCTCGGTGATACGTGCGAAGCCTGCATCGTCCAGGATGGCAGCAGCCGAGTCGAAAGGGTCAGAGCCGCCGTTATGGCCATTGTTGGCGGAGAAGAGAGAGTCGAACTGTCCATTCTGATCAGTTGCGAAGCCCGACGAGGGGTCATTGGGATCCAACGAAGGCGGCGGGATCATCAAGTTGAGGTCGAGAGGCATTGATCCATCCGTCGGCCAAACCGTGCCCGGCGCAGCTACTGAATAGAATGGCTCGTCCAGCGTCTGACCAGCGATGTAGGCTTCGGCGATAGGATCCTCGAAGGTTGTGAGATAGGCGCGTTTTGCGTCGACGGTCTGGTCCTTGGAGCTCGGTGGAAGTAGGGCTTGCTGCATAGAAGCCGAGCTTGCCGGGAACTGATGGGAAGAGGGACCAGCAGCAGCGTTCGTTGCGGACGGAGGGAGCGAACGAGGAGGCTGCATAGCTGGTGCCTGCTGATGCTGCATGAATGGCTGTGAAGATGAAGGAAAGGTGGGTTGATTCGGCTGAGAAGAAGCGCCTGACGAGCTGAACGGAGGCGATTGGAAAGTGAACTGCTGCGAAAAGTTCTGCTGCGGTGTCGTGGGCGACTGCATGTGTGACTGCATCTGAGGATGGAACTGCGTCTGCTGGTGAGGCATGGCCGGGGCTGGGAAGCCGGTATGAGGCGCGCCTTGACCAAATGGCTGCGAATGCTGCTGTTGGTGCTCATCGCGAGATTGCTGTGGGAAGAAGTTGGGAGCCGGTGGCCTGAACATATTGTCCTGCGAGGGACCCTGCATGATGCAGTGGACCGTAGAGGCTCGATTGTTCTGGCCGTTGAGTCGAGAGAGTCCGCTGAGCCAAGCTAGTTATACGCCTAATGTTTGCAAGTGCACTCACGGCTCCATGGCCAAGCACAATTGACAGAGCGAGAAGTGGGTGAGATATATGGGTATCAAGCCTGACTACCGGCAAAGCGATCCGCTGTTGTCCGGTGTCTTGATATCCGGCGGGTGGGCCCTGTCAAGAAGGTTTGCGGGACGGGTGATGAAAGGCTAGAGCGGTCGCTCGTGATGCGTCGTCGGGCTGCGACGACTGAGCAGGCGAAGGTGTAGCTCGAGCCCACTTGTCCGTCCGGAATGATCGAGCTCGTCGGGAGATGTGGTGGGGTGGGCGGCGAGCTCCACGTTGGAGGCTGCTGCTCCTCTCGTGAAGATGAATGAGCTTGTTGCCGGTGGATTCAGGCGACTGATGAGGATGCCGTCCGGACTGCGAATGAACAGCGGTGGGAGGATGTCGTGAGAAGCCAAAGCGAGGTCGAAACGGGGGTTGCCAGTGGGACAAATGAGGCGATACACAGATGAGCTCGGTGTGATGCCGGTCGAATCCACTTGAATATGCGGCAATGCTGGTGGTGTCGAGGAGACTAGAGTGGAGATGGATGCGAAGGCAAGGAAGCCCAAGATGTGAGCTGCCAAAGACGATCAGCTGCTCAGGGCCAAAAAGGTGGAGAAACAAAGCCGTGCGGAAATGCGGATGGAGACAGGCTCAGCTGCCTTGCTCGCCAACCCACAGGCGAGCTGAGTGGCTGCAGCTGCAGCTGCTGTGAAATGCAATCATGAGTGGAGTGTGCTGCAGTGCAGCTCAAAATTGCGAAAAAGACCGCGCCCCGTGCAGCAGCAGCAGCTCTTCTCTCATGCCCTCCAGAGCTTCCATCGGAAAGAGACTCATCTGCGATACGATTCGCTCTCGGACCGCTACTCATCGGTGCGTCCTCATCCGAAGAACTAAGCTCGAAGATCATGATTGGATGCCACGCAGAGCTCATGGGTGCCTGTCAGTGAGAGAGCTTCAACAGAGACGAGCATGTGAGCAGAGAGACAGACAGCTGAGAATTCGGCTCGAAATTGCGGAGGAGGGCCGCCAGAAGGGACAAAACCGCGGATGAGACGGCGCAGCGAAAGAGGCAAGATCAACGGACGAGATTGGGAAACAAGGCTCGGTCTCGCTCCTTTCCCTGCCACTTGCTTGCTGGTCCTTCGCCTCCAAGGGCGACCAAGTTTGTTCGCTGCGCCCAACTGAGAAGCGTGGAAAAGCGACGGCAAGGTGGGCGGAAGCGGAGTTTCAATTGTTGGGCTGAAGAGGCTCAGCTGCCTTCCTGCGCCGACAAGCTTGAGCCTTTTCCAGGCAGAGCACCCCAGCTGCACGGAAAATCCGGTAACATTTGCTTTCCGAGGACCGACTGAGCGAGCAAGGCCTCGGAACACAGAGCCTTTCGCGTGGGAAAAAGCCCTCTCTCGCTTGCAGCCAAGGATCCAGCCAACGGAAGTACCGAGCCGAGCCAACCTTGTTTGCGTCCTCAAGCGAAAGGGCGATCAATCATGTGGTCACCCTGAGATGATTGTGATTGCGGAGATGCCCGTTTGTCACATTGTCATGTCACCTTGTTAAGAGAGGCCGAACAATGGGCCGCTTCGAAGATCCGACGTTGATCTGCGGCTGCTCCGGGCCGAGTGCCGTCTTCTCTCCTCATCTATGGTTTCATCGGGCTCGAGCTTACTTCATTGAGAGCTGCTCGGATGAACGCCGGTCCTCGTCGGATGAGTTTTTCCCACGGTCAACGAAGCTCGAGTCGCAAGCTCAGATGAAGACGGTTCATCACACGCTTAGCCCGCACGACACAGATGCTGCTCATTCTCTGCGCAGCAGCCACAATCACGTCTGTCAGAGCCGATCTATGTGGAATGGGTTGTGATGATTGACGGCGCTCCACTCATCAGCTCAAGCAGTCCGCCAACTTGACCTCCAACTCGTTGCCCAGCTGCAAGTCGAACTTGGCAAACGTATCCAGGATCTCTCGTATGCTGGCTGTCAAGCTCCCATCGACGCTCTGTGCGCCACTGCTCCTCCATGCCTCCCTCAGCTGCTGCTGGCAATCGTTTCTGCCGCCAGTCTGTTGTTGAGGTGCTTCCTTCTTGGATTTCGATCCCTCCGTGGCGGTGCTGCTCGATGCTGCAGCTTCGACCTTGTTGAGCTGCTCATCGATGCTGATGGCTCGCTGTTCGAGCTCCAGCCCCAAGCGTCGGATCTCGCTGTCCAGATCCACCATGGCGACAAGGATGCGCTTGATATCTTTTTGCACCGAGCCGTACGGATCTTCCGTCAGACTGTGACAGAGCAAGTTCTTGAGCGTCTGAGTCGCGGCCACCGTCCGAGCTGCATCACGGCCGACGATCGAAGCGGCTTCCGAGGCAGGCGAGTCTCCGAGCAGCATTTGTCGGCGACGTGGGCCGAAGAGCACATGCTTGGCGTCCTCGGGCACAAACTTCCACCCAATGGCTGCGATGCTCAGGACTGCCTTTTGGATGCTTTGCAAGCTGAGCACCGAGGATGTGTTTGCCGAGGCCTTGCTGTTGACGGCTGAGCCAGCCGTTGTGGTGGCCGTTGCGGCACTGGACTGAGCGGACGCGCTCCCCTCTTTGCCTGTGGTGTTGCCGGCAGCAAGTTGATCCCAGATCGACGGTGCGGATTGTGTGCTGCTGTTCTGCTGCTGTAATTGTTGCTGAGTCTGCTGCTGCGCTGCGGGCGGCGCCTTTGTCTGGACTGCGGGCGGCATCTGACCGCGACGTACAACGAACTGCTTCTGCGCGTCGAGCAATCCCAAACAGCGATCTCTGACATGCGTCCATGCCGTGACATCAGCGTTGACATTGCGGTAGATCTGAGATCGGCTCTCCTCGTCGCTTGCACTCAGCCGTGCTACCTCCGAGAAGGCATGGTTGGAAAAGAACAGGATCGGCTCGTCGAGGCCGTCCAGCAGGAGACGGATCTGGTTCTTTGCATACTTGCTGACGGGTGGCAGAGGATGCGTGAGGTAGACATCGAGGAGCAGATGCGCTGTCTCCACCGCACAGACGGCTGCAATGCTGAACAGCGTCGTGCGCACCGATACCTCGAAGAAGCTAAAGTCGACACGGAACGAGGGCACGAGCAGTCTTCGCAGCAGTGATCGCGTGCCCAGCACGAGCAGTACGGCACTCCAGAGGCGGATGCGGATGACGCTATATACAAGAATGCTGGATGTCGAGGCCAGAGCTGCTGCTGCCGCTGCTTTAGGGACACGTGATGCGCACGCTGCAGCCACGCGGTCCTTGATCGTCAAGGCTCTGTCGGAGGTCAATGCTGATGTGTCGAAGAACGGTGATGCAGCCGTCTCGGGCGATGGCAGTGATCGGAAGAACAATGTGTAGAAGATGCCTAGTACGATGCTTTGACCGATGAGGTAGAGGAACCTTTCATTGAGGTAAAACGATCCATGCGAGTCGACCCAAACTTGAGGTCCCCATCCGCCGCTTTTCGAGGTGAGAAGCACGCTGTAACCCAACGACAGCACGACGAACGAGACGATGTGTTGCAATGCTGACGAGAGAAAGCCTGGATTCGAAAGTGCCGTAGCGAATTGCCGCGCTGTTGAAGAAGCCAAGCGTGCAGGCGGCGTTGTGATCTGTGCGAGTTTGCGTTTCCGCCTTGCCAGCAGGGGTAGCACACCGAGACCGAACGACAGCAAGCTTACAGCCAGCGTCAAGGGTGATATGAGTGAAAGTGATACGGTTCTGAGCAGTGCGGATGTGAGCAGAAGATGCCATGCCACCGCAGCCAGGATGAAGGCTCGAGTCTGTCGAGGCCGCAAGGCGATCTTGACCACATCGCGGTACTTGGACGGCAGCTGCGCCTGAGGCACCGCCGCAAGACCGGACGGCATTGCTATGGCGCTATTGCTGATATGTGGCGCGTTCTGCGACACACAGCAGTTGCCAATGCGCAGTCGGTGGGTGTTGATGGTGGAAGCGGGTCAGCGGCATAGGGTAAGGTGTTGATGTTGTTCTCTTTGCCCAATTTTTCGGCAGTGGAGCTGGGACGTGCAGCCTTTCGCGTTTCTTCCAGGCTTGAGTTGATCTCTCGCGCGAGTTGGCTGTCTGCCGTCTTGGCTTAAGAAGAAAATCAATTTTGGTTCGCCTAAGGCCGCCCGCCGTCTGTTCCTTCTCCCGAGAAAAAAGAGACTCAAGAAGAAAAGGCGAAAGGCTGCCTTGCCTGTGTCACGAGATGCTTCAAGTCAGCACGCTTCTTCTTCCCTCGACATCGTCCTAGATCACCAAAAGGGCTCGCTCTCACACATCGGCTTGCTGTCTCCTCTTCGCTTCTAACTAATCCCGTCCGACGGTCCTGCACCAACTTCGATCGAATCGCAGCCATGGTCGTCGCACCACTCGTCCGATCAGGACGTCTTGCAAGCCGTGCAGTCCGCACCGTTGTTGCTTCCACTTCCGCCGTATCATCGTCTAGCAACAGCCGCAGCCTGCACACTTGCCCACCGACGCCCGAGGTCCTCACCGAAGGCTGTGCGCCCTTCCTTTCCGGCTCGACCGTCAAGCAGATCTCCCAATCGTGGCAGGGCGGTCTCCTCGATCTGCTCAACCAAGAGGTCCGCGATACAGAATTCGCCTCGTCCTCGATCGTCGAAACCGTCATTGGTCTCTCACAGAACAGGGAAAAGATCCTTGCCTTCAACTATGCCTCTCAAGCGCTCAACAACAGCTTCTTCCTGTCGTCCCTGGCACCGCAGGATCGATTGCGCAACCCAACACCACTGCCAAAGGTCGCTACCGCCATCTCCAAGAGCTTCGGCAGCTTCCCAGAGATGTGCCTCGCCTTTTCGTCCGCAGCATACGGCATGGCCGGCAGCGGCTGGGTCTGGCTCGTCACGGATCAACACAGGAATCTGGGTGTCGTCCCCACGTTCGGTAGCGGAACAGTGGTCGTCCAGAACCGCATGCAGCAAGGAAAGCACTTCTTGCTTCCCAGCATCAACGACCAGTCGACTGGCTCGCCAAATGGCCCCAAGAAGGGTTCGCAATCCTCGCCATCCGAGCGACCCTCGCGCCCAGCTGACTCGCTCTTCGGTGGCCTCGGCATCTCGGACAAGGTCGGAAAGGAGCTCTACCCGCTCCTCAACATCAGCGTCCATGAGCACGCATGGTTGAACGACTACGGCATCATGGGCAAGGAGGAGTATCTCACCCGCTTCTGGAACTGCGTCAACTGGGACAAGGTCGAGGAGCGTTTCGATGCGTACTGCCCGCAGTCGTCGCGATACCTGTAGAGCAGCTTTCGACGTCCACTCGCTCAGAAGCAGCCGATTCTACCTAGACCATCGCAGCACAACAGGCAGCTTGGCTTAGAACATTGTACACTACTCACACCCATGCAACGCAGCATCAATTTGCAAGAAGAAAGGGGCAATGCTTTTGGATTTATTTCGAACACGAGCACAGAGAGTCTCTGGACTAGAATCACTGGGCACTGCGAACGACGAGGTCGAGAGCTGGCTTGAGGCAGGTCCAGTGGTCGCCTCTCACCTCGCAGTAGCCGACTTTTGCCGAGCTGGACCAGAAGGAACGCCACTCTTCTTCGTTCGCCATCACACCCTTGAGCTTCGAGTCATCCGTGGCGTTGACGATCATGATCTTGCCTGGCAGCCGGTCCGTCGCTTGGAATGCTTGGCATCGGTATTCTGGCAGACTGAGTGCACACGATCGGAAGTGCTCGCGGATCGTGTTGGACGAGATCTTCTTCAGCATCTCTTCGAGCGTGTCTGTCGGGAGGGGCTGGATCTGTCGCGGGCTGGGCGTGTCGATCAGGCCCACGAAATCGACTTGGTGTCCGGCAGAGAGAAGACGACGGGCCGCTTCGAGGGCGAAGACGCCTCCAATGCTCCAGCCTGCCAGCTTGTACGGTCCTCGCGACTGCACATGGTGAAGCAGCTCAATGTATCGATCCACTAGTTCAGCTATGCCCCGACTCCATGCTCCAGCACATCCCAGGTATGGCGAGTCAAAGCCATAGACGGAGAGTGAGCCGGGAAGCTCGAGCTTAGGGAGCATCTGAGCAGTGCCGCTGCCGTCAGGAAAGATGAAGAGGACATTTCGTCCCTCGAAACGCTTCAACAGAGGTCCAGCGATGTGCACAGGAGCCGAGAATGAACAGCGTCGGTTTGGGTTCGTGAGCTCATCCATGGGCGAGCCAGAACTGCTGTCTCGGGCCAGTTTGGCTGGCGGAACTGGACATGCTCCGCGGTCCATCTTCGTCGACGTATCGGAATTGCTTGGCGCTACTTCTGTCTGCCTGGTCGAGCGAGCGTTGGACGTGGAAGCGAGACTGACTTTGCTGGTATTGTCCGCTGCTTGCTTGGCTGCCTCGCTGGCAAAGGCCTTGGAAGAAAGCTGGACGAGTCGGCTGAGCATGTCTCGGCGGATGCGTTTGAATACGATGTTCTCCATCATGCCGATCAGTTCGCCGTCGTCCGGCAAAAAGAAGTAGGCGGAACCTTTCGAAAGGTCCTTGTCCTGCTCCATTCTGGCGTACACCTGCAGCTTCGTTGCGCTGCCAGGCAAGATCTTCCTCAGAGCCGGCATGGTAACGATTCGGCCGATCGCCTCCGCCATGTAGACGAAGGCTCCCTCCGCAAAGCCGACATTGCTAACAAAGCCGGTCAGCCCACCGAGACTGTCGAGAAGCATGGGGCTGCACAAGAAGCGGTCGTTGAACGCGGCGGCGTTGTAGCTGACCTGAGACACAGCTTCGTCACCGCGCTCCGTCAGCCAGATCGTGTTCATGCCTCGGAAGCCGTCCAGGTACAGCACGATGGCTTCGAAGTGCTTGTAGATTGTGTTGGTTCTGATCATGGAAGACGGCTGGGCTTTGATGGCCGAAGTTGTCCTCACGACGAGATGACGCAACTTGGTCCATTCTCGAGTAGCCTGCTCGGTCGTTGTGATGCGGATGCGGCACGCTCCGTATTGATGCTGTTGATGCTGATGCTCGCTGTGCGAGAAGAATTGCACAATGGAGCCATCGTTGGCGGTGGGGTTGCCTTGTAGCGATACTTCGACGCTCTGCTTCGGGTCTCGCTCGTTCAAATAGAGCGAAGCGACCATGTGCAAGTCGATCACCTCGATGACCACATCGTCCTCCATCTGGCCCCGAGGTCTTTGCTTGCAGGGATCTGCTTGCCACCAGTACATCCCGGCCTCTTGCGCCAGCTCGACGAACACTGTGGCCGGGGCCAAAGGAACGCCAAGGATGATGTGGCCTTGGATGAAGTCGCGGAAGGGCCGCTGATTGACGCGTGCAAGGAATGCTGCCACAAGTGGGTTAGACTCGAGCTTGATGCATTGCGACAACAGAGCGTGAAGCGGTCTCGGAGGCTTCTGTGTAGCCAGCTTGTTGCGCTCAACCTGAACCAACGAATCCTCCGATGCATCGCCAGAAGTGACCATGAGGTGGTCTCGCAGGCATCGATCCTTGAATGGCACCCAAAATTCTTCGAGGTCGAATGGATACAGGGGAAGATCCGCCGCAAGCCTGTGGTGCCCGAAACGCAGACCGAGTTGACTGAAGACCTTGTCCCAATCGAGGTCCAGACCGCGGGTCGCCAGCTCTCTTACGAGACCGAGTGTTAGAAACCAAGACGAGCTGCCCCGTCGGAAGGAAGTGAGGAAGTCTGGCATGCGGGAGGTTTCGGCGTAGCAGCCCTTCAGCATGGGTGTGCAGGTCGGATGAGGGCCGACTTCGATCCAGAGATCGACATCGATCGTCTTTTGCAAGACCCTGATTGACTCTGAGAAGCGGACTGGTTCGCGGAGATGGTGAACGAGGGAGGATGGATCAATATCGCCGTCGCCTGATTTGATCACTGTGCCGAAGTAGTTGGAGGCAAAATTGATGGTCGGTTTCGAGTATCGATGGGCCGCGGCCTCGGTGCAGAATTGGACGACGAGCGGCTCTACGGCCTTCGAGTGGAAGGCATACGGCACCGGGATGGCCATTGCCTTGATCTTTGGATCAGCTTGCTCGCAGAATCTGAGCAGCTTCTCGATGTCCTCGTTGCGACCCGCGACCACGGTGTCGTTCGGGCTGTTGAGGCAAGCGATCTCGAGCTCCTTGAATTCAGGCTCTTGAAGCAGCTGGCGAACGCGATCGGGTCCTTCGCGGATAGCCAGCATGGACGAGGCGTTGGGCGTGCACAGCTCCATCATGAGCATGGCACGGCGGCCGACCAGCTCGATCAGGCTGCGCAAGGAAAGAACGCCAGATAGCCAGAGAGCCGTGTACTCCCCGAGCGAATGGCCGACGACGCAAGACGGCTCCACGCCCCAGTCGAGCAGCATCATGGCCAGTCCAACTTCGGCAGCGATGAGCGCCAGCTGATACTGGGCCGGGTTGAAGCTGTCTGCTTTGCGCTCGGGCCTGACGGTCCCCTTCTCCAACTTTGGCGTATTCTGGGACGGATAGATGACCTCGACCAGACTGGGCAGGTTCAGATCCAGGGCGATGGCGTTGCAGTTGTCCACGTTGGCGCGGAATGTGGTGCTGTTTTCGTAGAGCTCCCGTGCCATGTCGAGATACTGTGACCCTTGGCCACTGAAGACGATACCGATGGTGCAAGCTTTGCCCTTCCAGCGACTAGCGTCGACGAAGACAGACTCTTGGCTGCTCAAGCATGTCTTGGCCTCGCTGATGCTGGAGGGAATGGCGATCAGACGATGGGCGAGCATAGGGTCACCGAGCGAGACGGTACTGCAGAATTCTGTCAAGGTGACGTACTTGTTGGCATCCAGGAAGGCGATCAATCTGCGCCTCTGGGCGTCCAAGGAGAACGAAGTAGCAGCAGTGACGAAGAGCAGGTGGTGCTTGCCTCTGGACTCTTCGGCCGGACTTGCTGTTGTAGTATGGGCGTCTTCGCTCATTCTCTTCAGTCGGTCCCGGTACAGCGTGCCGCGATCCATGACGATCGAAGAATTTCCGCCGGCCGCAGAGAAGTTGTCCACAAGGGTGAAGGCGTGGTCGATGCTGTCCAGCGTGGTCTCCTGCATCGGCACCAGAAACCCATCCAGAGGCGGCAGCTTGGTGTTGAGCTGAGTGCGAATGCCAATGTGCCGAGGCACCTCACCGTGCTCATAGATCTGGACGGTTTTGATCATGCTGGTGGCGCCGGAAGCAGCTTCCGAGTGCCCGACGTTGGCCTTCACAGAGCCGAGGACGAGCGGCGGTTGTGCGTCCCTCTTTCCTTCGCCGAAGGTCTTGACAATGCCGGTCACCTCCTCCAAGTCTCCGCTCTGTGTTCCCGTGCCGTGCATCTCGATGTAGCTGTAGTCCTCGGGAAGCGTCTTGCTGGCGATCATACCTGATTGGTAGAGCCTCTTTTGTGTGGGACCGTGAGGGTGAGTGATCGAGAACGACTCGCCAGAGTGATTGGTGGCGGCCGACGAGATGACCGCCAAGATCGGATCGCCGTCTCGCACCGCGTCTGGTAGACGTTTGAGCAGCATGATGGAGACGGCATCGGCACGAGAATAGCCAGCGCCTGCGTCGTCCAGCGTCATGCACTGCGAGGAAGCCGAAAGGAAGAAGCCTCTGTCGAGTCCGATGGTGATCTGAGGCTGAGTGAGGATATTGACTCCTCCCGTCAAGACTGCCGACGTCTCGCCGGCCAGCAAGCTGTTGCAAGCTGCCTCGACCGCAACCAGAGCGGAGCTGCATGCCGTGTCGTACGTGCAAGCCTCGCCACGGAAGCCGAAAGTCTCATTGACCTTGGCGACGAGATGAGCGCGATGCGTGTTTTGCACAAAGTCGGCCTCGATCTTCTGGCTCAGATGCTCTCGGTAGTCGTCGCTGCAGTAGGCGAGGTGGGTGCTCCATTGCTCGGGCTGCTTCGGATGTCGGTGAGGTGAAAAGCCGTAGCCAGCTTTCGACAGCGTCTCGAACGCGGTCAGGATGGCGACCCTCTGCTGCGGGTCCATGTTGGCGCAGTCTTCGTCGGAAGCAGCTTCGCCCAAAATGCTCTTGTCGAACAAGCTAGGCTCGGCCACGAAGTTGCCCGTCTTGACTCGCATCACGTTGCGCTCTCGGTAAGATGCTGAATGATAGTCTTGATAGCGATAGAGCCTCTCGGGAATCTGTGGACAAGCCAAGTTCAGAAGAGAGGGTGACAGCCTGGTCAGCACGGAAACGACATGCTACAAGCGACCTTGAGCGCTTGCCAGGACTCACATCTTCGCACATGTCCCTGCCTTGCTTGAGCATCGCCCATAGCTCATCTGCATCCTGAGCTCCGGGCACTCTGCAAGACATCCCGATGATGGCGATCTGGTTGATGGGATCGCCTTGCACCTTGGACAGCTTGACAGGCTCATCTCCGAAGCGGTGAGAGTCCTTTGGATAGAGCAGGTCAAGGAGTCTGACCGGCACGTGATGAAGCTCGAGCGACTTGAAGGTGCTTGCCACGTTGATCGCGAATCTTTCCCTCATCGATCCCCCCAAAAGCAGTAGCTCGATGCGTGGAGCGTAGATACGTGACGACGCGATTTGTTCGCGCAGGAGATCCAACGTGCTCTGAAAGCGCTGTGGCGATCGACCGAAGTCCAGGCTCGTGAAGACGTGGTCGAGGTTGACGGAAAGCTGGGTTGTTGGCGAGGCTGCCTGGTGTGATATCGTGTGACCGTCGACTGCGACCTTGATGTTGCGCTCTCGTAGACGAGACACCAGATCTGGTCGGAGCTGTGCCCACTCGTTGATGTCCAGCGACGGAAAGACAGACTTTCGGTTCGAGAACAATTCTTGGCTAGCGTCGTCATCTCTGCCCGACAGCAAGTCTTCAAGCACCGCGGTGCTGGTGCACCCAATCGCAAGACCTGCCATGGTGCTCTCGCAGCGCTGCCCCGTCTTCTGACACTTGTCTGCGACGGCGGCAACTCCGTCCGTGACTCCGCTGACAAAGAATCGTCCCTTCTCGCCACTGATGCCATGTGTGTAGCCAATGTGGAAAAGGTACTCGATCCAGCAAGCCAGACGGACCATCTCAATGCCTTTAGAGATCACGTCCAGCGTGTTGGTGACGTCCACGTTTTGGAGAAGCGAGACGGTCAAGGACGATTCGGGATCCCAAGCTGCTGCAAAGTCGGCCCGCATCGCTTGCTTGAAGTCGTCCCTGGAGGCCAAGACCACCGCGATTTGCGCCAATGTCGTCAGAGAGATTGCGTGAGTGCGAAGATCCTGAGCAGAGGCGACCTGACCGAGGTCGACGAAGGATTTGGGAAGGGTGAAGACTCTCGAGTGATCGTTCACGACGGACCGCGCACTTGAAGCTGCCTCCGTCTCGCTCAGCAGTTCCCTGTAAGCCGAGTCGAGGAATGCTTTGAGGAAGACATCGTAGCGAGATGCAAGATGCAGAAGGCGGAAAGTGGAAGGAAGCAAGACTTGCTGATGGGAAGCATAGACAAAGACGACCTTGTGTTCGTGGCCCGTCATCATGCGCAGTCGCCTGAAGATAGGACGACTTGCTTGGGATGGCTGCTTTGCGGAATGTCAGCGAGCTCGCATGCATGTTTTGGCGAGCTTATATCTTCGGTTCAGTGGCCTCCGTTTGCCCAGGTTCGGTAGCAGGCCTCGGGGACTACGAGAGAGCAGGTTGGGCTGAGTCGCCGCACTCGAGGTGGCCGGTGCTGAAGCAATCAGCGGGTGCCTGGCAGGGCGAAGGTGACAGGGTTGGCATCCGAAAGCGTGATGCGTGAATGCTCTGAGCTAATTCTTGACGGTGCAGGACCCCACCTTTCCGCACTGCGCCAAGCGTGAGTGGCTAGCCCTCGATTGACTCCGTCTTGCGGGGACTGCTGACCTGGAAGTCGTCGTCCCGGCACTTTTTCCATCTCGGCCTAACGGATCGTCCGTTAGGTGTGCTGACTCGACGTGGCGTAGGCGGGGGAATGTGTGTCCGACGGAAGCCTCCTTTAGGTTTCGGAACATCCTTGCGTGGGAAATGTGACTTGTCGAAAGGCATTCTTCGCCACGACCGGCCTTGTGAAGGCGTCGGGGATAGTCCGATGAGCGAATCGAGGAGATGACCGAGCAAAGAGGGGAAGGGCACTGCTCAGCTCGGACGGAACCGTGATGAGGTTCACGCCCGAGCCGACGTGATCTCTTGAAAGGGCTATCGCAATGTCACATAGCCACAAGCGCCTGCTCGCTAGACAGTGACGACGCGGTGACAAAGTGGCACGAGAAGTGAACATGACCCGATGACAACCGAGATTGGTCCGACGGAAGCAGCAAGGTGAACGGTCAAACCCTCCAACGCCAGTTCCTTGCATAGTTCCTTGCATGATGCAGCAGACACGCTTTAGCTCGGTGGGGTCTCAAAGTCGAGAGCTAGCTGAAGAGACGCAGATGCAGCCTTTGACTCTTCTTGCGGATCTCGAACGTTTCACAAGGAAGTAGCTTTGTGACGCCGCCGAAAGGAAAACAATGATGTCAGCTGTCACAGAAGGCGTCGTGATTGCAGGGGCAGACCTCCTTGTCAGCCGAAGCATCTTCATCGGCTCTTGCGATGCGCAGCGAATGGGCTGATCTGAGACCAGCGCTGCCAAGACGAGCGAGGCGGGCAGCAGCCGCGCAGCGAGCATTCCGTGGTGCTGCAACGAAGGGGTCCGTTGGTATTTAGGCGTTAAGCTGTCGACGTGACGACCAATCCAGACCTCGCCCCCGTCTTTGCCCATTCCTCCCTCCTACCCTCTCGAGGCTCTCGTCGAGGCGTTTTGTCGGTGCCTGCGACCCAGCATGTCAGACCGCAAGACCAGGCTGCTGGCATTGCACGGCAAAGGTACTTCTGGCAGGATCATGAAGACGCAGATCAAGCCCATCGTCGACGTTCTCGGCGACGTACTCGAAGTGCACTACATGGATGGTAGCGAGCTGTCGGCTCCGTATCAAGGTCAGTTACTCAACTCGGTCCAGCCGTTCTTCCGTGATTCGACAGTAGAAGGACCAAGCTGACGAGGACGTTTCGGCAAACAACAGGCATCGAGAGCATCTTTCCGAAACAGAAGTACTACGCATGGTATCAGCAGCCCACGCGTGAGGCTCTTCAGCTCGCTCACGACCGGATCGCTATGCGACTGTCTCCATCGATGGCTCTGGCCCTCACGCCACACGAGGTACAAGCAGGTCCATTCGGAGCGAGCTTCCTGCCACAGGCGGCCGATCTGCCCACTCCGCCCGAGACTCCGTCCATTGCGACGCCGATGTCCTCGACAGACCAAGCACCCAAGCGCCGAGTGTCGGACGACATGGCTGTCGCACTCCCCAAGCTTGGCGAGACGGGTCGACCTTGGCTGCCGAACCCGATTGCGGGCATGGAGACGCCGAGGTCGTATCCGAGTACGGCGGGCGTTCGAACGCCTCTGGATGCCGATTTCGCTCCGTATGATGGTCTGATCTGCTTCTCGCAGGGATGCGCGGCATCGACAGGGTTGCTGTTGGCGCTCAATGCCAGGCTCGGCTGCAAGGCACCCTTGCCTGTCCAGTTCGTGATCCTGATTTGCGGTGGACGGCCTTTTGAAGCAGATGGAAGCATGGAGAGGGTGCAATCGACCAAGGTGACGCCCATCGCGATTCGGAGTGTCCATATCCATGGCCTCCAGGACCCGAACTACGAAGAGTCGAAGCGGCTGGCCTGTCTGTACAGCGATGTGCACAGAGAGGTGATCGAGCTCGATATTGGCCACTGTCCGCCCAGACGCACTGCGGACGTCCATCTGGTTGCGGCTGCCATTCGCCGCACCATCGCTGGACTGTACTGAAGGCAATCACATGCGCAAGAACAGGTCGAGACCAGCAAGCCAGTTCTTTGACACAATTGGCCGAGAGGCGCGTGGCGCCACGTGGGGTGTCGAGAGTGCTGTGAGACCGAAGCGTCGAAAATGGTCTGAGCCGGCGGAGTCGACGTCTGGATGGCTGGCTTTGTGACTCCGATCAGCAACACCGAGAGCTCCCAAGCAGAGCCCTGTTCAGCTCTCTCTGACGGATCATACTGTTGAGCTGTGATAGGATCTGCTCTTGTTCCAATCACATGGGAGCGCAGCTGAGATCTCGGCGACCAAAAAAAGCTGCTGCGACGTTGACTGGACCCTGAGCGCCGGGCTGGGGCTGGTGGACATGGAGCCAAAGAGAGAGCCAATCAGCAGGGCGATTTCGCACTCGCAGCGACAAGGGAAGGCGGGGAAGCCGAGCGAAAACGATGATTGGATCCCAGCTCCGGGTCAGAGTACGCCGGTCAAGTCAGCAGGTTTCGAAGGACAGTAACGCTGCACTCGCTGTCCGTTCCAGACCCTAAGCAGATCGCTGCGCAAGCGTGAAGGACAACTTGCGCGACCCGACAAGAGCAAGCGGATGAAGCGCTGCGGCAAATCTGCGGGCGAGTCTTGTCTGCAGACGAAGGCAGTGGTGACTGAAAGGAGCGCTCAGTGAAAGCGTCGTGAATGGTCATCATCGCTCCGAGCCTTCCGATCCAACGGCACGACCATTTTCGAAACAAGCTTGCCGACAGAGAGGTGCACTTGCGTGGCATCCGTGTTGTGCATCCGCTCAGGTCAAGCTTGATCGGCTCCTCCTCTCTCGGGACCTCCGCGCTCGTCAGCAGATGTTGGCTCACACCCCTTGTGATGAAGCACAATCAGGCGCCGTTTTCAAATAGCCACTCTGCCCAGCGGTGCTTGTTCGGTCCTGCCGCTGAGAATCTCGGCTCTTCCCGCTTCCTAAGGGAACAGCCGAGGAGAGACAGGAGAAGACAAAGGAGAGCTCTTGGCCGGTGGTGCTTCTGCCTTTTTTCACAAAAATTAAAAATTGATTAAAATTGGAAGAATTGGAATTGGCTCGGCTGTGTGCCTGCCGTTGTCTCTCTCTGCCCCCGTCACTAAAATTGATGCAGCTCAGCGTGCGAAAAATAAAGCGTGTTGGTCCATGCTGAAATTGCTTTTGGTGGTCGGCGCCGGTCAGCTCAGCCCCTTTGCAGGAGTTGAGAGGCGTGGTCAGCTTGTCAGACGCCTTCTTAGCTTCCTCCTAAGCTGTCAACCTTTGTTTGCATCCCTCGACATCGTCATCATCACGAGTATCACCTTACCATACCGTCTCGTGAAATGCGAGGAAGTGGTACGGCAGCCTATTAGCCACCATCAAGGATCGAGCGGCCGGCGTCTGCTTACCCAGCCCACATTAGCGCCTTGCAGTGCCGTCCGGCCTTCCGCTCGTCCTTCATCTTGACAGTCGACCTCGAATTGGACACATCAACTTCATCTCGCACCTTCACTGCGTGCGACACCTGATTGCGCCTCTTCAAGCTCCCCTGTGTACCAGGATCCCACCAGCACAGCACGCCTGCTCTTTCAGCACAAACGCAGCTCAGCCTCCATCTCTCCTACATCGGATTTCTCTCTCCTTTCGCATGGCCACAACCGCCCACACGCTCTCTGTCTACATCCACCTGTCCTTGGAACGAGGCGGACGCCCAGTCTAGCTCTACAGGCTGCTTGCACCGCTCGCTCACGCTGCGCTCACCGTGTCAGGCGCCGTCCAACACACCCGCAATCCATTGCTGTTGGAGCTGCTCACGTCGACGCAGTCTTCGTTTCGTCACCATGACGGGCGCTGAGCGCCGCCGTCACCCGGATCACCTCGGTGCCATGCCAGCCCGCTCGCCTCTGTCCCGTACGCCTTCGCCCGCCAGGCAATTGCATGCCTCTGCTTCCCACGTCCCACACCCGAGCAGAAGCTCCACGCTCGCGCAGAGGGCGAATCAGCATCCTCATTTCGAAGGCTCCAGCTTCTCGACCAACCCCAACTTCTCTGCCGCATTTGGCGCCACACCCAACTACGAGCTTCCTCCAGAAGGTCTCTTTGGCAACCCCGCACATGACCCCTCTTCTTCCTCCGCCGCCTCTTCCTTCTGGCTCGCCGAGAATCGCTCGCAGTCGGTGCCTCCCAGGATAGCCATCGACAGCAGCAATGCCCGCAACACCGACCCGAGACGTGCTGTGCCCCTCATCGATACCAGCGGTCGTCCTCATTCTCGAAGAGAGAGCCTCATGGAAGAGGCCGAAAAGCGACCTACCAGCCCGCATATCACTTCGGCCACGCCCACTAGCGCTCGTCTCAACCAACCTTTCTCAGCGCAGCATCACTCCAAGTCGCGGTCCAGCTCCTTCGTCGAGCATGATCCGCACACCGCCCGCCACGTCAGAGTCTCTGGCGTGCAACGTGTCGCCTCACCGTCCCCGATCAGCTCGGGAATCGGTGCTGCCGTCTCAGCAGCTGCTCAGTCTATCATGGACGCGGTGGCAGGCCGCTCTTCTCCCGTCACAGTGCGCGCAAAGCAATCTTCGCAGGACGAACGAAGCAGCCAGAGCGATGATGAAGCAGGCAAAGGGCATGGACGCAAAGCTACTGCCTCCACCGCCGCCCGCTTCACACCGTCCATCCATCATCCACGACATCAGCACGCTCAACAGTACGCACACTTCAACGACAAGGGCTACTATCCTGCCGAAGCATCACCTAGCATCACGGCCGACATTGCCTGGCGCGCCAGCATCTCGGAATCTCGCAGAGCTACTCCCGCCGCCTATCGACCACGTCCCAACTCGGCTAATCGGCGGAGGACCAGTCTGCATGTCGATCAGCAGCCCCTCGGCGGCGAAGATAGCACCGACATGCAGCTGCCAGGCGGTCACAAGTCTACGCACTCCTCCATCATGATCGGTTCGCCCCTCGTCATCCCACAGGCGCGCAGAGGTGCTGTCCGATTACGACCCCGGCGCAAACGCAAGATCGCACGCCAGATCAAGCCGCAGCGAACTCTCCGACAAAACGTTCTGGTCTTCGTTTCGACCATCGCTCACTTCATCCGGCTACTCGCGTCACCACTCGAGGCATCCCGACGATTCAGAGAGTACTGCATCGACACCCGCATCGCCATCGACGAGGCCTTCAGAGACCCACAGACGGGCATGCGCAGCTTCTGTCCTCCCTGGCTGCAGGCATACGTGCCGCTGCTCATCTGGCTTGGCATCAGTCTGAGCAGTACGGCTCTGGTCATCACCTTCCACACCGAAGTGTTCGTCGGACTCGACCACATGTCGACCTACTTGCAAGGTCTCGGGCTGTGGGGCAAGGTGATGCTCGGCTCGCTCATCTTTCTCACCACTTTCCCTCCACTGCCCCTCTACTCGACCCTCATCATGCTCTGCGGCTTTACTTTTGGTCTTTGGCAGGGCTTCATCATCAGCTACATTGCGGCGCTTTCTGGTGCCATCGTGGTGTTCGTCCTCAGTCGATCCTTGCTTCGAGAGTGGATGGTCGGTCTGCTCAACAAGAGCGGTGGTCTCAAGAAGGTAGTTCGCGCAATCGAGAAGCAGCCCAAGCTGCTCTTTCTCGTTCGACTCGCGCCGTATCCGTACAACCTGATGAACACGCTGCTCGCCAGTTCACCAACCTTGACGATGCGCACCTACGTGACCTGCACCGCACTCGCTCTGCCCAAGCTTCTCATCCACACCGGACTGGGCACGTCGATCAAGAACTTTGCTGCTTACAACGGCGCAGCGGAAGGACAGAGCAAGGAGGACGCCGAAGCTTCGCGCACCGCCGAAAACGTCAAGAAATGGGCGGGCCTGATCGGTGCCGGCCTCTGCTTCGGCATCATGATCTATCTCTTGTCTGTGGCAAGACGTGCGGTCGATGACCTGGACGACGAAGACGAAGACGGCTTGGACGATGAGCTGTATGATGACGAGAACGAAGCGCTGCTCTCTTCCGACGAGGACGAAGACGGTCACGACAGAGGAGACACCTACGAGCACGGCCCAGGAGTCGACATGCGCGAACGAGCGGGCCCATCCACCTTGGGCTTCCGCAACGGCTATGCGCCTATCGAGTCATCTCCCGAGGAGCGCTTCCGCCAAAGCATGCGTCATCCCATCGTCGCGCCTGGCCCGCTGGTCCTCCCCAATGCCAGCTTCGAAGGTATTTCTGGAACTGGATCGTACGACGGCAGGATCTCGCTCAGCAACAGCGGCTCGGGCGGCCATCACTCGATCGATCTTGCCGACAAGATTGCTGAGATGGAGGCTCACGCGGAAAACATGCAGTTCGAGTCGCCGTCGCATCGCGGTGCAGAGGAAGAAGAGGTGGCCGTGGAGCTGGCCATGGAGAGTCCAAAATGGTCGCCTATGATCGCGAACTTGGAGGCGAGCGCGGAAACGAATGACACCGTGCACGGAAAGCCGTTCAGCCTCGATCAAGAGGACGAGCACGGATATCACCGTTAGATGTGACCGGCTCTCGGATCGCGACGCAACCTCTCCGTTTGCTTTCGTCGTTTGCTTTCGTCGTAGGGCTGCCAAGTGTGGTCTCGTCCAGACCCATCCAATCATTACATAGATTCAGACATCAGCCTTCAGCCTGTGAGATCTCATTGTGAGCTGGTATGCCCATTGAGATGAGAGACGCTTTCTTCAGAGCAACTTCGTATCGACTTGGCCCGTCGAGGAAAGTGAGCAGAGGAGTCGCGTCTTGAGACCCTGACAAGGTCCAACCCAGAAACCTAAAATCTTGGAATTGAGCGCACCGTCGTTCTCAGCGCTCACCACCATCATCTTCGGCGACCAGCACACAACGCTTCATCGTCTTATCCCGAGTGCATGTCCGGCACCATACGGCTCGCATCCCCGCTTCAGCTTCTCTCTCGTAATTTTCCCAGGCCAAGAGTTCAGCTTCCATCTCAGCTTCGACCAGTCATCTTCCTTAGACCGACCCCTCAATCCAGTATTGTATCGAAGCAGCGCAACTTCGGCATCATGAGCGCAAGAGAATCCGCACCAAAGCGAGTCAAGGTCGATGGCCAAGGTGAGTCTCGCATGCCCATATTCTCATTCGAGATCGAAGGCAACTTGGGAGGGAGGAGAGCGCAGAACAGATCAAGAGCATTGACCTGCGCAGCGAGTGGCTCGTGCGATCAGAAGGCTGTAGCGCAGCGCAAAAAAAGCTGGAAGAAAAGCGCAAAGCGCAGAAATTAGACTTCCGCTTCACTTTCTTCTCACCATCATCACCTCAAACTGACACCACTACTTCCATCCTTGTGTCTGTCCGTTCATTCACCATGCCAGAACACATCATCACGCACAGCGGCACCTTCCACGCCGACGAGGCGCTCGCCGTCAACCTCCTCCGCAAGCTCCCTCGCTTCGCCTCCGCCCCGCTCACCCGCACTCGCGACGCAGCCACCATCGACAGCGGCTCCATCGTCGTCGACGTCGGCGCTACCTACGATGCCGCCAACCACCGATACGACCACCACCAGCGCGGTTTCGAGGAGGTGTTTGACGCCAACCACTCGACCAAGCTCTCGTCTGCTGGTCTCGTATGGAAGCACTTCGGCCAGGAGATCATCGCTGCGCACCTCAGCCTCGATGCGACTGCGCAGAAGGACGTCGTGGACCTGCTGTGGCTCAAGCTGTACGACGACTTCGTCGAGGCGATCGACGGCATCGATAACGGCATCTCGCAGTACCCGTCCGACCTCAAGCCCAAGTACAAGAGCAGAACCGACCTGAGCGCTCGCGTCGGCTACCTCAACCCAAGCTGGAACGAGAAGTCGGACAACACCGAGCTCGATGCGCGCTTCGAGAAGGCCAGTGCCATGGCCGGGCAGGAATTCTTCAACCGCCTCGACTACACCTACAACGCCTGGCTGCCTGCACGTCAGATCGTCGTCGACGCACTCAACAGGCGGACGCACCCGCAGCTGCTCGTCTTCGAAGAGTTTGCCAGCTGGAAAGACCACCTGTTCACGCTCGAGAAGGACCTCAACATCGCCCCCACCGAGCGACCCATCTACGTTGTCTACCCGGATGAGAGTGGCAAGTGGCGCATTCAGGCCGTTCCCGTCTCGCCGGAATCCTTCGTCTCTCGCAAAGCTCTGCCGGAGCCATGGCGCGGTATCCGCGATCAGGCGCTGAGCGACCTCACCGGCATCCCTGGCTGCATGTTTGTCCACCAATCCGGCTTCATCGGCGGGAATGCGACGCGCGAAGGAGCGCTCAAGATGGCCAAGGACGGTCTGGCGCACACTGGTGTCCCCTTCATCCACTCGGCTCCCGTCGCCGGCGAGTCGGACGCCCACTCGCACAGTCACAACCACGACCACGGCCATACGCACGACATCATGGACCACCCAGGCAAGTTCAACGACCGCGAGCTGCCCAACTACGAGAACCGCAACTGGGACGAGCGCGCCTTCACCGTCGGCATCGGTGGTCCCGTCGGTTCGGGCAAGACCGCTCTCCTTCTTTCGCTCTGCCGCAAGCTGCGTGACACGTACAACATCGCTGTGGTGACGAACGACATCTTCACGCGGGAGGATCAGGAGTTCTTGCGCAAGCACAGCGCTCTCACGCCCGAGTCGAAGATCCGCGCCATCGAGACGGGCGGTTGCCCACACGCGGCGATTCGCGAAGATATCAGCGCCAACCTCGAAGCACTCGAACAGCTGCAGGCGGAATTCTCCACGCAACTCCTGTTCGTCGAATCGGGCGGCGACAATCTCGCTGCCGCCTACAGTGTCGAGCTCGCCGACTTCCATGTGTACGTCATCGACGTGGCGGGTGGAGACAAGGTGCCACGTAAGGGTGGGCCGAGTATTACGCAGAGCGACGTGCTCGTGATCAACAAGATCGATCTCGCCGATCAGGTGGGCGCCGATTTGGCGGTCATGAAGCGCGATGCGGAGAAGGTGCGCGATGGCGGACCCACGGCGTTTACCAGTGTCAAGCTCGATCAGGGTGTGGATGCCGTGGTGGAGATGGTGTTGGCCGCGAGGAGGATCGCGGGCGCGGATAAGGCGGGCAAGCCGGTCAGCAAGTAGACGCGTTGATGCTGCAATCGAAGTG